TTAGAGCTCAAGGATTTGCGGACAATTGGAAAGGGCAGAAGTGCCAACCATATTATTGGGCGACTCGGGATATGGAGATACCGGATTTTTAATGACACCATTTTCTCATCCAGTGATACTGGCAGAAAAGCGCTATCAGTCCGCACAAATCAAAACAAGAAATCCTATCGAGCCATGCAATGGCGTTTTAAAGCAACGATTCAATTGCCTGAGGTACATGCGCTTGAAATTACGCACAGGTTTGTCGCATGCTGCGTTCTCCACCACATTGCCATTAGTGGTGCAGAATAAGCGCACAAAAGATATACATAATTTTGATATAATTTTGCATCAATAGTGGAAAATAAGAGAGGAAAATAGATCCATTAAATTGACATAACTTCGACTTTTACTAGGTGAAAAGGGGAGACAAATTGAATCCCGACACTCTGCACTTCTAGTGCGTAGTGCATCAATTCTCCCAATTGTTTCACACCAATTTGTGTTACCGACTGTTCGAGACCAATCGTGCTAATAATTTGCTAAAATTTGCACCTGGGGCATATTAATTAGCATCAATTAATACATAAGGGCTGTAAACAGACAGACAGACAAACAGACGGACAGACGGACAAGAGGAATTCAATAGCTCCTCTGCTACGCAGAGCGGGCTAATAAACCGTAGTAACGTTAGAAGTAGCTCACCCTGTAATAATTATTTTGACATTATTTTGCACCAATGGTGCAGAATAGGCGGATAAAATAGATTCACAATTTTGGTATAATTCTGCATTAATGGTAGATAATAAGCGGACAAAAGATGTACATAATTGAAATATGATTTTGCACCAATGGTGGAAAATACACGAGGTAAAAGGAGGCATGATTTTGATATCAAATCTTGACAAATTCGAAGTAAAAATTATAGGTATTTCTTCCGGTTCTTCTGCACTTTTGGTGCGTTTTGCATCTATGTTCTCAATTGTTTGGCACTATTTGCGTCACCGATTGTTCGATACCAATGGTGCTAATAAGTCGGCCACGAATGTCAATAAATCGCTTTAATTAGCATCAATTGATGCAATAGAGTCGTTAACACACAGACGGACAAGAGGAATTCAATAGCTCCTCTGCTACGCAGGGTGAGCTAATAATGCTGGAGTCTGAGTGTTGGAACACATCATTTCTTGTCTTTGCCAACAATTGTCCAGCAGATATGTCAAACTTCATATTAGATTGAGAATTCGATGATTATCGGATCCGATCCGACGGATCGGATATTCTCGGATCGGATAGACCAACCCTACTTTATAATATAGATGACAAGCTAGGTTTTTTATTAAATCTCAGCTGGGGGACAAGTTTGTAACGCGCTGGTCGCTAAGCTTTTCTGCTTAAAAGATGCTGTAAAATGGAAAAATGCATTCTCTGCGAACACGCTTTATGTATACTCCAGCGAATAAAGACCTACATACTATTTGGATGACACACGAGGGCTCCTCAATAACTGCCCAGAGTCTATACGAAGAAAATTGGATGCCACAGAACAAATTAGAATAACTTCTTCTGGTTGCTTAAGGAAAAATAAATTCTAGGTACTTATTAAGGAGTCATCGTATTATTATCTACTGGGCTGCACTAAACAAATAAATATTACCCGTACAAAGGTACAAAAATCCTTTTATCAGGACTTCTCAACGGACAGCCCTGAATTTTCATTGTATTTATTTACCTTCTTCTTCAAAGTTTTATTTCTTTGAGTTTCATTTTTGCGAGAAGTTGCTGAGGGTTGTTTTCTCAACCTTTTTATTCCATTATGTTCAGTTGCATAACCTTAACAATTACCACATCCGACCTATAGGTCGGATGCCCAACTTTACTCGTAAACTTTACGAGTAAAGTTGGGCAGATCCAGTGTTCTTGTTGTTAAAAAACATCATAAACATCAAAAAATATTATTGCATAGAAGTGTTACAAAACGTTAAAAACGCCCCCGATGAAAATCCGCAGAAGTGCATAAAAATGTCTAAAAATGCATAAGAAAAATTTAAATGCTCATAAAGCAGTAATTTTACATTTTTTCGAGATATTTAATTCATTAAAGCAATTTTCTGCTATTTTGCAAAATTTGTTCGTCAATTTCCTTTGTGTAAAACGATTTAATTTTTAGCAACCTTTGGTTTTAGTTTTCAATTTAGGGCAATGATGAGGACAACTCAACACTTGCGTATGAATAAAATCAGATTCGTATGCCAAATTTGTTATTTTATGCATTTTTGTGAATTTAATGCACTTTTAGGCATTTTTATGCATGGTGCATGCATAATAATAATATTCTGCCCCTAAAAAGAAACACTGGCCAGATCATCAGCGTAAATCAAATAGGGTTCTGGCATTGAGGTCCTATTATTGTTGTAAATTGCTGTTAGTCATGAGTACCTCATAAACCACTTATCAATCAGCAGGACTGGCAGGAGTTTAGTAGAGTAAATTACAAACTAACTTGGTGCCAGGACCACAGGAAATAGCTTAGTGTACAGATACCAGCATGCATAAATTCCAATCAAAATCTCAAAATAATTTAATTCAATCCCAAAATTTAAAAAAATAATGGGTTTTGCATGCTTGCATTGTTTCTTGTGTTATACAAACGCGAAATAGAAATTGGAATAGAAAATCCATCTGGTATTGTTATCATTAAGATCCATTGTTCTTTTAACTTTCGATTTTATTTCAATTTGTTAACTTCTAAATTACAACAAATCTGCGGAGTGGCAGTGAAACTACTAAGCTGTTTCACACCAGAGATATGGCAGTTTTTATTACAAATTTAATTTTCTTTACACTTCCGGTACTAATTCTGTGTGAAAGCTCGTTCCACCAGATAACCCCACTCTATGTGCGACACTTGAAAAAGTTGGAGGACACCCTTATCCCACATGTCATTGCCCGCTACACCAAGGCCCTCGAGGATCAGTTGGCCCTTATCCGAGAGTACGTCCAAGACTACGAGGACCATCAAAAATCACTTAATCCCGTTGAGGGAAATCCACTCGATATTTATCGCCTCGTCCGACGGCTGGCACTACTTACAGGACCGGACCTCACTAAGCTTTCTAAATATGCACTGGATGGTATTTCCTATTTCAATAAACGTAGATGCAATTTTGACAAACTTTTATTTATTTTTATATAGAATTAACGACAATCGCGGGACTGGTGAATATTGAGGATAAAAATGAAGCCGTTTTGTCACTTCTCCATCTCCAGTACACGTATTCGTTAAGTGCATTTGATTTAGCGGAAGGAATCGTTTCAGGCCAGTATTAAATATTTTTAATTTCATTCGTCATGCATAAATCCATTAACCAGGAAAATATTTATTGCTACAACTTGTTTCTCCAAAATCCATTTCTTCACAGGTGTACATACTGGAGTAACTTTAACCGCTGCGCATTCCATGGAAATTGCTCAGTCCGCTCTACACGGCGGTTACTACTCTTTCGCTTTGGAATGGCTTCAAGTCACCAATAAATCCAATAAAAGGGAGCAACGATTTACGGACTTTGAATTGCTAGAGGCCACAAACGCATTGATGGTTGAACACGACACAAACTATGAGGTTAAAAGGTGTGGCTTGATAATCTTGTAAAACGATTAGCGTATATCTCCCAGATCTCAGATTTTCAGAAAATTTAAAATAAGAATTTGCTCAATATTTGTATTTTTCATCGGATATTCCAAAAACCCAATATTTTTCAATCCAACCTGAATCGATTTATATCTGATATCGAATTTACCTCCCTCCTCCTAAACAACTTTCGTAATACCGGGAAGGCTCAATCCAAACTTTGATTTAAGTTTGATTTAATTTGTCTTGCAGGGCACAGAGGCACATGTTTATCTATCCACAAACTTTCAAAGCTTGGAATATGAGCCTCCAGGAACTTCTTACTATGCCACCACCTTCAATGGCATTGGGGCAAAGTGAGTTAATAAAAACGATACCAGATACCGGCGCGGCAAAGAGGGAACCATACAACACAATTGCGTTATGTCAGGGCAACAATTTTCAGGTTTGAACATATTTTGGCAGCTTTCGTTTAATGATATGCAAAACGTGTACAACCAAACATACAATTTGTTAATGAATAGTTCTTATGAATGCATGATGATAAGAATGAATAATATAAAGCTGTAGTTATTAATTATATCGTCAAAAACAGGGAAATGCGGTGCGCTCAAAACTCCGATGTTATCTTGACCACGACGCCAATTCTTACTTTTTAATCCAACCTGTCAGAGTGGAAGAATTAGGAGAGGGTTTAACCATTTTCCATTCCTTTCTTACCAACTCCCAGGTCGATGAAATTAACCGGGTAGCATTCAACAAAATTGGTTTAGCTGCTACAAGGCGTGAAGCCAGCAGTGATGAGAATATAGCAGCATTTGCATCTAAGTAATAATCTACATTTTATGTCAATCTGTATTGAGAAATTTTTGTATTCCCAGCAGTCCTAAAGAATTCTGAACCAGTGGCATGGGGACTGAAAAGGAGGGCTGAGTTATTGTTGGGACTTAATATTCTGGGAGTGAATGCATCCGAAAGTGTACGCTTCTCACTTTATTCGACGGGTATGAAAATTCACGAAAATAAATTGGATTTTGATTTTGCTGATAAATATTTATACTTACAATGGAACCATTTTTTAAACCTGCACCGGGATGGACTAGCGAATTATGTCAAATAATCCAGCCAAGAATTAGGAGTCCCATGACGCTAATCTTTTTCTTGAATGGCCCCTCTGAAGAAAATTATTCGCGATAAAGTTCAATTTTTGAGGAAATTTTCCCTTGCTCTCCCTCCACGGGGCGAAAACCAAGGCGCTCGTGTGAACTTTGACCCCAATATTTTTCTTTAAAGGGGCCATTCAACGGGAGGATAAGTACCACGTGACCCCTAATTTTTGGCGTGATTTTTTGACACAACTCGCTAGTTGACCCCGGTGTAGCTTGAAAAAATGTTCCATTGTTTGTTGGTTAGATTAACTTATCTAATTTAAACGTAACAGGTGGGGGCTTGAGGGCGCACAATGATGCAGCTGGACACTACGACGAAAATGACCCCGATTTGGCCTGGGACAAGACTAATTATGTGGACAGACTCAAGACAATGCTGATTTATGTAAGAACATACCCATTTAGAACTCTCCCACTTCGGATTATCATTCCTAGTGGGCTTAAGTTAGGGATGGAAGTTCGGAATCAAACCTAAATTCGAATAATCAGTATGTAAATCAAGTTTGGATATTAATGAATTCTGGAAAAACTTACAAGGCGTGTTTGGGAACCAGTTTCTAAAAGTAATCAGTTGTTCCTATTCTAAATTAAAAATACAAATTAGTATTGCTTTGAATGATTCAAAGTAATAAAAAAAACAATTCGAAATAACCACCTTTTAGAATTAAAAAATGTAATTACGAAACCTAATAAAATGTTTTAACGATTCCTTACTTAATATATGCACAGCTGAGCGACATTGACGTCGGCGGGATCACCGCCTTTACAAATCTTGGCGTAGCGGTACGTCCAACGAAAGGCTCGGCATTATTCTGGTAATGTTTAGCAAAACCCTAACGCAATTTCATTATTATGGTTTTCCTTCATTAAATCCGATCTGTTTACGTTTCAGGAGTAACTATGCATCAAATGCGGAGGACTTGGATCCCCTAATTACTCATGCGGGCTGCCCCGTCCTGCTCGGGATCAAGAGTTATGCCACCTTGTGGATTACCAAGAGCGCCAATATGCTCATGAAGAAATGTCCACGAAAATCTTTACACTCAGAGCAAAATCGCTAAACGCGGTGTCTATATATGACCTCACCGGTTTGGTAGCGATTTGCTACAGAGTTGTAGTAAATATGTTACTATGTTCTAGTATTTCCCTACCGCGCTGTTACGGTGAGACAAAATGTGGGAGCAAATTTACTACAATTTCGTAGCAAATCGCTACCAAACCGGTGAGGTCATATATAGACACCGCCCGGTAGCAAATTTGCTTACTTTTTGCTCTGAGTGTACTTTGGGTGACGATTGTATGATATGTTCTACCAATTTACAGTTATTATGAAATTCCTCAAATTTTATTACTGCCTTGGTTTCATTTGTAAACAAATCCGAAAATTCGGTGGAGGCACGCATATTAAATTAATGATATAAATTAAATGTCGCATTCATTTTGGTTTTTGCATGACGGATGTTAATTTTAATTCAATTCTTTTTGCAATTTTTTTCCCAAAGTGGTTTTGGGAAAACAATTGGTCCACGAGTTTGCAAGAAAGAAAGCCCGAAGAGTAAAATTTTAGTCTTGGTTATTAGTATATAATTGGTCTTAATAAAAAAAATGGCTGAACTAAACTTAATTGATTCACACTAACAGATTATAATTAAATGTGAAATACTTGATTTGAAAATTTCCATTTCGTATTTTTGTTAATATTTGATACCTAAAACTAGTCGTAAGTAGTGTTAACTAAACAATTAAAAGAAGAAAAACCGAGACTTATTCGTTAACCTCTTTGACAGTACTCATTTGTTAATAAAATTTCACTTCTAAACGATTTTGATTTGATTATTAACTTTGATTATTATTATTATTAATTATACCCGATAGCAACCGATTAACATTTTCCACGAGTTTGCAATATTCGAGTTTTTGACGAAAAACACGAAAATCCACTTTTTAGAATTGGTCGGTACAGGGAAAATTCACAAATTTTAGGAAAAGAGAAAAGTATCGAAAAAAATTTGTGTATTTCGTAGTCAACGGAAAAATAAAATACGACACAAATTTACGTATGTCGCCGTGAACGGAAAATACAATAATAACACAAAAAATGTGTACACTTCGTCGTCAAGGTGTTAAAGCTCCACATTCCAAAATCCATAAAAATCGATAAAAAAATAGACCCCCAAATCCAGCTCACGTATCGGCCCCGAATCTATAGTTCCGCTAGTGATACATATGCATAATGTGAAGTTGGAAGTTGCACTACCCACACTGCTCCAATTATCACGAAGTCACGACCCCGACTCATTTAATTTTGTAAAATTTAGCAGATTTTCCCGACCACCATTTTGGCACGACCGGGTCCACGTCAGCACCCACCACAATTACATTGCAAAATACCAAGCTTCCCCTTATTGGAGTTGAATATCACGAAAATGAATTTCATTATTATTATTATTATTAAACATAATATTTAATTTTCAAAAAAAATTCGCATATTTTCGTGAACCATTTTTGCATAATTAATAAATATATACACCCAAATCAATGACTAATACAGATTACGTCGCAATAAGTGACGTCAAGTTGTACATTTGTTGTAATTATTTATATACGCGGAGCATCCTGTGTAGATTAAATCCAGGTAAACGAAACAGTATACAAATTGGCGTTGTTATCAGGGCATAAATGAGAACAACCAAAAAAATTATCTCTCTACGCCACGATTACATTTATTGATACACAGTATATGAAATATACATGTATGATGAATCCTCGTAGTGTGAATAATTACCAGACATCCAGCTCACCCAAATCTACACAAAACTTAGCGTAAAGGATTTATCACAACTGTTTCACAGCCAAAATAGTTCGAAAGTACGCCTAAATCGTCCACCGTCAGTTAAAAATTTGTTGAATAATTGGAAATAAATAAGTTTCTGGAATTTTGTGACGACATGGAAATGGTCTCTTACAAACCTAGTGGAGAAATGTATATGGTTGAAAACGATCCAAGGATCTCAAATCCATCTTCCACACCTCCTAAAAGTTATCAGGTAGATGTGAACACTTTGGAAGACAGCTTTGTCTTCTCCACGGCCTCAATTCGTCAAGGATTCGTCCGGTAAATGAAGTAATAATTAATTTAAATTATTGACTATAAGAGATTTAATTTTGGTTTAATTTTCAGAAAAGTGTTTTCCATTCTCCTACTCCAAATCGTGACGACTTTTGGGGTGGTTACGCTAGTGACGTTTTCAGACAGTGTCAGAGATGCGCTACGTAATTTGACATTTATTTACGTATCAATCCCTTTGGTGATTTTGGACCTTTGCTTGATCATCTTCATCCTGGTGAAGCCAGAGCGGATGAAAACCACTCCGATAAATTATATCGGATTAGTGGTCGTGACCATGGCAACTACGTTTCCGATAGGGGTGGGAACGTCTTATGTGGAGTAAGTGTAGTGGGAATGTACATTTGTTAAAAGATGAGTGTTTCGCCTAGTTTTAAATCATCTTGGACAGGACACTGTCCAAGGGTGGTTTTGGAGAACAATTCAAATCAGAGGTCGACGCCGACAAATTTTCGGCGGCGGCGGCGCCAATTTTGGGTGATTTTTCGGCTGCGCGGCGGCGCGGCGCGGCGTCCCAATGTTGAAGGAACAGGAAATCAAATTTTTCGGCTGCGGCGGCGTCAAAAATACTACCGGCGTTCGGCGGCGCGGCGGCGTGAGATCGGCGGCGTCGACCTCTGATTCAAATGTGTCAAAAAGTGTTCAAAATGTGAAAAAGTGTCTGAATTGAAAAATGGGGCAAACTGCTACAATTCATGTTGCCACATTAAAGTTAGTTTTGGGCACTTTTGGATACTGGCCATGTCTAAAACGAAGCACTGCTTAAAATGAAGTCTTACTTTATCACACTAATCTCTGTTTTGTGCCGACTTTGTAGGATAAAATACGCCGTACTCTTCCCGACCGGACTCATCGTGACTAGCACGTTGTCAGTGCTCCTATTTTGTCTACAATCTCGGAAAGAATTGTCCTTCTTGTCTGGTTTCCTGATCTCCACGCTATCCCTCGTACTAACTGCGGTCCTTCTTTTCTTCGCTTTTCGTGTAGAAAATGAGAGAGAAATGGGTACCATCCTAGGTGTTGCGGTCGTAATGACGATACTTTTGGAAATGTTGTGGATCGGTCTAATTCGTGGAATTATATTTGGGGATAAAAATAGATATGGGACACGATGTTCCGAAGAAGATTACATTTTGGCCGCAGTGCTGCTTTATGTGGTGGTAATTTTAATCTTTTTGGTTATCCTGCTCATTGTCCTGCTCATTGTGGGGTCAGGAAAAGGTGGTTCGAATACTTGTGCTGGTTGTGGGAGTTGTGGATGTCATGGGGGTTGCGGGTTGTGGACTTGCCCGATGTTTGGGAGAACGAGAGCGTATAACGAACAACGACGGGAGGAGGGTTGCGTGCCGGGTGAGAATGGAGGTGTTTCATAAATAAAATTTGCTTATTTATTGTACTAGTCTTTAGAGCCCGGTTAGTGGGGGCTGTCTAATAAACAAAATAATAAAAATGCGAGTCTCTTTCATCAAAAGATCAACAATATTTTTGATAAAAACTCATAAGCTAGGGTTGTATTTAAGGACACAATTAATTTCGGTAACTTTATGTGTTACTTAGTATATTCGTATTATGACTGGCGACACCCCTCGTGATGGATGTGGTTTGAAAATCTCACTATTTTGTGTGGATTACACTTACAATGCATTTAAATTTGCCGAGGAAACAAGTAGAACGGCTATTTTTTTTTACCAATTTGCATAATTCGGATCCTTTGTAATAGCTACTGATCCATTTTGTATAAGAAAATGAAACCTTGAAAAAAACAGCGAAGAAATTGCCGCGTTTTCGAATTTCAAAATTTACCAGTTGAACCAAAATTGTGTTTATGCCCATACCATATGTGCTTATAGGGCTTGGAATTCAGTCTAGTGGTTAGAGCATCCATCTCTTTCCACAATTGGTGTCCAGTTCGAAAGGGGGTGGAGGCTGGAGTTTTTTGGTATAATCACAGGTTAACGTACTGGAAAAGATGACTGCTTGGGGATAGACAGGGCCTTGATTAGGCAAATGCTGGCTCCCATTTGGATACACTCTTAGAAAAAACCCACGGGGTAAATTCATTTGTTACCCCATACGAAGTAATGCTTAGTAAATTTAGCGTTATACTTACCTTGAATTTAGTAAACATTACTTCGTATGGTGTGAAAGTGCATTTACCCCGTGGGTTTTTTCTAAGAGTGTACATACTCCGGTACGGTACATGCTAATCGACTAACACGTGTTTCCTCCAGGGGATTTCCATTTACTGACTATATATGTAAGTAGTGTTGTGTGTGCACTGCACTTGTCTGAATGGAACCTAACTTACCTACCTAGTTAAAATCTACCTATCCTGATCACCCTCTCTTAAACAAAGCCTGCAAGAGCTGTTAGCCATAAGCGGACGTAAAACCTAACCTTTTTTTTACCTTATGTGTTTATAAACATACCCAGAATTTAGTCGACACAATTGTGTTTAAAGTATTGACCTATTTAATATTGTAGCTGTCTTAAAACTACATATATATTTCTTCCCAATATGAATGAAGCCTAATTATTTAGTATGTAGGTATTTCTTTTCAAATCTAAATTATAAATAAATATGTGCAATATTCAAATAATTCTTTTGCCGAATTTTGGGATTTTCAAATCGCTCAATTTTTTGAATTTTGGGACAATTTAGAAAATTTAAACACGTATTTCCTTAGAATTACTTGTTTCACTTTTTAAAAATGCATTTTCAATTTTTTTAAATTCGAATTTTTAGTTTTTGGAATTTTGTAATTTTGGATAATAGCAAAAATTTTGTGATTTGTATACATTCCAAAACTTATTATTTTTACTAAATCCAGGAGGTAATTCTGAAAATTCTTGTTTCTAATTTTCTGATTTCGAACCAAAATTAAAAAAGTTACAGTGATTTTAAAATCTGAAAATTCAGATGAAGAATTATTTCAATCAAACGAAGGGCGGTTAAATTCGCGCATTATTTAAAGAACATGTTGGCTGATTTTTGGATGTGAACAAATTAAAATTAGTCTCATTAAGATTGGTGATATACACTTCACGATGTTGCATTTTAAGAATTCAATTGTAAGCCAGTCACAAGACTCTGTTTCCGCTTAAAATCCCTTTCCAAACATTTCATTAAAGCCCATCAGCCAAAATGCTGGAATGCTGCGACGAATTATTGTAAATTATGTTATGCATTCCCTGTCCAAGAAAGAAACATTCCAAGAAAAACATCACGCTCAGATTTTTTAGACTTTGGCCAAAATAGTTGGGCCAAAAACCACTTTGTCCTTCAATAACAAATCATTCTTCCCTCAACACAGGTGAATCTTCTACCCAACCGATATCCATGGGCTCGACAGCATTCCTTCCGTTCGGGTGGAGACCGATTGCAAACTTCGTTACAGGCGTCGAGATATGTTCCCTGGGCTTTAACCGTTGTGATGGCAAATCCTGAAATATCTCATAATTATTATATTTATAAGCTTTATTTGCAATTAGTCTAATGGTTCAAAATACGCCCCAATAATGCACACACTGTTAGTGCGACATGTCATTTTAAAATTATAATGAACATACTCACGACAACGTCTTGTTTCGCATCGCAACTCATTAAGCAAACTTGCGAAGATCAAAATATTTGTGTCGTGGGGGGATTCGCAAAATACGACTTCGGAAATTTCGCATATCTCGCAAATCTACTAAGAATACCTATTTTGACGTTGTTTCCATGGATTTCTGTAATTTCTCTTGCTTGAGATGGTGAGGATGCGTTTGCGAAATAAGCTTGCGAAATAAGAACATGCTCAATTTCTGGGTAAATTTGTAAAAAAATGGTTTTCCAGCAAAATTTTTGCGAACTCTCGCACATCTTCGCAAGTTATGTTGCTATGCTTAATTTGCGAGATATGCGAAGGTTGACGTGAGTACGCTCAATATAAATTAAATTTGATTAATTCAGTAAAAAATTAGTAAATGTAGACAAACCTCCTAAAACGAGCAGAGCTGCAAAAAATATGGTCGCCGTCTTCATAATTTCTGTCGGAGTAAGTAAATATGTAGATGAAAAATGTTTCCAATGCGGCTTAGATATGTAGTACCATGATTATATCGATTTGCTCCTTTTATATACATAGAAGGATTGATAGGCATCATTTCCAGGAAATTTGTCAAGTTCAATGAATGAGAATCAGGGTCCCTAGCAGTGTTTTACGTGTTTTTGTTAGGTCAGGTGTCGATCTATTGCATATACATATTTGCATATGTACCTACACTCTAAATAAAAATAACTAAAATTTACCCACGGTTGAGTAAAAAAGAGGATGACACGACAATTTGGTGAAATTTTCACCACGGTTGGACAAGTTTTACACAAGCAACACGGTGTTTTAGAAACCTGGATGAGAATACCTGGTAAACATTAGCATTCTGGTTTTCCAGCTAGAAACGTGGTGATGAATAATAAACAAGTTCGTATGAAGTGGAAAAAGGTTTTTACACGGTGGAAATAATAGTGTCTGTATTTTTTTACTTGTCGTGCTTTGAAATGCAGTGAAGAGATTTTTACCAGATTAGATTCCCCAGGGTGCATGATGGATTAAAAATGTGTTTAAATAATTTAATTTAACATTGAACATTATTAAATCATTTAGGGTTTTTTTTATAGAATTTATAATTTCGTGGGGCGGAAAAGTATTTATCCTTAACTCTTAGAAATGGGGTTACGATTATAACCAAAAAGTAAAAGTATGCGACTCTGCCGCCGTGGTTATAAATTTGTCATTGAGTGGTTACAATTGTCACACTCTTAGCAACTTGGTAATAAAAAAACCAGCGGAGTAGATATATGACTCTACCGTGACGGAATTAAATTAGTGTTAAAATTATTACCAAAAAGTGTTATTTTATTACTAAATCTATTCCAACATGGTGCAAATTTTTAATTCCGTCACGGTAGAGTCATATATCTACTCCGCTGTTTTTTTTTATTACCAAGTTGCTAAGAGTGTGCAGGGGACACCTTGAGCTCCACATTTCCACCCACACGACCGAGAAGCCCTTCAATTATGCCACTTGTGGGAAGAGTTTCGCACGCAGGCAGGACTTGAAAAACCATGGGGTAAGTAAATATGTACCTTGAGATAAAAATTGTGAAAAATTAAGACTAAAAATCGTATTTTTATTTCCAGGCGACACACTTGGAAAAATCTGAACGAGAGATTTTTAATTGCAACTTCTGTCACATGACTTTCTTTAGTAGGACGAATTTAGGAGGACATGTCCGCGCCGTTCATGAAAATCAGAGAAATTACCCGTGCTCATTTTGTGACAAAAGGTTCTCGACATCCACTCATTTGAAATATCACGTGGAAGCGATACACCCATCGGGCATGGAGAATATTCATTCGTGCGACAAATGTGAGTACATGAGTCACTCGAAGCGGAATTTCGCCAAGCACAGGAGACGCCACGAGCCTAAAAAACATGAATGTTACTTTTGTGGCAAGAAATTCGTCGGTTTTTCTGAATTGGTGCGCCACTTCGGTCACATTCATACCTTGGAGAAGAAAAAACATTATAACTAAAATTATTTTATGAGGCATTATTCCATTAAGGTTATAATTAGTAAAGTCGGAAGGATTTTTATCAGGCTTGCTAAAAATACATAAATATTTATATCTCGGAAATTCTATGGCTTAATTTTAAAGATTTTCACGGGGAATCACAAATTGCAAACGGTGTGGAAAATATTGTAGGGAGAATATTCAATAGTGACATATGCATAAATTGTATATGATGAACTGTAGTTTCGTAGGAAATTTAGATATTCTTGGCCCTTCATTAATTGGGTATAAATTTCCGTATTGCGTTGCATAAAACAGGTAATGAATCGTTACTAACAATGCAATGGTCGGACCCCACGTCGCTAAGCAGGCCTTCGAGAAACTCGAAAAGGTGTTCTAAACTCCTTGCAATGCATCGTCTTCAAAATCAAATTGGCTATTTTTATCCAAACAGAAAGGAATTAGGTGCCATTCATGTTCCTTCTTTTTTTAGCTGGACCTAAAAAAACAGTTTTAGACTAGTTGTGTTTGGAATTTTTATTGTATGAATTAAAATTAATTAAAATAAAATTGGAATATAAAATTGGAACATAAAATTGGAATATAAAGGGTGTTAATAAAGTCCGATCCCATGCATTTTTTGGAGCGTGGTTGTTACAAATTCAGCTGGAACTTTTGAACCAGTGAAGTTATTTATTTCAAATTTTTACCATGGGAGGAACAACTAAACGTGTAAGTCATGAGCATCTTAGAGTTGAGATACAAACATTGCATCAGCAGGGGCTTAAACCTACAGAAATTGTGCAAAAATTGGGCTGCAGCCGCAGAACTGTTTGGAAATGGAAGAATAAAAATTTTGTCCACGACAAAAAGCGACCAGGGCGACCCAGAAAGGTGTCACCTACCACAAAAAGAATGATTAAAAACAGACTTTGCAAGAAAACCGGTAGTTCATTACGTAATTGAGCAAGGGAGTTAAATGACTCAAAACGCTATAAAGAGAAGAAGAAGCAAATTAACTGTGTGACCGTGCAAAAATTTGTGAAAACTACGAAGTGGGGTCACACAGCTTACAAACTAACCAAAAAAACCTCTCATGTCACAAAAATATATCGATGACCGTCTGAAATTTGAAGAACTCCTTCAGAAAAGTGCCCATTTGAGTGAAAAAAGACTTGGTGAAGAATTGCGCAGTCACATCCTTTGGACTGACGAATCTATTATTGAACTATATCCAAAATTGAACCAACAAAATGTTCGTTACAGGACAGAAAACAAATCGGATGTACCATCAAGAGCGATCCCAAAATTCGGGCTTAAAGTTATGGTAGCGGGTGGATTTTGTGCACGTTGCGTGACCCCTCTACATATCATACCAAAAGGCCAATCAGTCAATGCAAAGCATTATATGGAAAAAATATTACCTATCTATTTCGATAGCATGGGGAACAAGGAAATATTTCCGAATGAAAGAAAAATAGTTTTCATGCAGGATGGTGCTATAGCCCATACAGCAAAAGCGAGTTTGAGTCTCATCAAGACGCAAGTTTCAACGGTCTGGAGCAAGGGGGTGTGGGCCGCTAACGGCCCAGATTTGAATCCCCTGAAGAACCAGTGGTCCATACTTAAGGAAAATGTATACAAAGAGCCACAACCCCGGACGAGGGAAGAGCTAGTAAAAAAAAGTTCAAGATGTATGGAATTCGATTTCCAGAGGCACATTGGAAAAATTAGCACAGAGCCTTAAACAAAGAGTTGAGGGCATGGTTAAAGTAAATGGTAACAAGACCAAATACTAAGGTAAATATGTCGAGCATTTTTTGTAAGTATCACGGGTAGTTTTTTTTTATACTAGCCTTCACTTTTTTACAGGAAAAATGGGATCGGACTTTATTAACACCCTGTATTATAATCGGTTCTTCCTGGGTAACGGAATATCGATATTAATCGAAAAATTGGATTATTAAAGGGTGAAAACCCCTTTATGTCTTGTCTGTCTGTCCGTCCGTCTGTCCGTATCCACGATAACTTTAGAACGGATGCGAATATCGAGATGCGGTTTTCGCCAAAGTATTTCTAATTTTTGAATTATGGATGAGTTCGAAGATGGGCATTGTCGGTATTAAGGTCAAGGCGCCATGGTAATGACGCCGTGTCGAATATTTGTCGAATTTTTTGTTTCGACTGTTTTAGACGTATTTTGGGTGCGCGGATTTAAAAAATCGACATCATTTTGACGTACGATGACCGTGTGACCGTGTAGACGACGCCACATGTTGGCAAATTGAATTATGTCATGTGGGGTGTCTATCGAAAGGTAGAGTCGTGTACGTTCAAAGTACGCGGGACTTATGGCGAGACGGGGCGAAATGAGACATGTCATGTGAGACAATTTGGGGAAATGACGGGAAAGTATTGGAAGACGATGTGGGTGTGCCCTAAGGATATTTACGTGTGTTTTCACCCCTTTGCTACATTTCGTTTGCAACGGTTTATTTCAATATTATTTGTACGCAATCCAATTTCGTGCATGTTCATGCACTTTTCCGGATTTTGATGGGTTTTGTTAAACGTTTAAAACCATTTTCGTGCAGGTGTAATTTAACAGCATAGAAACATGCGCATATTAGGAGAAAAAATTTCGGTCTGTGTGGAACTCCCAGCTAAGTCGAAGTTTATACCCCATCACGAGATGATGATGGGCAGCATATCCCAGAGTAAACAGGGGCCGTGCGCACGAATGTGTGGAAAAATGCGCAATTAATGTGAAACTTACATTTCATCGTATTCGTAAGCATTTGAAATTTGGCATGCATATGCATCAAAGTGTTGTGCACCACAATATATCATCAGTTTCTGTTCCAATCACGGAAAAATTTTTGCAAATAATTGAAGAGCAACGTAATTCTCATGATTCGTTATTGGGACCAGTGTTTCTTTTAGTTCGCACGAAATAATTTTTATGCATGCATAAAAACGCACAAAAATGCGTAAAAACACATACAAATGCATAAAAATGCACAAAAATGCGTAAAAACACATAAAAATGCACAAAAATGCATTAAAATACCTGAAATGCAATTTCGGCAGAGAATTTCATATTTTTAAGAAATTTTATATTCTACTACCCTGAATGGGGAAGTAAAATTCAGTTATCTATAATGGTTTGAAACCTTGCCACAACACCTTCTAGGCAGAGCTTATGTACTCATCATACACAGTTGCCATCGATCACGCTAGTAAAAATTATCCTATTAACTTGGAATACATAAAATTTTTACTTGAAAATTTTGACCTTTTACATTTCAAAATTTCAAACAAGGATTTGTTTTCCTATAAAATGCAAGCCGTGTAAAGTGCTAATAAAAAGTTGTCGAGTTATAATTTCACCAACCTTTAGAGACTTTCGGTTCAAATATTAAAATATGTACTAAAATGATGAATAAAATGCCATATTTACAAAACACACCGATTTCTCAACTCTGGGCTAGCAGATATTTAGAAAAATTAAAATATTACAATATTATTTGCACCTAAATCATTTTCGTGCATTTTCATGCACTTTTCCGATTTTTTGATGGGTTTTATTTAACGTTTCAAAACATTTTCGTGCACTAATTTCGTGCAGATGTTATTTAACAGCAGAAACCGCTAATTAAAAAAAGTTATAACTTTTGATTGAAACATGATTTTCAAGTTCTGTTTTCGCAGGTCTCTTCAATCTGAGTTTTTTGAATTTTGAAAGAATTTTTTCGAGACTTAATTACAATATAAGGGGATGTATGGGGAGGGTCCCTACTGCGATTAGCAGAATTTGAGATGGAACATTATGTGGTTGCATATTTAATAACCTAAGAGTTTTAAAAAAAAGTATTTAGCGTATGACGTCGGCAGATATGATTTATATGATTTAAGTAATAATATTTATGTAAATTCATGCACCAATAAACTCTGACTAACTGGGCCAGTAGGTCCTTATAACCGAAGATTTTTGTGAATCGGATTACCGTCATGAAAAAAGAGTTTTATAAAGACACACAGCCGCCCAGCCATGCAAAAATAGGAGCCTCCTCGCGACAGGTGAATCTTTCTTTTACTGACAAGGCAACATCGTGAAGTGTTTATCTCAAATCCTAATGGAACTCACAATGGAGGTCTCCCAACGTATGCTCATAGATTTGGACGAAACTGGTGTCAATCGATCACAAATTTAATGGGTATGAAATTTGCAAATGCAACTATCTGCAAATGCGCAGGTTTGGCGGAGATATTTGCATCCGAAGAGGCGAAAACGCGCCCAAAATGCCATCAATTTTACACTTTTCGAATTTTTCCTTACAAATATGCGAGTTTTTACCTCCTTTTATGCAAATATTTCCGCCAAACCTGCGCATTTGCAGATAGTTGCATTTGCAAATTTCATACCCATTAAATTTGTGATCGATTGACACCAGTTTCGTCCAAATCTTTGAGCATACGTTGGGAGACCTCCATTGTGAGTTTAATTTATTCACATTCAAAAATAAGCGGACTTGTATTTCTATTCTTTTGATAATTCGCGTGGTTAAGTGCCTCGCGGGAGATTCAAATAATTCAAATTTTTATTATACAAATTGAGAATTTTTTGATTTTCAAATTGCCAAAACTTTTTAAATTCTAGCGCAAATTAGAAAATTTAAAAACGTATTTGCTTAGAGTTACTTGTCTCAGCTTTTAAAAATCTATTTTAATTTTTTTTTAATTTGAATTTTTAGTTTTTGGAATTTTTATAATTTTGTATAATAACAAAACTCTAAAAAAATTGAGATTTGTAGAAATTCGAAAAACCTTTAGTTTTACTGAATGCAGGAGGTAATTCTGAGAATGCTTGTTTTTAATTTTCTGATTTCGCGCCAAAATTAAAAAAGTGATTTAAAAATCTGAAAATTCAGCTGACAAATTATTTTAATCTGCAGCCCGTCAAATGCGAGCATTATCAAAAAATCAAAATACGGGTCCACTTATTTTTGGATGTTACTAAATTACCATTAAAATTGTAGATAAACACCAAACGATGTTGCATCGTAAGTATTTAATTGTAAGCAATCGCAAAACTCTGTTTCTGTTTAAAATCCGGCTCCATGCAGTCCATTGAAGCTTATCAGGCAAAATGCTGTGACCGATTTTTAAGTAAGTTATGTTATCCATTGCCTGTCGATAACTCTGTTTTATGTATTTATTTGCCTTACATGTACGTTTTTATATTTCTTGAAACAAGATAAACGATGAACACCAAACGATATTGCATTGTGAGATACAGACCATGAAATCGAGAGATAAATGACAATGAAAAGAAATTATGTGTCAATGTCTGTCTCCCTATTGTATCATTTGTAAAGATTCTCGTGCACACAATGGCTTTCATGTAACGGTAATGTCGGATCGAGACTTTATTTTATTCTGTGAGTTCCCACCATACTTTGAGAACCATTCCAACCCAGTTAAACTTTTGGTGAAGTCATTCATTCGCAGAGCAAGGTTGCCAGGAGGATTTACAATTTCGAAAATTAGTCGAAATGGATTTGTTGCGATATTTCTTTCCATTTTTTTCTGCCTTGGGCTAATCAGGAGTAGTTTGGGATGGAATTTATTTCCATGGACGGGTACAAGTTCACTCGGGAATTTCACGAGGGAGAAACTTTCTTCTTTGAGAAACCAACGGAATCGCTTGCAGAGTCTTGTCATTGAGGAGGAAAGGGCAGAAATAGGGGAAAAAGAGGAAAAAGTGACGCTGAATTCATCCCTGGCAAGTAAATTTTCAAGGAAAAATTTCGTGAAAAATTTTGTACCCGTGAATGAAATAATTGAGAAAATGTCTGACAAAAGGAAGCCACAGGTGAGGAAATAAATAATATGAGACAAAGACTTATAAGAATGTGTAAAATTTGTGTATTAAAAAATTTGGCAGAGTTTTGATCCACGTCTGGAATTGGTTGACAGAATGTTGAAATCTGAAAAGATGAAAAATATTTTAAATCTATTTCCGATTGACTTTGGAATTAAAATAAAAAAGATATTAAAGATCGATGGGTTGAAGGATAGGTAAGGGGCTATATTTTTATTGATTGATTGATAATCGATTCTTTATAAATTAGAGATATTTATGATTTTTGTAGTCATGATGATTATTCCGGAATTAATCTTGCCGCCAGTAGAGGAGGAGGAGGGGGTGGATGGGGATGGGGGCAGGGGATGGAAATCGACGCATTCACCATTCTGGCTGCCTTAGCCTTCTTAACGTATTGACTTATTTATTTATTAAAAAATTGACAAGTTTTGATTTTAGAAAGGTTTTGGGATATTTGCAGATTTTTAATGTCCGTGTTGGCGCAGTTGCTTGCCAGCGTAACGACCACCGGGAAGGTCGGAATTACGAGATGTCACCGAATCTCCGGTTTTACCTAGTGGGCTCGATTTGGCTACAGTATCGAGAACTATTGAAGTATTGATTGAAAAATTAAAAAGTAAGGAGGTTAAATTATGGGGTGGAAATTCTTCATGGGGAAAGGGTAACAGGGTTGGGAAGGATAATTATTTTACAAAAAAGGACTTCTAGGTTAGGAATTAAAGTATAAAAAATAAGCTCATAATTGAAAAAAATAATTAAGTATAATTATCAATTCGGATACGACTAATTATTTCACTCTTAGCAACTTGGTAATAAAAAAACAAGCGGAGTAGATATATGACTATACCGTGACGGAATTAAAAATTTACACCATGTTGGCATAGATTTAGTAATAAAGTAACACTTTTTGGTAATAATTTTAACACTAATTTGTGTTACTTTTTTTAATATATAGTATTGTTTTAATACCAAATCATTACTATCGCGGTAGAGTCATATATGCACTCCGCGCAGTAATGATTCATTGAAATTTTGTTTAGAGTGTTCAAATGGTTTTTATGTTTTTTTCCCGGGTCATTCTCATGTTTCCCCATGGGGGAAGTGCACCCCCCACTCCAAGAGGGGTGAGCACCCTAAACTTGTCACTTAACTATAACTTTTATAAAAGGTATCTATGACTACTTGTAAAGGATTAAAAAACAATAACATTTTAAAATTGGTAGCTTATTATTTCCGCATGAAATAAATTACGTGATATGAATAAAGACAGTACTTTTGTTAATGTTCATTTAATTAATAGAGCTTGATGGAATCAATGTATAAAAATTTCGTCTTCTAAGGATTTTGGTCAAAATAGATTAAAAGTAGGGTAACATTACGCAGGTTGGCAAAGAACGAATAATAATATCAGTAGGCATATTATTACTTTTGGAACGGTTGGTTAGTCCTATAATGATTTTGATAATGGCATCTATCATAAACTTAGGACAATATACGACAAATGTATTCCATTTTACTGCAGCATACATGAGTGAATCCGTTTTTCTAAGGTGAGGCCGGAAAGCGGGGCCCGTGATAAAAAGCAAATCTACACTCTTAACAATTTTTACCCGAATCAACACAATCCGGGGTGTATATATGACTTAACCGGATTGTGATGATTTGACACGGCTTGGTTGTAGCGGAGAGACAATGTGGAAACCGCCCAATACTAGATAGTGAGGATTTAACACATTGTGGGGAAAATGTATCACAATGTGGGGTAAAATATTATCATAATTTGGTTAAGTCATGTGGGCTCCCCGTTTCTCTCCGTTTTGCTAAGAGTGTAAATATGCTAAAGTGGGGCCCGGTGCAGCCTAAGAATGCATTTCTGCTACCCGTCTAAAAGGTCTCACAAGGTTTCAGCCAAGACGATAAGTCAGATCGAAAAATGATGATAGGCAAACTGGTTAGCGAATGACCAAATTAGATACAGAATGAGGTATTCACAAATATTTTCGTATCCTAAGTATCGTAAAATATTTTAAGAAGAAAAAAGAAGGGGTCAAGTTTCGTAAACATTGATTGATTGATTTATTGAAGTGTGTAACCTACTCGTTTATCAAATGTGGGTGTACCGGAAATGCTCACAATATAATGTGGGGAAAGCAAAGTGAGCCGACTGAAAACCTCAAATTTAGAGAAATAAATACAAAAATTTATTTAGTGTCTAACAAGTTCACACGAACAAACCATGCTCTTCCTCATGTGGCACGCAAAAATAAACAAATATTTCGACCTACTCTATACCTTCACTCAAAGGACTTATTGCTCGTCCAAAGCAACGCCGTTTGATAAAAATTGTGCCGCTGGAAAACTGCGTGCAATATTCCGGCCAACATTTATGTAATTAATGGATAAATTAACTAGGAACAACATGCATGAAATTCAATTTCGAAAAATAATTTAATATGGGGCAAACAAAGATTTTCCAACGAACCATCGAAATAAAGTTGGGAAAAATTGTTCGTCGTTTTTCTGCTTCTGTTGAAAAACAATTTTTACGGAATTGGTGAGTGTTTCATATTTTTATTTAGTTAAGGGACGTGTTTGGCTTGGACTTACTCTTAATTCTGACACTCAATAGGCAATGCCTATGAGGCGAAATGAGACATCCTTCGGAATTTGAAACTTGGTCATTCAGTATCATAATGGCGATGAAAATGGGAGGAAAACCCAACATGAAATTTCGTCTATGCTCAAAATTCCTCGCACAAAGGTACAATATATACTTTCCAAGTTCAAATCATCTGGGTCGATTGTAAATTAGTAAGGTAGAAGTCGAAAGCCAAAATTTTCCGTTCGAGAGAAGCGTGATATTGTTTAGAAAATCGAGGTGAATCCCAAGTTGTCCATTTCTAAGATCAAGGGTCAGGTTGAAAATGAAACTTGGAAGAAACCTGATTATAAAACAATAGCCAAAGAATTGAACTCTGAAGGTTTGAAGAGTTTCAAAGCTAGTAAGAAGATTAGGCTAATCTCAAGAAATGACTTGCATTAGTCAATCGAAACCAAAATTTCTGGGATAATATTTTATGGTCGGAAGAGATCAAGTATAACATTTTCGGGTCAAATGGGTGTGGCGGAAGGAAGGAGAGGCTCTTAAATGTAAAATTTGAACCCCACTATGAAATATGATGGTGGAAGCGTTCGGTGTGGGGCTGCTTCCCCCCTCTTCCGGAAGCGGAAACCATGAATTGGTCGACGGAATTATGGATCATCACAAGTTGTGATTCACAACTACCAAGGCATATTGAACCGAAATGTGAAGCCATCTGCAACAAAACTTGGAATGAGCCGACGGTATATTTTCCAGCAAAACCCCGATCGCGAAGACGCAGCCCAAAAAACTTGTTTAAAATTCTTTAAAAAAACAAGATATAAGCTGTATCAGATAAGTTGAAATTTTACGTATTAACCTAAATTTATTTTTAACGGATTTTCAAAATTTCCAAGGTTTTGGAAACCTTTGGTGTTCAATTCATGATCAGTGTCAAAGAATCTATTTTATTTCGAAAACAGAAGTATGTACACTAAGGAGAGTAATTGACTCCTTGCTACCAGTTCATTTTCGAGAATATTCCGTTGCGTACCAATTACACACATTTGTGTAACGATTTTTTATCACTTGACTACCGCAAGCGATTTTTCGAAATATAACTTTCCCTACCAATTACACACATTTGTGTAACAAAATTATTTCTGTTGGCTACCAATTACACACGAGATCGTTTTCCATTGCGTACCAGTTACACAAATGTGCGTAATTAGATCAGGGATTTAAAAAAATCTGGTAGTCCATGGAAATTTATCAAGTTGTAAAAGGCCGGAGAGCGTAAAATTTCCAAAAATACCTTGGTAGCTAAGAGAAATAATTTTGCTACACAAATGTGTGTAATTGGTAGGGAAAGTAATTTTCTGAAAAATAGTTTGTGGTAGTCAAGTGATAAAAAATTGTTACACCGATGTGTGTAATTGGTAGCCAAGAGGTTAATATTTGAAAATTATATAGGTTTAGGATACAATTAGTTTCAATGATGTGGCATATTTTATAATAGAAATAATTGGGTAAATTGGTAAAGTGGTAAATAAGGTGGTAAACGCAATGCTACAGCATAGGCAATGCTACAGCATAGGCAATGCTACAGCATAGACAACGCTACAGCATAGGCAATGCTACAGCATAGGCAACGCTACAGCATAGGCAATGTTACAGTATAGGCAATGTACAGAGTGTGAAGGGATGCGGATCAGAGAGTGTAAGCGGGAGTGTGAGAAGAAAAGGGGCGCGTGGGTCTGGTAGTTTCTAGCAAGAACGTATTTTTTAAGTTCAGTACTAGAGTGAACGTCAACTGGTTGAGTGCTCGTTGTCTAGAGAGCAAGTAGTAATTTTTGGTCGTGTGAAGAATAATTAAATAAAGTTATAATTAATTGGAATTGTTAATTAAATTGAAGTTTCCAGTTCTTTATTGATTCGCCGACATCATATATGTAATAGTAAAGTGTTTTGGGACTACTTCTCAAGTAAAAGTGCATCTCTAGGCATCTAATTAAAGTTTTGAAGTTTAAGTTGACTTTGTCGAAATTCAATTAGTCAGTACTGCAGGCACATACATAGGCGTTACGGATTCGACGGGTAGTTGGATCGACCGAGCACATCATTTGGAATAGTCATCAATTTATATATACTTAAGTTTTCTTAAATTTGCTCTAGTTTACCTTCAGTTCACAAGGTAAACCATTAAATAAATTTTTAAATTAAGCGAATTATTTGTAAAATTCATAATTTACAAATCTGAAGTGCTCGGAATTGACTAAAATTGTCAGTAGGCCATAGACCCAACGAGGGGCTGGGGGTGTGGCATCCAGCGACTATTTTAGTATTTAAGCAAATTATGGTCTACGATACAAACTATTTTTCTCGAGGGAAAGGTCATCACGATGATCATCTCCAATATTTGAAAAACACCCCCGCAGGTAGTTTTGGTTTTCAGCGCTTTGGACATTATTAAGGGGTGAAAACCCCTTTATGGGAATGTCTTGTCTGTCTGTCTGTCTGTCCGTCCGTCCGTATCCACGATAACTTTAGAACGGATGCGAATATCGAGATGCGGTTTTCGCCAAAGTATTTCTAATTTTTGAAGTATTGATGAGTTCGAAGATGGGCATTGTAGGCATTAAGGTCACGGCGCCACGGTAATGACGCCGTGTCGAATATGTGTCGAATTTTTTGTTTCGACTGTTATAGACGTATTTTGGGGCGCGGATTTCAAAAATCGACATCATTTTGACGTACGATGACCGTGTGACCGTATAGACGACGCCGCTTGAATTATGCCATGTGGGGTGTCTACCGAAAGGTATAGTCGTGTACGTTCAAAGTACGCGGGAGTTATGTCGAAACGGGGCGAAATGAGACGTGGGGTAATGTGAGACAATTGGGCAAAATGACGGGAAAGTATTGGAAGACGATGTGGATGTGCCCCAAGGACATTCACGTGTGTTTTCACCCCTTTGCTACATTTCGTTTGTAACGGTTTATTAATATAAACCATGTCTTGTGAAATCAGTTATACTTTTGTCATGTCCGTTTGTAAGTCGGTCCGTCTGTCTGTCCGTCTGTCTGTCCGTTGGTTCGATGACTCTCGAACGGAGTGGCACAGAGACTTGCAATTTTGGATACTAACTCATTATGTTAAGGGGAGGAACTGATTAGAATTTGGGCGTCGTAGGTCAAAAGGTCACGGCGCCACGTTAATAAGATCAATAGTCAAACATGTCAAAATTTTTGTTTCAAAGTTTTTAGATATATTTTGGGGCAGCGATTTCAAAAATTGACATGATTTCGACGTACGTCGACATGGTGATCGTGTAGACGACGACGCTAAATATCGAAAATTTAAAATTTTTTGTTTCAACGGTTTTAGACGTATTTTGGGACGGGGAGTTCAGAAATCAGTATCATTTGGACCTGCGGTGACCCCGTGGGTGTGTGAGCGAGGTCAAAAATCAAACTTTAAATTTAGCGCTAGATAAGCTAACAGAGAAGTTGAAACGTTAGCAGAGAATTTGATACGTTAACAGAGCGCAATTGGGCAGTTAACATGAATCACTTTGTTTCATGCCTTGGTTACAGCCGTTTGTAACGGTTTATTTTTCATTAGAGAAAGAGTAATCCGAGAATGACGTCGAACCAACAAAAGCTACACCCCCATGTGGGTGTCGTTTAGCAGACGAAGTTAGAGTGCATAAATATTGAAAAGTTTAAATTTAAAGTGTTTTGCCTAGAATATATAGTAAATGTGCAATTAGAAGATAAAGGGCCATACGCTAGCAGAAATCCAGAGCGTACAATCTCTTGCGACGGCTCTGGTGTACATAACTACACAAAAAACTTGGTGGGAAACAATAGTAAAACAGAAATGGCTCATATTGACAAAGTCTGCTAGAGTTTGGCGGAATACCAAATTTCAGACCAAGTCTTTATGTCCAACCTCCTACTTTATTATTTTTTCAAGAGAGTTTAACAAGTATCGAATTACTTATAACTAAATAGTGTCATGTGTTAACCAATCAAACTAATTTATCATAAATTATTTATGAAATCTAATCAATTGAAATGCTGTCAATGCTCAACTAAATTAATAGTGTTATATGTTGTAATGTGATAATTTAAATATCCCGAATCTGGAATAACTGTTGAACGCTTGACTTGTTGCAATTACTTAGGTTGGCACCATTCGCGGCAGCGTTCCGGCTGCAAATTATTACCGCAATTAGTGACGACATATAGAATTTTGACTTTTTTCCTAAGGGGATAGTCTTACTTCTCAACGTGTTCCAAACACTTTCCCGACGTTTTGTCAATAATCATGTAAAGGTTGTTTGACACGGGTACGAAGACCCACAATTGTTTAGCCAGTCCTGGTAGTGTCACTTTCTAAAATGTGAATCACACAAGGATTTCGTTCATAAGCCCAGAATTCAGTTGGGACATGGTACTTACATTGTTCGTCATTGAATGTATGTTCCACGCATTTATTCCGGCAGTAACCACCCGGTCCCTGCATCCCCCGTTCTCCTGAAAGATCGGAACAATTGTTGTTCCACAGGCTCGAGCAAAATCTAAAATTATTTTAATTGTAATTAAAATTTAGATTGAGCATATTTTTTGGACTTGATGTTTTATTACCCCATTCAATCTGAAAAATATACCATGGGTCTCTGCCATACCAAAAGATCAGATGATTTCCCTCATGGGCTTTTCCATTTGCAAGTGAGAGCACCTGTAATTCGATGTACTTATTAAGGGGTGAAACCCCTTTATAATTTTGTAATGTCCGTCCGTCCGTTGATTCGATAACTCTCGAACGGAGTGACACATTGACTCTAAATTTTGGATACTAACTCATTATGTTAAGGGGAGGAACTGATTAGAATTTGGGCGTCGTAGGTCAAAAGGTCACGGCGCCACGTTAATAAGGTCAATGGTGAAACATGCCGACATTTTTGTTTCAACGGTTTTATACATATTTTGGGGCGGGGATTTCAAAAATCGACATGATTTCGACGTACGTCGACATGGTGACCGTGTAGATGACGCCAAATGTCGAAATTTTTATATAATCAAGATTAATGACAAATTCATTATTGGATAGACTCGAGAATAATTCAAATTTAATTCAATTCGCATGCAAATACGTGCATAAATTTGTTTCACCCCTTGGTTACAGTCGTTTGTAATGGTCTATTTTGTAATGAAATACTTTGAGGGATTAAGTGGTTACCAGAAACTTACCCTGCCGCCATACTGCGCATTGAAGATTTGTACTCGACGAACAGCGCCTTCTGACATGGTGGAGGATAAGACAATGCAAAACATAAAAAATAGGGACTTCATTTTTGACTTGGTTTCTTGTGTACTGAAAATATTTAATTGGGGAATTATATTGCTACTCATGAAGTAAGGAGGTACTATGTGATTCTACCGCGATGTAACAATTTTAGTAATTGCTTGTCTCTAAAAGATAACTCTTATATTACCCTTGCCGTAACAATGGGATCTGGGCAAGATTTAGTTTCTGAAAATTTACCACCCTTCGGTAAGAAATTATTACACTCTTAAAAAGAATTACTTTCTGAAAAAGCGAAAGCACTTTTTTTACAAGGTCGCTAGATAGTAACGTTGATGGAGTAAAAAGTGCTTTTAAAATTTTCTAAGGGAGTAGAATTACATAGTAGCTCAAAAAATATGTTAATTGTGGATGTGTCTGCTTGGTTTGGTAATAATGTTCTGAGCATAAGTCCCTTAAATACGAGTTCTTTTCAATGCCAGTCGATGATACATACTTTTCTCTTTATAAGTAATAAAAGAGGGTTATGGGAAGATTTGTTTGACAACATATTTATGACATAGTGAAATTGTAGGTCATTATTGGTAATTATACTTTTAACAATTTTTTAACGAATCATTACCAGGCGAAGTATCTATTTGACTCTACCGCCATGGTACACATTTCCTATCGTGTGGTAAAAAATTAGTGGGAATATATTCTTACTTCGCGGTTGCTTTTATTACCATTATGGTAACTAATTTCTTACCACATGATAGCAAATGTTTACTATGGTGGTAGAGTCACATAGATACTGCCATTTTATTACCACTTTTTTTAGAGTGTAAGTTATATAAACCTACCACTGTTTCCGAAACGTCATATCCTATGTATATTATTTAATGTGCTGTACATAACTTAGAGTAATAATTAAAATTATTACGTTTGTCGGAAACTCTCCTTTGTGCGATCATATTACATATTTATTATACACCTATTTAGGAAACCAATAAATGCGTGTGTCCATTAATTTGAAAAACATAAAGTGAATGTATATTTTGTATTAAGTGAGATTTATTATTGATTCTGAGTAAGTGTAAAGTCCTTTTTTTCCATCAACAGATATCGGAATTTTTCTGTGTTTTGGTTTTCAATCTATGACATGTCCTGTGCCATATCAATATTTAAATATCTTATTTACAAAGCGATAAGACAGGATTAAACGAGGTGTTGAGTAAGTAGTGAATATTTTTGTTAATTGCTACATAAATGATAAAAAAAAGTATTTCTTTGAAGTGCAAACTACTATGAGCATGAAGGTGTTAATCTTTTAAGCTGTATAACGATTTTGATCTGAAATTAATTCATCCGGAAAAATACGTCAGGTTTAGAAATACTTATTCTGTGCAAAGTCAAATGATTTCCTGGCATTGTGGAAATGTTATATAAATACTACGTAAATGACCTACCATAAAATCCTGGAGTCTAATGTGTTGAATGTTTGCTTCAGGATAATGAATCGTAGTAAGAATAAAAGACTGAAGTTGGTGGCCTCGCCGAGTAAATTATCGAGTCATATTTTACCAATAAATTGCAAGAGTTACATTTTATAGGGAAAGTATTTCGCTCAAGAATAGTAGGAACAAAAGTCTTTACAAATAATTGTGATTCACGCTAAACATATTTACAAACTTTGATTATATGAAGCAAAAAATGTAGGTACAACAGAAATAGATAAATGGTACAAAAATAATAACGTGGAGATTAATTATGAGAAAACTAAGTTCCAAATCGTTCGCATAATCGATAATAGTCGAGTATAGTAGATTTTCAATATTTTTGAAACTTGTCTGACCAGGGGTATGTACTTGAAAATTTCAAAATTTAAAAAAACCTTGAGTTTGATAATAGGACATGATAGGGCAAAAATCTGGGATCATAAAGACGAAAAAGATTCAAAATCGGAGAGAATTATTTTTGTGAAAATTTAAATATGCAAAAATAAGGCTTTTTTCGTGTTTTTGACATATTTGGCAGGCGCAAATGGGGCCACGGAGTAAAACCACTCTAAGGTTATGCTATATAGCATAACCTTAGAGTGGTTTTACTCCGTGAGTATATACTAACCTAGGGCTACGATACGTGCAAAAGGCATCAAGATCTATTTTTGTCAGGTGGTGAACCTCTCCTCCTTCGTGGTGACAAGTACCCCACATTTCATCTGACTACATTTTGGTACAATGAACTACTCATCCACATTAAACCAAAAGGCGCAGACTCTGGCGCTGCTCATAAATTGTGTAACGCATTACAGCCTATCACACCTAAAGCTTAAGAAAATAAACTAAATAGGAATTAATTAATATAAAAATACGGTTCGGACATCCACGACTGGTTAATTTTTCTATTAATTGAAATCATCCAACTTTTCCGCAAAATGAAAGGGCACGAATATTTTTACAAAAATCCAAACATGATTACTGTGAAACCGTAAAAAATTATAAGAATTATTAGAATTAACACTTTTGTAATCTCATCAAATTTCCCTTTACTAAACGAGTAAGCAAATACAGATTTAAGGTTGTTACATAAAATTGATAATTCGGTTGTTAAAATAAAGTGTATTGTCTCACTTCATACTTTATTAACACATCCTGTCCCCTTATATATTTATATTTTTATGCATGGTTGAAATTTCATAAATAAAACTTGCACTGGCCAAAATCTCGAAATTCCAATTCCATGTAGCATAAAGACAACAAAGACGGACAGTCCAGCCCTACCTTCCAGGGGAGATATGTTTTCGAGAAGAGAGGTCCAAATACCCGGGTCAGGAAACCCCCGGGGTTTTGCTATTGAAAACCCATACCTAGGGTTTTTACCTGGGGTTCGCGGGTAGTCGGGGTAATCGTAGTAGTAAGGATTTTGGGGGTAAGTTGACCCAATGCAGTTGCAAAAACAACCAGCAATTTCGCAACAAAGTGGGCTATTAATTCAATTTTAGTAACTTATTTAGTTACAGAATTGCTAGTAAAGTCCTGTTACCATACTTTACAAAATTTGAAAACCCCGAATACACTTGGGCGTTGCTCATCAAAACTCACAAAACCCCAATACCCCCAAAATTCCGGGGTAGCATACCCTGCCAAGTACTTGTAAACCGCAATGGAGACATATTTGCTGTTACCTGTAAAAAATACAATTGTAAATTATAAATTTTTGTGCTAACTCAAATTGAAGATTTAACCAACAATTAAAGCTTTTGCTCCCAGTTAAGTTTGCCAAGAAATTCGACCCCTTCTTCTCAACATTGTTTAAAAAGAAACTCTTTTTTTAATTTATTGAATTCAAAAAAGTAAAATTGGACACGAGACAATAAATTTCAAAATTTGGATTCGCGGCTCTACTTCTATATGTTTTCTTTATGGTAAGTCATAACATTTATTTTACTCACCACAACAAAAACATTGCTGAACTCCCTAAGAAGAAAACGACCCATTTTTTATAAACTCCCAGCACGAGCAAATTAAAATGAACCGTTCCTTGCAAAATGCCAAATTATAGAGGGGAAATCGATCCACCAAATTTCCCCTAGAATCACGAATTGGCGTCGAAACGATGCTACGAATCAATGAAACGGTGGAGATCATGGCTAACAAAATTGCAAAAATATAGCCGAAATAAAATAGTTAAATCTTATTTCCAAACCTACGGACGAAGGTGACGATCTGAAAAAGAAGTCGCTTTATAATTATATTAAATAAATATTTTTAATTCAATTGCTTAAATTAATTTAATAAAAAATTATGACCACTATTTCTTCAAGTTTATAAAACTTGTTAAGAAAAATTTATTCATATTAAATTCCAACAGAGGTTAAAATTTTGTAGAATTTGTAAAATATTAATGTCCATTATTTTAGTCGTGATTAGCCAATTATATTATAATACGAAATGGGTTACATAATTATAGCATGTTTTATAGAAATTATGAATAAACCGTTTGTAATAAATTTTTTAGGTCGTTCCATTCGTTATCCGAATGAGTGGACTATTTAGTTTTCACGTGGGAATATACATCAGTTATTAAGATTAACCCTTTAAGGCGTGTGATTAGCTACAAGAAATTGCATTAATTCGGGCACGTTTGCTGTGGTCATGGTGCGGGAGGAGGAATTCAGCAGTTTTGGTAAAACTCGAAAAAACTGAAAAACCCAAAATTTAACATTGCGGGAAATATCCTCTTTTTTGGCAATAAAACGTTAAAATTTAACATTTGGTTGGCATAGGAGAAATCCTCAAAAATGACAAGATTTTTCGTCGCCGGCAGAAAATCGTGAAAATCAATGACCTCCCCCAAACGACAATTGTCTTCCTCCCGCACCATGACCACAATTTTGCAGGACGACTATTGTCTTCCTCGCGAATTAAACCATTTCCAAGAAAACGACAATTGTCCTCCATACGAATTAAAGGGAAGCATTAGCATAAGTACTTATGTAAGCATTAGAGGATACCCAACACGGGTCAATTAATCAAAATCCAATTCATAACATCCCCTCCTCTCATTATTAAACCTGGCAGAAGAAAATGCGTCAAAATTACACATATTCACAGACTTGCATAGGGGCCATCCATATATTACGTCATCAAAAATTCTCGATTATAGCACCCAACGTAAACATTAAGGGATAGGGAATTTCAACAAGGGCAAGATAGTCCACCAAAACCATGAAAATAATGACGTAATATGTGCACGTTCCCAAACCTGTATTTTTTCCCTCCCAACGCACACTCATCCCATCATCACTACTTTGACTGTGTTATGCTCTTTTTATTGTGGGGCTGGTTACCTGGCAACGAAGGAAGTGTGTACAGGGAGGGATGAACAATTACTCACCTTTATAAATATTTACTAGCATGCATCCAGATACATACACATATTCTACTAAAAACTGGTTGGATATAGAGAGAAATTTTGCACACATGGCACAACAGCAAAAGTGTTTTTATCCTTCGCACACAAAGTCACGTAGCATTATTATTTTGTGCTCTTTATAAATACATAATTAACATAAAATAAATATTTCGTGGAAATCAAACGGAATGCGATATTTAGTCAATTGAACGGGGGAACTATATAAATTTGATGGAAATGACAACGGTAACATTTACATAAATATGCATATCGGCTTAATTTTTAAGTTACAAAATTTCGTATTTTTGTTTTGGCACTAGTCCGTGAAACACTTGGTGACCGTGTTTTTTGTCCTGCTGAGTATCCAGGGAATTGCAGGTCAACAGTATTTTGATGGGTCGGGAAATACCCCGAATTCGCAGCATGTGGAGGAATGCAGTTTAACAAATTGTGACTCCTACGCAAAATGTCCGCATGGATGGATGGAACTTTACACGGAGCGATACAGTGAGAAAATATTTTGTTTAGTATTAAACCCGATTGCTAAAAAATTTCATGAGGCGATGGTGTAAAGTGTAACGCTGGGATTTGGGGGATATTTTAAAATTGTGTGGTAAAAATCAATACAACCAACGTTTTTTGGGGCAGTTTGTGCGATGGTGGGAATTGGTCAAAATATTTGAGATCAAAGTTGAAAAAACCTTCAGTGCAGACTTATATAGCCCGAGCCAGTATGTGAAACTTCCATTGCAATGATCCATTGCAATGATCATAATTTAACTTAACTTCACAATGTCATAAATATTCATCAGGGACCTCTGTGCTAAATTTCAGCTTTCTATGATGATTTCTTAAAATCGGTATGGGTCACCCTATAGGGTCCCTCAAGTTCAAAATTTTTAAAGTTTGATTTGATATTCCTATTTTACACCTCCATTGGAGCCATCATACCGAATTTCAGCATTTTACTCGAATACTCTGCACCAAAGTCAAAATCCACACCACTATTTTGACCCCCACCGGTCCAAAACTTTTTTGATCGAACCCATCTTCGAACTTAGCCTCGGCCTTGCCCCAACGGTCATTTTAAGACCAAGTTGGTCAAAATGGGTTCAGTGGTTCGTCCGCTAGCGTGTCACTGACGGACCGGCGGACGGACGGACATGGTGATCCCATAAGCCCTGGCTCGGGCTAAAAATTGGTGATTGTTACCAAGCGGAGGAAGCAAACCCCATTCCTTGGAAGCAAAAAGTCGTCCGTTTTTCAAATTTGACGTCAAATATTTCGACAAATTCCAACCATCGCACAAACTGCGTCAAGAAACGTTGGTTGTATTTACTTGGACCACATAATTTTAAAATTTCAGCCAAATCGGAGGGTTACACTTCACTATCATCGTATTGTCCTCTTTGTTACTAAATTAAATTAGATGAAAAGTCGTTATCGACTGATTTATTTTAGAATTGCAAAACTCAAAATTAAAAAAGTCAAAACACTCGAAAAATCCACTTTTGTGGATGGCCTTGATGTAGAAAAAGTTCAGGTTAAAAAAGTCCACTTCTTACCACGAATTTTTCCACATTTTACAATTGAGTTAATCCATTTTTCAATTTTCTCATCTATTTCGGTTGTAAATATTAAATTTAAAATTACCACATTTTTCACACATTTGTGTATTTCGTCCTCAAGGGAAAGTAAAATACTACACAAATGTGTGTACTGCACCGCCAAATTTAAAATTTTCAATTTTTACCTAACTAAAAAAACTGGAACTTTGCATTAATTTTGAGACCTATACATATTTCATTTTCTAATGTGATAATGCAAAACACACTTTTCCAAAGCTGAAAAATTACATGCATTTCAAGCAATTAAAATTATCCCATTTAACCTCTTTTTTTGACAAAATTCAAGATATCGTGTATTTTAAACCAAGTCCCTTAGAGACCAAATAGATAATATGTATGATAAAGAGAAATTTCACATTGGCAACTAACATGAAAGTAGAAAATTGACAATAAATAACAAACACCATGGTGAAAAGTTGAATTTTTTTCAGCCGAATTTTTGAATATTTTCTATATCAATTCCATGTGGAATTTGTATTTTTTTCGAATTCGTGTCATTTTTGAACATTAACAAAACTCAAATTCTGAGGTAATTGGCAACAAGGGGCTTTGAAGTTACGGTCCAAATCAGGTTCTAATTATTAAAACCTTCAGTGCAGACTTATATAGCCCGAGCCAGTATGTGAAACTTCCATTGCAATGATCCATTGCAATGATCCATTGTAATGATCATAATTTAACTTAACTTCATAATGTCATAAATATTCATCAGGGACCTCTGTGCTAAATTTCAGCTTTCTATGATGATTTCTTAAAATCGGTATGGGTCACCCTATAGGGTCCCTCAAGTTCAAAATTTTTAAAGTTTGATTTGATATTCCTATTTTACACCTCCATTGGAGCCATCATACAGAATTTCAGCATTTTATTCGAATACTCTGCACCAAAGCCAAAATCCACACCACTATTTTGACCCCCACCGGTCCAAAACTTTTTTGATCGAACCCATCTTCGAACTTAGCCGCGGCCTTGCCCCAACGGTCATTTTAAGACCAAGTTGGTCAAAATCGGTTCAGTGGTTCGTCCGCTAGCGTGTCACGGACGGACGGACGGACGGACGGACGGACGGACGGATGGACGGACGGACGGACATGGTGATCCCATAAGCCCTGGCTCGGGCTAAAAATTCAACCAAATTTTAAACCCCAATTTACAATTTATTTCATAAACTCATACTACTCAGCCCAGGGTGCATAAACTTTTTGGGTGTCCGTGGCTTCTCCTAAGGGGATGATGCAAGGATGAAAATTTCCATTCAAAAATTAAAAGTTGTGGAATTGCATGCAATTTTCCCTTGAATTTGGTTGTCAACCGGATATCAAATTGCATGCAATTCCCCAACTTTTAATGAAAATTTTCATCCTTGCATCATCCCCTTAGGAGAAACGACGGACAACCAAAAAGGTTATTCGCCCTGTCGTCACCCGTTCCAATAAATATTCCCAATTAATTATTTCGTTAGGGAATGTCCATATATCAGCTGACAATTTAGGGAATTTTTCCTATCCTCCAATGTTGAAAATTGTCAGCTGATTTATGGACATTCCCTTAAGACAATTACCTTTCCCGCAGCCTGTCCTGGTGGCCGTGAGAAGAAATATTGCTGCTCCCCTGGCCGCACGCCGCTCTGCTACCACACCCCCTGCGCCGGCCCTTCTCCCTCTTGTCTCAACGGCTACCGAGAATGGAGCCGCGGCGCCGCGCAGTGTGGGCGCAGGGACGAGCACACGCTGCACTGCTGCATAGACGGCCATCTTCCGCAGTGCTTCAACACCACGTGCTCCCCCGCGGGAGATGTTTCAAACCAATGTCCAGGCGGGTATAGTCAAGTCGCTTATTGGAAAGGGGCCGGTTGGGAGTGTCCACCCCACTTGGACATGCAGACTTGTTGTAGATCTGAGCAAAACCTTCAAAATCAGAATTCCTTTACCCAGAGAAACAATCCGTTTCAAAATAATCAACCAAATTATGATCGAAATTACCAAAATAGTTATCCAAACCAAAATAATAATTATAATCAGCAACAGAATTACCAGGGTAAAATTTCAGAATTAAAAAAAACAATTTAGCATTAAATGTTTCGAAAAATTGAAAATCTTGATTTTCCTAATTTTTTATATATAGGTGGCTCCGATTTCCGCTCCGAGTCTTGTCAATACACTAATTGCGAAACTTATTCTCCACGATGCCCAGGGACACATTCGTATGAATTATCAACGGACAAAAGTTGTAAGAAAAATTAAAAAAAATTTCCGGGTTTTATAGAATTTTTACACTTTTCCAAACAAAATGACCCCCTTTTTTATTTTCAGATTGTACACAAGGCCGAGAACGAAAACTTTGCTGTCGTCCCGGCCAACTTCCGCCGTGTTACGATACCTCCTGCCAGTCTGCCACACTCTTAGCAACTTGGTAATAAAAAAAACCAGCGGAGTAGATATATGACTCTACCGTGACGGAATTAAAAATTTACACCATGTTGGTATAGATTTAGTAATAAAATAACACTTTTTGGTAATAATTTTAACACTAATTTGTGTTACTTTTTTTACCATATAGTATTGTTTTAATACCAAATCATTACTATCGCGGTAGAGTCATATATGCACTCCGCGCAGTAATGATTCATTAAAATTTTGTTTAGAGTGCACGAATCTAAGGTGTCCCACTGGTTACCGGGAATGGAGCCGGGACACGGGCCCCTGTCGAGGAAGCGGGAACGAGCAGAGACTCCACTGCTGCGCGGATGGCCAACTCCCCACCTGTTACAATACGACATGTGCAGATAATCCGACCTGCGCAACCGGATTTTTAGAGGGAAATATCCCCTCATCAGGACAGAACGAGTGTGACTGGCGAATGTCGCGAAAAACGTGTTGTCGCCCGGGAAACAATGATTTCCAATTTGGCGGAAGACGAGACGGGTTTTCCACACGGGGTGAATTTTTTTTTCGAAAGAAAAATATTTAATTCTACGGAAACAGGTTTGTGATTATTTTAAATTCTCTTTTTTAGACCAACAACAATCTCGCGGAACACCGGAAGGTTGTCTATTTTCAGACTGTCAACAATACGCCAGATGTCCGTTATCTTACAGAGAAATGTTTACTGACAGAAAAAGTTGGTTATAAAAAAAATTTAGGTTTAAATGTTCCCTCAAAAATTTTCAAAATTTGAAAATTTTAACAGCTTGTGCAAGCGGTCGGGAGAGGATGATGTGCTGTCGTCAAGATCTCCTCCCCGAGTGTATCGATACCCTGTGCGAGTCCACCTACTCGGCTCGATGTCCCCAAGGGTACCGGGAACAGTCTCGGGGTAACCAGGGGTGCAGCAGTAGCCTAGATACGAAGCTGTATTGTTGCTCTGACTCCCGCCATCTGGGCCACTGTTACAACACGACCACGAACAGCGGAGAGGCCGAATGTCGTCGTGGGTATGTTATGACTGCAAGGGGAAAAGGGGTCGAGTGGGGCTGCCCCTGGACGGCTTATAAGTCGACATGTTGTGAAACTGCAAGTTGGAATGGTGGTCGTGGTAATTTTTACCACAACATCGCCCAGATAATAGTCGTTTCGTTTCTGGTTTCATTTTTGAGGGCGTATGTTTCAGTTTAGAACAAAAATATAACTTTCATTATGTTTTTGGGAACCCGCGTTGTAAGCAGTTGCCATAATTCTTCTTCAGTAAGGACTTCCAAGTTTGTCAAAAAAAATCCTTTTTTTCTGCTTTTTAGCCCGAATCAGGGCTTATGTAATCGTCATGTCTGTCTGTCTGTCTTTCGATAACTCCCGAACGGGTTGACCGATTGACTTGAAACTTTTACCATATGCATATTTGACAAAGTTAGGAACTGAGTTCGAAGATGGGTGAAATCGGTCAAGTGGTTGACCGGTGGGGGTCATATGAGTGGGTTGGGTATTGTGCACCAAATTTTCAAAATTGTAGTAGAAAGCAGAACTTTGGTACAGAGCTTGTTAAGGGGTCCTAATGGAAGAATATGAACTGATATCGGCCAAATTTTTATCTGGAGGGACCCTACGGGGTGACCCATACCGATTTTTGAAAATCATCCAATCGAGCAGAAATTTGGTCCTGAGGTGGCTAATAGCTCAATATGGAAGAATGTAAATACGAATTTAAAAAAATCATCTGGTGGGACCAGTGGGGGTCTTCCGATTTAGAAGCGTTGATTTTTAGAATTTCTTGTCAAGTTTCGTGTCAAAAATAGTAGTACATAATTTTCTGGGAAACTATTGACAAATATGGGTTTAGTAATCAATCCTGGTTAGGGCTAAGCAAAGCTGTACTGATAGGTTATTTGTATATGTGCAAGATACGAAAAAATTGGGAAAAGCGAAAAAAGCGATTTTTTTGACAAACTTGGAAGTCCCTAATATCTTGTTTAATGAACTTAATCCTTGTTTTTCAGTTTTTCATGACTTTCCCTTTATGGGAAACCTAGGGCAAATACTATATGTTTAGAAATATTGCATTTATTTTAGTAAGCTTTATGTTTTATTATAACTTTACACGTTGACTTCGTTGAGAACACGTTCATCCATGACCAAGGGAAAAATACAGGGTTAAGACAACTGAAATATTAGCATTTTGCACATATTTGTTACTACTTTTGTAGCTTATGCACACATAGCCATACACAGATTTGTGCACTTGTAAAATTTTTCAGAGAAAATAAATGACAACTTTTACCAAGCTTATTCATCTCTGAGGATGCTACCCTCTGTCATTCTGAATTAAGTATTTAATAATTTAATTATCATTCAACCCAGGGTCATTTGTATGTATTCATATAATTAGAGTGTGTAAACATTTCGAATCTCTTGTAATATATGTATTTAGCGTTGAAGTGCCACAACACATGCCCGTCGAGTAAAATTGTGGTGTTATCATTAAAATAATAAAAATAATCAACCAAATATTGACCTATGTATAAATAATGTTAACAATTTTCACAGTGCCAGTTTTTGCCACATTTACACTCTTAGCAACTTGGTAATAAAAAAACAAGCGGAGTAGATATACGACTCTACCGTGACGGAATTAAAAATTTACACCATGTTGGTATAGATTTGGTAATAAAGTAACACTTTTTGGTAATAATTTTAACACTAATTTGTGTTACGTTTTTTACCATATAGTATTATTTTAATACTAAATCATTACTATCGTGGTAGAGTCATATATGCACTCCGCGCAGTAATGATTCATTAAAATTTTGTTTAGAGTGTACAGCAAACCTTCCTGTATCTTAACCTATTTTTGACAGTAACTTCCGTCAATCCCTTGTTGCCACTAACCCCCGAAATTGAGCTTTGTAAACTGATGTAAATTCGAAAAAATATGTTTGCGTGGATTTTATATATAAAATATTCAAAAATCAGACTTTTAGTCTGTACATCCGACTTTGATGACCCCCAGCACTGGTCGGATCAGAACCATCTACTAACTTAAGGAAGGTAACGATACAGTGGTGCTCCAGGTACCACGCATACCCATGACATAAAATAGCACTTGCAAACATAATTTTCCTGTTGAATTTCATATTGATCAGGGTAGGTGATTCGGGACGCCAACTTAATAATGGAAGGCGTAGCAAGACAGTGACCTTTCCCCGACCCAAGCTTCCTTTTCTCAATAACAAAGTTTCATCGAAATTTCTATTCAAATTTTCACCAAATTTTCATCAAGATTTTCATTATGACTTTCATCCAAAATTTCAATAAGACAAGTTTTCACGTCCAGTGTGATTATTTAGGGTTATACACATAATCTCAGAACAAATTTACATTTTCTCGGTCTCAGTGAAAAAAATGAAAATTTAATCCTTTAACGTCATTTGATATCAGATTATAAATCTGGTTGCAATCGGTTACAGTCCATCTCAACATGCAACTCTGGTGGTGATGAGTGGACCTTCAACACAGAGAACGGAGTCTGTGCAATATTGGAAATGGGGTTACGATTATAACCAAAAGATAAACGTATTGGTTATAACCAACTGGTTATAAATTTATTAGTTCTGGTGAAAATAATACGATAATTATTTTCACCAGATAATTTATAATTTCACATAAATATTTCTTTGATTTCATTTATTTAAAAAAAAAAATAACCATTTCGGGAAACACCACAGTATCAGGATTCGACCCTTGACTCACCCTCCCTACTTAATGCCTATCCACTCTTCCTCTATATTCGTATTTGCAAGTATAGGAAAATTTAGACGCATGGTTTACCCATATTTGCTAACCTAACTAAACATTTGTTCCTACGTACTTTCTTTTACCATCATTAGTAGCAACTATTTCTTACCGGATGATCAATTTAATGCATATCGATATACAACCCACGTGCAAGTTCATTAATAATTCATTTAATTTTTATCATTTATTTAAAGCTGAAAAATTGCTCGGTTTCGTCTACCTACTTAATATCTTTTAAAATTAGTAGCTACTCAAACTTGTATGAATAAGAGCAATTATAAAATGAGTTGGTTTAGAAATATAATAAATACTAGGCAATTAACTTACACAAATTCATCCAAACTTCATTTACATCGAATTGCTGCTAATAAAGCCATATACTTGAAGCCATATAATCAAGCCATAGAACTATATCGTATGTTACCAATAATATTCTTTATTCACAAATTTAAATTAACTCATATTTTCAACAATAAGTTTCAGAATGCTGACAATTTAATAATGCATTACAGTATTAACTTCTTTCTTAGATTTTAAATTAATTTATAATATAGGCTTACAATGGAGGTCTCCCAACGTATGCTCGCAGATTTGGACGAAACTGGTGTCAATTGATCAGAAATTAAATTAGTATGAAATTTGCAAATGCAACTATCTGCAAATGCGCAGGATTGGCGGAGATATTTGCATAAAAAGAGGCGAAAGCGCGCCCAAAATGCCATCAATTTTACGCTTTTCGAATTTTGCCTTACAGATTTGCGAGTTTTCACCTCTTTTTATGCAAATATCTCCGCCAAACCTGCTCATTTGCGGATAGTTGCATTTGCAAATTTCATACTAATTAAATTTGCGATCGATTGATACCGGTTTCGTCCAAATCTGTAAGCATACGTTGGGGGACCTCCATTGTTAGTCTCTTTTAAAAATAAAAATACCTGTATTTATACATACAGGTAATTGTCGTAGTCACATCATCAACCCATCCGTAGTTGGAATAAATTCTAAAATTATTCCCACAGATAACTCAAAAATTATAAATTTCTAAAATTAGAGTACTTTACTTTAACCCACCCTTCTCCAGAAATGTCTTCTAACCTCGTCTGGTTTACCATAGCCGCCAGTTTCCGTCTCAACCGACCCTTATGGAACTGCCCTCTGCAATGGGATCCCCAAAGGAGGCGGTTCTTCCACAAAAGAGGAATCTCATTCTGGTGGTATGTCGCCATCTTTGGCAACATCCTCCTCCTGTGTTGTGGCTCCATCGGATATGTTCTTTACGGCGAAATGACCAATCTCCAGAGACGATTGCCACTCCATTTCTTAGTCGAATACGTGCTAGGTGGCGTTGCTTGCCTCTTCGTGATTGGGATTTGCATCTACATCACATTCTTCGCCGATGAGACCGTCATCGTTGTCAATACAATAATTCGTTTGTACGAAGAATTTCATCCATCTGTCAATCCTCTGGGGGTAAGATTTCCGAAAAAGGAAAAATTGTGCGGGATACGAATCCCGAACTTTTTGGACGCGGATGGAAAAATTGACAGAATAGGTACGGTAATAATTCTTTTGTGGTTTACTAATTAACTTATTTCTCTAAATACCTACATTTACCTACCTTCGCCAAATACCAATACTTTATAAAAGAATTAATCCTCCTATATTAAAAAACCAATTATTTAAGAGTTAGATTAGTTTTTAGTAATACCTAATTAATAAATAGAAAATTAGAAAGAACCCAGGGCTGCCTACATATTAAGGGTATAGATTAAGTATCTTCTTTAAAAATTATGCATATTTTTAAGGTCTGACCCTACTAGTGGCCTTGTTACCAGCGCCCTTCATCCCTCTCCCTGTGGCAATCGCTTGTGTCTACCTTCTCAAAATGGATGTCTTCATCTTCATCCTGGAAGACCTTTTCCCGCATTCTGTTGCTAACAGCATATTCCTCACCCCCTTGAGGGTAGCCCCCATATGGATTGCATCTGCCGAAATGTGCAGAATATTCCCATTCGTCGCCTTCGTTATGGGCGTTCCTGCCCAACTATTGTCCAAATCGGGGCAAATTCTGCTAAATTCAGAACTACGGTAAAAATTTTATTCATTCCAAAAATGTCATGCCTATTACCATCATAATGTCCCTATTACTTAAAATTAATAGCGGGAAATCCGAAATTCAAAGAAACGCAATTCTGGTACAGTTCAATCAACTGCGTGTACTAAACACCTCGATGGAAAACGTCCTTGCAGCCATGACATTTGTCCTCATGGGAACCGGCCTCGTAATCTCATCCCTGCTGAATTTTGCCACAATCACATTCCTCCACGCTGCCTTGCCAAGGGTCTTCTACTTAATGTTCCCATTTTTATCGACCACCACCCTCGTCATTATTTTCACCCTGCTCCCATTCGCGACTGGGGATTACGAAAATTCCGTAGCAACTTTATCCAGATGGAGAGAATTAGTAGGTTTGAAGGATAAAGAATTGTGCAAGAGGCTACTCGCCATGCGGCCCAGGATGTATTACGCAGGCCTAAATAAGCACTATTTCTACTCTCTCACAAAATCTATGAAAGGCACTTACATGATGGCCATTGTCGATAACACCGTCAATTTGTTAATGACCATCCCATCTGTGCACATCTGAATTTTTCAGGAAATTATACAATTCATTTGAAAGTATTAAGTAAGCACGAATACACTTTTATGTATTTTATTTTAATAATTCATAAGGATCGTGGAGATAAGCACATCACAAAAGATGTATAAAGATACACAACCAATACATTGATAAATACATTGATTTCAACTTGAAACTGAAATATAAATGACAAAATTCTTTCAATATTCCCAGTTGTTATTTTAATTTCACTGGCATCACGGGATATTATATACAATCACATAACCAAAATTAAATAAATGTATGGAAAAATGGCTGAAATAAAAATTAATTATGCTACACCGTTGTCAATAATGTCAGTCATTTAAATTTACGTATCTCAAGTGAGAATATTCGCGTAATAATACTACCAAACTGTGGAATTTTAGTAAATGAGGATTATCCGATATCCGATCGGATATCCGAAGTATCCGTCGGATTGATCCGATCGGATAAAGGGTCTTATCCGATAGTGCTCGGATATTTTTATTTGCGATCCGCTCCGATGATTATCCGATCCACTCCGACGGATTGGATACACCAACCCTAGACATACCTTATGTTGTTTGTACGCATTCTTTACAAAAATACAAATAAGGCGACTACGTGGATAATATTTATCTCCAGGATTAATATCATACCAATATTTGCGTCAATTGTGACGCGCAAATTTAATTCTACTGTTCATAAATCTTAAATATCATTGGTTAACGTATTGTAGATTTTCATAGAATTTAACATTAGCAATATAGATTTTACATATTGCATTCCAGGTTTAAACAATTTCAATAATTATTAGTGTATTCGTTAGACTGTAATATCTTAAATTATTATTCTACCATCTCCCCTGATGAAGATAAGAGCATCTCGTAGAAATATAAAGGGTAAAAATAAAGTTTTTATAAATCAACTAGCCTATAAGCCCGTCTTAAAGACGGGCCGGATTTAGAATTGGACATTAAGCCATCAAATTTATTAAATCACAGCGGTTCGAAGCATGATTTGCTTTAGAAATTGTTAACAAAAAACAAAGCTGAAAAATATGGCTAAAACTGTAAAGAAGAATTTTCTAACATTGCTAAAGATGTTTGTAACGTTCCTAAGGAATTTTTTACGTTGCTAAGGAATTTTTTATACGTTGCTAAGGAATTTTTTTACGTTGCTAAGGAATTTTTTTTACATTGCTAAGAAATTTTTTTTACGTTGCTAAGGAATTTTCTGGTCTCATAATCTTAGCCGTAACTATAACCTAACCATAATCATAATCATAATCAAAAAAGATAACCGTGCTATGATTGGTTCAGCTAAAATGCCAACAGCCAATCATAATGCCGGAATGTCACGGAAAATTTTCACGGGACGGACTTTTCGAAATTGTAATATAGATATCAACCCACAGAGTCCGTTTCAATTTCACCGAATTAAGAGTGTTATTACTTTCTTGGTTTATAAGCTTGGTATGTGTGTACATAATTGAGTGTTTGTTTGACAGGATGTCGGCTTATTTGTTATTCTGTTGGGCGCTGTAAGGGAAAATATTTTATATAAATTAGCATACCTATGCATGTAGAGATTATGTATTAGAATTTTGTGTATTAATTGTTTGGGGACCTTTAAACATTAAATTAAAGTTAATTTTATGGATCGGCCACATGGCGGACATTTTGTAAGCAAAAGATTAATCTACTTAATTATTGAAATGGAGGAAGCGTGGATAGGTTTTAGTTGGAAAGGTGAATTAACTAGTCGAGGGTCGAATCCTGACACCGTGGGAACTGCAATCTTACTTGGATACCAATTATATTAAATAAAAAAATACATTTCCTCACAAGTTGTCTATCTTGACTTGTAAAAAAACTATGACTATGATAGTCAGACTATCCAAGCGTTGCAAAAACAATAAAAATGTCCGAACTTATTTTTATTTTAGTTAAGTCGTCAATGGAGTAGGCACTGATGAAGATATTTTATTATGATATGTCCATGTCTACTAAGGCATATTCTGCATGAGTTTATTAAGTAGCGCAAGCTACTTTATGCGATCGGTTAGTTAGTCTGTCTGTCTGTCTGTCTGTCTGTCTGTCTGTCAACACTATAACTCGAGAACGGTTTATCGCAGCGACTTGAAATTTTTAACACATGTTCTACACGGGTAGGGGGTGACACCCTATTAAGGGGGTGTGGCCACTTTGTCGACATCATGTCGAAAAACGTCGCCATGGCCTAATTTCGGCATTTTTCGGGCGATTTGCATGAAATTTGGGCAAAACATGTTTTTTTGTGTTGTCGACATGTCGCAATATGGCGATTAAGGTTTCGACACTTTTTTCGCCAAATTCTGTCGCCATGCCCTAATTTCGGTATTTTTCGGGCGATTGGCATGAAATTTGGGCAAAACATGTTTTTCGTGTTTTCGACATTTCGCAATATGGCGATTAAGGTTTCGATGACAAATTTTGTCGGCATGCCCTAATTTCGGCATTTTGCGGTCAATATGCATGAAATTTAGGCAAAACATGTTTTTCTGTGTTGTCGACATGTCGCATTATAGAGCATGTGGTCAATTAATCTATTAATCAATCATTAATCAATTAATTAATTAATTAATTAATTATTGCGCTACTTATGTATCGTGCTTTGCCGCACTTTATTATGCATAAAAATATTCACATAAATATTTCTTTGATTTCATTTATTTAAAAAATAACCATTTCGGGAAACACCACAGTATCAGGATTCGACCCTTGACTCACCCTCACTAGTTAATGCCTATCCACGAGCCCTCTATATCAATAATTAAGTGGAATAATATACAATCCAAGAAATTAATTTTAATTTAACATTTAAAATTCCCCAAACAATCAATACAAGAAATTCTAAAACATAATATGTATGTACATATACACATAAGCATACTAATGTCTATAAAATGTTTTCCCTTCCACTGTCCAACACGAATAACAGATAAATCCACATCCTGTCAAAAAAATATTCAATTATGCAAACACATGTCAGGTTTGTAAACCAAGAAAGCAAAGCCGGGATGGGAGACGTTTTTGCTTAGGAGGACAATCCCTCACCTCACCTCGGCTAGTTTAGCATGGGGCGCTCCTTCAAATGGGTGTGGCAGGCGCAAATGGGGCCATGGAATGAAATCCTTCCACACTTGTCCTAGACTCACCGAGTGCTACGACATATCCAAAGGGCAACAAGATCGGTGACTTTGTCGGTGAGGGGTTGTCCTCCTAAGTAAACTATTAAACCAAGCAAAGTCCAATTTATAAACAATATAGCCATTTGCTATATAAATATCTCCAACATTTTTTCCCAAAGCTCAATCTCACAAACGACAGTACAAGGAAAATATTACAAAGAATTTTCAAATAACTTCGAAAAAACCATCAATATTTATATTCTCATGGCAACCGTTACTTCACTAATGTGGCGATCCCTCAACACCTTCTCACGAGGGTTTGCTCTCCTCCCCCCATGTCCAATGGAGTGGGACATTTCCAAAAACAGATTTATTCCCTATACAAATCCCAAATCCTTGTTTTTCTGGAAAGTTTTGATGCTCTGCTTATTTCTGTCCAATATCGTCTACGTAATCTTATTCCTTGCCGCCATTCTTGGTACGGCAACGATGACCTTGGTAGAGGTCATGATATCCTGCTTGTTCTTGTCTATTGGTGTCTTCGCGAATCTTGTGGAAATCGTCATCTTTATGCATGTGGGAAATACGGCCCAGGCGTTTAATTGTGTTGCCATTTTGGAAAAGCAAATCAGTAAGATAGATATTATCTCAATCTGAATTAATTTCTCTTACCGCCATCCTAACGTTTCTCACTGTCCCAGTAGAATTTCCAACATCATGTTCAACTTCACAAAAAGCAGGAAAAATTGACATGGTCGGCCTCGTCTTAAACTCGATCACCTTTGTATTCGTGATTCACACAATAATCGTTCCTATTTGCGGTATCTACATCGGACTGGACCCTTACAGTCTCTTCGTCGCCCGCGTAGTCCCTCTACATTGGCAAACTGTGCCAAAATATGGCATCATTCCATTAAAAATCATCCTAATAGGGTCCTGGTATCTCGTAGCGCGAGTCTTAGCGATGACCATGTGTTCCTGCACTTTAGCCGCGTATCTAACGTTGTCCTGTATTGCGTCCCTTTGCGCCAAATCGGGGCTAATTGAGACTTATCAAATTTCCCCATACCTGGTGGAATATTCCTCCTGCGAATTAATTCTGTCCATAGCGTATCCCTTTTTAGCTCCGGCTGTCGCACTCTGCCTCCTAAATGGCTTTGTCTTATCAATCTTGTACAACTTTATATCACTGAAGATGCATCACATGATTCCGATGCCATTTTTTGCGGTATTTCCAACCTTGGCCGTTGCATCCATCACCATAATTCAGACCATGGTGCCAATCGCGATTTCTATTCACACCGACACTACCGAACTTCGAGATATTTGGAAGCGATTCGTAGCCTCGAGCCAAAATAAGAGACACGTCGTGAGACAAATTAGAGCGAAAAGGAGCATTCGCGTCTACGTGGGCGTGGCAGATCATAATTTCTTCATATTTTGCAAGTCATTGCTCCCGACGTATTATGAAGCCACGGTGTATTACACGATTACAGCCTTAATGTCCATAGACACTAGTGGGGTGCAGATTACCTTATAGACTTCTTTATGCCACTTGTTTACAACGCAATACCTGGAATTTCTTACCCCACATACCCACGATGTGGGGAGTACACTTTGGAAATTTAAAGGAAATTTGAAGTTTTCGGAGAACACCAAGAATTATAAATTATCAAAAACTAAATTGTAAGCTAATTAAAATTTCAGCTTGTACTTTAAAAAAAATCCAATGCGAGAACAAAACGGTCTTAAGATCATAATTTGCGTTCTCCTAAGATGCGCATTGCACAAAGGTAAAACGGAGAACACCTTTCGTACTCTTTGCATTAATTGCAAAATTAACCTCTTTCCACTTATATATACAGTAAGCACAAAAAAAGATCGTACCCTATAATGCTGGTAATTTCTATATGATAACATCAACATAGATCTTTGAAACTCAACACGTAGTTGCACCAACCGATTGGCTAATAATTCCGCGTCGTCGATTTCTAAGGTCACCGACAGGTCATAGGTCAGAATTTTTTTACAAAAGGGTCAATTTTGAACTTTGTGGGTAATTTTTTTTAGACTTTCAGACATTTTTTATTAGATACTGCAAGCGATTGCGAGAAAAATGAGCTATCGTACGACCGTGTGCGATTTTTTTGACGCCCACGGGAATTTTTCGACAAGGACAGGTTTGAGGTGTAAAATCGCGACCGTGGCGAAATTCAAATAATTGAAATATACAACAACATGCATACACAATTTATAGGTTGTTGTATATTTCAATTATTTGAATTTCGCCACGGTCGCGATTTTACACCTCAAACCTGTCCTTGTCGAAAAATTCCCGTGGGCGTCAAAAAAATCGCACACGGTCGTACGATAGCTCATTTTTCTCGCAATCGCTTGCAGTATCTAATAAAAAATGTCTGAAAGTCTAAAAAAATTACCCACAAAGTTCAAAATTGACCCTTTTGTAAAAAAATTCTGACCTATGACCTGTCGGTGACCTTAGAAATCGACGACGCGGAATTATTAGCCAATCGGTTGGTGCAACTACGTGTTGAGTTTCAAAGATCTATGTTGATGTTATCATATCGAAATTACCAGCATTATAGGGTACGATCTTTTCTTGTGCTTACTGTATTTTTAAATAAAATTTCCCTTGAATACTATGTTCATTTCATAACTACATCTAATAGCAACCAATTAAATTTCCATGATTTTCTACAAAATCCCTATATTTTTTCAACCAGTTTCCAGGTTTCGAGTTTTTCACGAAAAACACAAAATATCCACTTTTTAACATTGGTTGATATAGGGAGAATTCCAAAATTTGTGAAGAAAAATATCTACTTTTCACCATAGAGTTTTCCACAAAATACCAAAGAAACACTCTTATTTTTGAGAAATTTTGGTGTCATGTGAGCATTTGATAATTTTTTTTTGATACGTGATATGACGTATTTGGTCCTTAAGGGACAGTCGTCATGGTACATCATACGGCGTATTTGGTATGCAACGGAAATTTTTATGGTACGTCATATGGCGTATTTGGTCTCTTAGAGACCTGTTTAGGAATACGTCATATGACGTATTTAAGGTGAAAGAGGTTAAACAATTTTTTACACAAAAAACGGTAGAACGTATAGGAGAACACCACTGTTTTGCGTAGAATTATGCCACCTGATAAGAGTCACATCCAGTCTAACCAACTGAATGTGACTAACACTTGAATAAAGGTAAATTGAATTGAGTGAACTAAGACAACTCCTTGCTATTTGAATATCATGCAAAATTAATCGGTGAACACTTCTCTACTGTTTTGAATTGCATAAAAGTAAACTGAAACAATTTTTCGTACTCTTTAAGTGATGTTTAAAATTAATCGGAGAACAATTTTATACTGTTTTGAATTGCATAAGAGTAAAGTGAGGCAACTCGCTCTTTTCACACCATTCAAGATTCTAATAGAGAGGTCGCCCCTGTAATTATTGATCATATTGTAATTAGTATCGGGGTAGTAATAATAGTTCTAGAGATCCGATTTATTTGTAAATTATTATACGCATATCTAGCAACGGGTCCCAAAAATTTCATAAGCTTTATGGAAAATACGAAATGTATTTTCCAAACGATTTCATAGTGAGGAATTTGAAAAACGGGATTTTGATAAGTACCAGAATTCGATTGACAAAGTCTCGAAGAAGGTCTGACTCAGCCGGTCTGAGTGCATTTCAATTAAAAAGGTTGAGAGCGTGCCAAAATTAGGAGATACATAAAAAATACATAAAATTAAAATTAAAAAACAACCATCATAGCGACTTCTCGAAAGTAAAAGGGATGAAAACTATTTTTCAATATGCCTCGACATCCGTGCATGAAACATCCAAAAATTTAAAGATAAACGCAAACCACTTACATACATACTCAGTTCTTAAGTTTCCGTAAATGAGTTTGTTGTTTAATATTTCGCGCGAAATCTTGCAGACGTAATTTTTTTTCATTGCAACTTATTGCCCATATCGTTCTTAACAAGATACTAAAAAATCTTGGAAAAATATGTAAATGTGGTCAAATGGAAAACTGGCACAAAGGGTGGCAATTTTTCATTCACACCTCAGCGAAACAAAAAATTTGAGATTTTGAAAATTCTTAAGAACTCTGGCGCAAAACGCAGGTGGCTTTTACCACATAATAATTCGGTTGAAGGATGCTGGCGGTACTTTTAACATGAAGAGATCCGGTCGACCTCGGTTTCGACTCGGTAGAAAGTAAATCTATATTTTTTAAAGGAATTGGTATCATGTGGAAAAAAATTATTTAGATAGTGCCCTAGAGCCCATAGTTAAACCCCGGAAACTTGAACTCTTCGAGCATCAACAGTGAAATTTTCAGAAAGACTTTGCTCCTTCGCATGATGCAAAAATAGACAAAAAGAATTTAATGATTTAATATATATACTTAACTTCTATCTATTCTAAAATACAATCACTTGCAAACCGATTATGGTCCTAATTTGGTGTGCAAAGATAAAGATAAAGATAAAGAGCGTATTCCTTAAAGTGATCTTTGTCGATTTTTTAAATAAGATTTTCAATATTTTTCTGGTAATTTGCTGTGACGTCATCTAGTTGAAATATCGGGCTTGTGTAACAGATCGGGAATATTGCACTTAATGCTAAATTTTGCGGAAATGAACGGAATCGGATGGAACATGCTACCCGCCGGGAAAACGAAACTTACAAATAGGCTGAGCAACAGTCCGTTCTCTGGGAAGGGATGAGCTGACTTGTTAACAAATATGTGCCAACTAGGGCTGAGAAGCAGTGAATAACTGAAACCTGAGAGTTTTTTTTTCATAGTACAAGGCAAGCCGGCCAAGAAGCTTGCTTGAACGTTTTACAGATTGACGGTGAATCCCGCCCAGTCCCTGCCCAACCCCGTACTACTTCCGACAAAGATGCACTTTAAACTGTACAATTAATCATCAATCATGATTTGCCGTAGAATATAAAACTGTGTAGATAATACGCACAGTAATTCGTAGTTTTGGTGATAACCTCAGATGCTCATAAACCTATTTCTTCATAGTGCTCTTACTAGGGAACCTTCTGAGGTGCCCGGTGTACCCAGGGTACCCACCATGTTTTTTTATAATCTACCAGGACCCTAGATGAAGGACCCATTCATACTTACTGTTAAACTAAACTTAGTGTTAAACTCATATTTATCGCCATGGCGTGGCGCCAAACTTAAAAACCTGCGTTTTCGACCCAATTCAAACCTTCATAACTTTTGCAGTTTCCGTGGGATTTTCAAAATTTTGGGCTTAAAATGATCACAAAGGTAAAAATTTTAAGAAACAGGCAAAAAATTAAACATTTTTTATTATTTGAGTTATTTTTAAAAAAGTTTCGACAAACCCCCGTTTCTTGGAAAATCCCAAAATTTTGACAAAAATTGAAACAATCAAATTTTCGAAAAATTTCATGGCATACGAAAGTTCAACACTTTTTCATGATCTTAGGCAATTTTTTTGAAAATCCGCCCAGGATTTCAAAAGTTATGGCGGTTTTAAAAATAAAAACATGCAAATTTGGCGAATTTGACGCCACGCCATGGCGCCAAATATTAGTTTAACACGGAAATGTGAATGGATCCTTTATCTAGGGTCCTATGTACAGTACAGTACATAGTCACACGTACAAATTTTAACAAAACAATACCATCCCATCAAATCCTGCTAAAAAACACCAAAGTGTAAAAAATACTGCAAAATTATAAATACCCGTGTGAAAATGAATATGGCGAATTCGGCAGGATTCGGCAAAATCATCCTGCATAAACCATTCTGCACAAAACTTTATGGAGTTTTCTGCACAAATCTAACTCAAGATTCGGTGAATAGAATATGCACAAAAATGTTTGCAGTTTTCTGCATAAATCGAAAAACGACAATTGACTAGTGATTTCTGCGGAGCAATTTCTGCATAAATTTTTATGTTAATTTATAAAAGTTATAAAATGCGTAACAAATATATTTATTTGCAAGTTTTAGAAGAAATTATTTTATTCAAATTCTACCGTATTCATCAATTGTGTTGCAATGGACAAACTTCCTTGGTTATCATGTTGACCAATGAACTTAAAATTTTCAATATCCGAAGGTAAATAAATTTGAACATTATTGCTTACATAGTTAATTTTAAATGATTTTGGAGAATTCGAATAATCAATAGTACTGCATCTTTTTACAAAAACCAACGCATTGCTAACACCACTAAGTATGATAATTTTAAATATAACAAACAATTTTCCATTAATTTTTACAACGGAGTTGACATGTTGTTTTGTATCACTACTACAAACATTAACAAACAATTTTTTATATAAAATACAGGATTTAAAACTAAAACCTTCAGAATGTTGATGACCAATAATTTTAAGCTTAGCTTTTTCAGAGGTACTAAAAATATACAATTTTTTGCTTCCTAATAATCTACAATTATCAATGGAATAAGAATTTTTAAAAAATCGCTTGCATTCAAGCAAAGATTCATGAAATTGCTTAGCCCCTTCACTTAAAAATTCCACTTCTCCGAGACTGTAGACCTTTTGGGTGCAAATAGCTCGATTAACAATTTGAGTACTGATTTCTCTAGTACCACAAAAACTATTTTTGAGAATACCATTGTAATTTTCAAACTGAAATAGAGAATATCCCCAAAGTGGGCCCCATTTTCTCACATTTTCCGCTGCGTGGGTTAATAAATGAACATTAAAAGAACAATAACTTTGGCCATAGAGGTTTGGAATAAGCATTGAAAATTCTTTGATTAATATTTCTGCTACCAATATTTCATCCATTGTTACACTATCTTGACACAAAATCGAAATGGAATCTACAAGTTTAGCAAAGTGTTTTAAAAAACAATCTTGAAGAATTCCTTTTAGCAGCGGCACCGCAATTAGCATCCAATTTTTCCATTCGTGTGCCTTCCAATATTTAATGCTGCTGAGATCCCTTATTGTCCTGCTGCAGTTCTTGGGAATTTTGCATCTTCTTAATTTTTGATTTATTTGATTTTCCTTATTTCCAATGTAAAAGATTTCCTGATGATTCTTGGGCAAAATCCAGGCAAATGTCAACATTCGTACGACTCCCAGTAAAACAGTGTGCATGTAGTCAAAAACGAAACCATCGACGATTGAAAAATGTGGAATTTTCAAGAGAGGGGAGGCCAATTTAATTCCATAACGATTTGAAATAGATGATCCAGTTGATAGCAAGTCTCGAAGTTCCAAAAGCTGATTCAAAAAATGTTCCTTGTTTCGATTCGCAGCAATTTCAGTTGGCGGAAAAATCCATTTATGACTTCTGTCCCCTGTGGACAAATTGAGCCCTTTAGCCTGACACCATGGACAACTATACTCCCCATTGAATTGATTAATTCCTTGCAAGGGGGCACGAGCGACGGAATCGGCTGCAAGCATTGGGAAAAATATTTTACTTTTAATTTCCACCCCATTAAAATTCCATTGGATTCCTTCCTTTGATAATTGATTTGATTGATTAATTAGTGGGTCAAGAAAAAGTTTGAAATTTGGCTTGCTATCATTAAACCACAATCCAGCCAAAATGGTGTGCTTTCTTCTTAAATCGTAATCCAATTCGTTGATTGAAAGAAGTAGAGGCCAAATGCATGACTTGGAAGAGTTGAAAATCGAAACGCCGTCCGTGTTGATGCAACAAGTTATGTCAAATTTTGATAACTTTAACTTTTTATATGCTTCTCCATCCATTATTCCGGATGACTCGTTATTATTAAATTGACGTTTGGCAAAATTCTTTTTTAAACATTGTGCAATATTTTTTCTCTCCAATAGTTGCTTCATGATTGTTGCAATGTCAAATGACACGAAAAAGTTGCCGTCCTTTGTAGCATTCCTTCCAGACTCTTGACAACTGGCGCAACTTCCGTTTGTCTCCAAAATATTTTGACAATTGGAGCAAAAGGGGATCTTTTTTGCCTGATCGTAGCAAGGATTCAGTTTTTTGCTTAACAAGTAGACAGATGAAGGAATTGTTTCCCCTTGTGGGAGGTCAAGAGGTCTGATAACGCTGATTTGCTAATTTTGTGTCGAAAGGCATATCCAAAAATTAACAAGCAGCTTTCATTTGCAGTTAGTTGAGAGTTGGGGAAAATTGGTTGAGATTGGGATTTTTCTTCGCTCTGTGAACAAATAAATCATGGGGTCATATTATATTAATTATTATTTATAAACATACTTATCTTACGTCATCATATTCTTCGTCACTGGATAAATCATCAATCCCTGGCATTGAATTATCATTATAAGCAACTACCTGTATGAAATAAGAAGAATGTAAACTATTGTAATGCCAATAAAAAATTTAAAAATACATTATCATCCAGATTGGTTTCTTCCTCATGTTGTGGGCTATTGCCGTTGACCTCCTGTGTATTTTGAGTTTCATGTTGATTATCCAAATTACGACGAACGCCCTAAAAAACAAAAAATGCTGTTGCTTAACAAGTTTCAACTAAAAATTATTTTATTACCTTTTGACTAATTCTGTAACGCGTTCGGCGAGGGACGAAAAGTGACCTACTTGACCCACCAGTTGGAGTAAAATATTTTTTATAATTTTTTCGTGTTGACATTATTATTTAATTATTAATTATTGAATTAACTTTTTATATACGTACACATCGTAAACTTATTATTTTGTTTAATTCAATAATTGAAGACTAAATACTGCCCTAAGCCCATGCCAGCGAAGTTTAGTATTTCACACATGGTCAAAACTTTTAACTTTTTTCTTAAAAAATAAACTTAACATAAAATAAAATGTCGTTTTTATTGGTCGAATGGTCAGAAGATGACTTTAAGACATATTCTGTTGTGTCAATTGACCAATTAGAAGACGGAATTTTGCGTGCGAATCCTGGAAAACTTGTTGGAACTGTCGTTGCAATTAAATGGAAAAGGAACTCTATCCATCGTGGTCTCGTTTTACAAATTGGTAATTATTTTCATTATTTTCGAACAAATTAAAGTGATATATTTAAAATAATATATTTTTTAAAGGGAAACACAAAAATCTCTCTTTGGAAGCTGACAAGTTAGCCGTAAAAGCAGCTGACGAAGCTTCAATCATTAAAGAAAAAGACAAGAGCAAATTTGATAACTCTTCAGGAATTAAAAGTAATTTTTGCAATATATTTTTTGAAATTCTAATTTTATATGAATTAATATTTTTTCCAGTGCAAAAATCTAAAAACCGAGCCAATGAAATTACAGAAATTGCATCCCAAATTCCTTCTTCTCAATCAGTTGACATGAGTTTAAATGCGGAATTTGCTGACCCTCCTTTGGATAACGAAACAGTACCAAAAGGTGTTATATAAGTATATAATACTTCTATTTACAAATTAATTGATTCGGATTTTCAGAGAAGTATGATCGTCTCAAAGGACGTCACGATAGGTTGAAGGAGAAATATCGCGAGTTGAAAAAATTGGTAGAGAATTCTCACGAAGTAAGTCATATGTGCGTATCTACATTCGCAATGGAATGATTTTAAATAACATTTCTAAGTGACATAAATTTTTTAAGGTTGAATTATATGAAGGGTCTGGAGTTACATTGCCAGCTGCTGAATTAGCTTCGATAAAGATTATGTCGAATAAACCAACAACCCTGGCCAGGAACTTGTTTCGTCGACTTTTCTCTCCGGAAGAACTAGCGAGTCATTCCCTAAATGGAAAAATTTGTAATGCAAACCAATTAGCTCCCCCACTTCCAAAAATTGACACAGCCAAATCTGATGCAGTAATTAGTAAGTGGCAAATTAAATTCTACAACAAAATCATATCAAATTTTACAATATGTATAATTTATTTATTTTTGATTTACTAATTACGGATTCCCTTTTTCCAGAATTTGTTCTTAAAGAAGAAGGATTCGACAACTCACCAAATGCTGACATTAATGAGGCCAACAAATCGTTTTTGAAGAACAAGAAGGCGGTAAAGCGAGAGATTAAGAAATCTCTATCGGATTTCCTTAGAGAGTGTAAGAAACGAAAAGATTAAAATATTTAAAAATATTTTTGCTTTAATAGTTTGTGAAAAATTCTAAAATAATTTAAAGAATTAAATAAATATCTTTTGACGAATGAATTCTACCAAAAGTTTTATGCCTAATTTATTCTGCACAAAAGTGGGCCAATTTTAGCTCCTAAAGTTTTATGCATAAACAAAACTGCAGAAATTTTTCTGTAGCTAGTTTTCTGGCTAAAATTTTCTGTACAAAAGTGGGCCAATTTTAGCCATATACTATATTTTCTGCAGAATTTGGCTCATTTTTTTCACACGGGTACTCTTCCACAATAATCAGTTCTTAATCGAATTTATGGTAGTAAAATATTTTAACAACCCGTTTGTGTAAAGGAAGCATATATGTGAATAACAATTATTGTAATTTAAAGCAATAAAGCGTGCAAGACTGCTTTCAAAAACTAATTTACCTGAAATTTTTGAGAAAGTTCTTACCTGCCAGTATATTTTGTTACTGAAAGAGCAATTTTTTATTTACAGAGATAGTTCTTCCCCCGTACAGAAAAAAAATTGCATAGGAACTAGAATAAATGAACAGCTTTGACTAAGGATAAGTAGTTACATTCATCGTAATAAATCACATATACAACAACTAATTTGAAACCATCTACTTACTTATGTATCTGACCAAATGGAGATAGTACAATGATTATCGTTTCTGGAGAGTGACATGACTTAACAGAGAATTTCTAAAGTTTTTTGCGCACCATTACAAATGCATCCCCTGCAAGTTACAATAATTATACAATTTATGTGATTCAACACATGCGAGAAATTTGACGTTTTAATCATGATTAAATTGGATGATTGCATAATCTCTTGGAATTGAAATTGCTTGGAACCGCATCTTAAGAACCCTGGGTAGGGTGTTATCAAACATAAGCTCCACCGTAGATTGTTAACTTGTCGGAGTGTCGATCGGATTTCAAGCATATTTTTCAATGTGATTCCATCTCGCCAAAAAATTAATAACAATACAAATATGACGACATTATTTAATCATGACTTTCATATCGTATAAAACGAGGAAAATTACTTATTTAAAATTTATTTCCATAATTTCAAGAATAAAATTGGGCTTGATAAAATAAATTTTCTATTCGCCAACGTATTTATGCACATTCGGTCAGACGAAAATCATGCCAAATTGAAGGTTTTATAACCATCGGCAGCAATTTTGTTGAGCAGGTCCTCGTATCTTGGATATCCTCCCGCGTAACAGAGGGGCTCCCTAGTTTTTCCAGGAATATTGGCCCCTTGATACCAAGAATCCGCTCCCGGGAACAAACTCGCTTCCCAAACATCCCATACCTCCTTTGTCCAACTCTCTTCTGATTCTTTCTTAGCATCCACAACTTTGCGTTTCTCATCCCTCATCCTCACCATCAATTCCACTAACCATTCCCCTTGAATCTCTATAATTGTGGGGCCATTTCCCAGGGGAGTGGGGGCCTACATATTTAGATTCTTTTTATGTACACATTACTAAAAGATTAGTGGGGTTGACTTGCCTGCGGGCCGTACATGTACCACAAGTTTGGGAATCCAGCTGTCGTGAGGCCCAAATAAGTGGAGGTCCCATTCCTCTTCCACATATCTCTCAAACTCTCTCCTTTCCCGTTACGGATATCGATACTTTTGATACTCCCTGTCAAAGAGTCAAATCCCGTAGCCAGCACGATGATGTCCACCTCAACCACACCTTTTTCTGTTCGAACCCCGTTCTCTGTAATTTCCAAAATTGGAGATTCCCGCACGTTAACCAGGTCCACGTTAGACTGGTTGAAGACTTCATAATAACTTTGCTCAAGGCATGGGCGTTTGATACCAAAGGCGTGGGGCGCCACCAGCGGGGCTAATATGTCCCGTTTCACCACGTCATGTATCCTCGCTCGGGCCTTCTCCGCCCAGAAGGTGTAAGCGTAGGCGTTGGACTCCTAGGAATATGGAGTGAAGTAAAATCTGAAGGGCGGGATTTATGATAACTTATAAGTGTTCAGAATTTACCTTATCGAATAGCATATCTCGGAAATTGGCCAGCCAAAAGGCAAACCCGCCATGCGCATAAAGTGATTCGTACAAGGCGCGTCGTTCCTCTGGAGTAACGTCAGCCGCATTTTTCCGTTCCCAATCAAAATTGAGGCCAGAGAATGATTTCCGAGCTGCACCGAATATTTCGGGAAACTTTGACTTTGGCGGGAACCAGGCACCTTTGCTAGGATCGGCAGCCTTGGCTTGTTGCATGGGGAGGCAGAGATTTGGTGTGCGCTGGTAAACCGTTAGATGGCCAACTTTGGACCCAATTTCTTGAATGATTTGAACCGCACTTGCCCCCGTACCGATAACAGCGACGCGTTTCCCGTCAAAGTTGACTCCAGCCTTGGGCCACACGTAGGAATGGTGGCAGATTCCTTTGAATCGATCCAAACCTTTGAAGGGAGGTGTGTACCTGGAATAAATTAAAATTGAAAATTTAAATTATTTTCGCACAAATACTGCCAAAACTCCAGAAACGAACACAAGGAAATGCATATCCATAAAAATGTGTCACGCATATTCGGTTACCTAGTTGTTGTGGAGCCAGTACAGAGGAAGAGATGGTTTGCCCAAGTAACTCTGCCATCATCCGTTTTGACTTGCCACTGATTCCGAGCATTATCGAACTGGGCCGCGCTCACATTGGTGTTGTACTCAATGTCCCTGCTCAGCTGGAGCTTGTCGTCCAAATAGCGGAAGTACTCTTGAAGTTCCGGGTGGGCTGGGAATCGCTCTGTCCACGCAAAATCCCAAAGTCCTTCCTCGTTGAATTGGTAGATGGGGTTGTCCGTGTCGACCCGTGCGCCTGGATATCGGTTCCAGTACCACGTCCCACCCATGTTTGTCCCTGCTTCGTAAACTTTCACGTTAAACTTTCTCTTGCGGAGATTGTGTAGAGCATAGATGCCAGAGAATCCAGCACCAATCACTAATATCTCGCACATGTCTTCGGAAGAACCCATATTTCAACCTTAGCTTGCAAAAATAAAATTTTAAATACAAATTAATCTATCCAAAAGTATGATTGATAATTGTCAACTTTATAAAGTTCAACATACCAGATAATTCGGCCAAGAGGCAATGTTTTTTAGTGAGGCAAATACCTGACAACAAAAAATTCAGTAAGTATGCGATTACCCCACCTCGTAAAAGTGAAAAAGGGACAGGATATCTCCCAACCGATTTTAATGAAATTTTGCACAGATAATCTCAAGCACGATTATGGAATCCCCTTTTCGAATTTTAGGTTTTCACCCGGCTTATGATCAAAAATATACCCTTAAAAACACATTTTAATTTATTTTTGATTACTGGAATATCTAAGGAAGTTTTCAAACGTCACATAATGTAGAGTATTTTTTATATAAATTTTAAGATAAAAGTGACATCGCGTAATAAATGAAAAAGTTTTCCCAGTGACACCATAAAAATTGCAAGCTGGAATTTCCAGCAATGCATAAATTGACAACAACAAGACGAAAAATAAGGTGGGTTTAAGTTTTACAAATGAATAAAAATTGTTCAATATTTCCTAAACGAATTTTGAGCTTAACAACCATAAATATGCAAGGCACGCATATACTTAGGTGCACAGTAATTATAATTACTGTAAATTATTTGCATCTTCAATTTTCCACGAAATTTGTTTCGGCTTTGGTTTCGGTTAGAGCAAATTTATATGAGGGATGAACCTTTTCATTCAATTTTGGAGAAAGTTGGTCCCTGAGACACATGACTTTTGGTAAAACATAGCTTTTGAAATTGGGTTAAACCTCTAAGAGTTAGCATTTTTTTAAATCCGGTTTTTAACTAAAATTTGTTTTGAAAAATCCGTAAACATGCGCATTAAGGAAAACGAAAAAATACGGGTCCACTTGTTTCTGACAATGCGACGGTGTTTGGTGGTTATCACCGATATCGACCGGAGTAAGTTTAAATTGTTTACACTCAAAAATAAGTGGACCCGTATTTTTTATTTTTCCTGAATGGGCATGTCTACGCCCCTGACGGAATTTTTAAAACAAATTTTAGCCAAAATCCGGATTTTTATAAACGCTGTAACTTTTCGAATTTTAACCCAATTTCAAAACTTACTCCCAATTTTTTGCTCAGAATTAGTTCCCTGAAATTCTAAAAATTTATTTTTCACAATTAAAAATTTAATGTTTTAATGTCATTTCTGAATTTTTAAAAAATCTGAAAACAATAATGTTTTTTTAAAATTAATTATTGTTTTAAAATGAATTTTTATAATTTCAGGGAACAAATTCCGAGCAAAGGGGGGTGTTAGATTTTGAAATCGGGTTACAATTCGGAAAGTTGCACCATTTTTAAAAATCCGGATTTGGCTGAAATTTGTTTTGAAAATGTGAGACGGGAATGACGAGTCACAGTAGGATATGATCAAGTTAGTGTAATGGCACTGATACCGATATTCGAGTGGTCTAATGGTTAAGGCGTCCATCTGGATAATGGAACGTGCGGGGTTTCGAGCGCGTGCCTCGTTCATCATATTTTTGCCATTACAAAGCGACTTGATCTCCAAAAGTTTCATCATAAGTTTCATTCATTTAATTATCAAATCTAAATAATTTTAATATACATATCTCAGAATTCAACTAAATACATCTCGTTCATTTTCCTTTCCTACAAAAATTCTGCCACGGGCGAAAACATGCCCATTCAGGAAAACGAAAAAATACGGGTCCACTTATTTTTGAGTGTGGACAATTTAAAATTAGTCCGGCCAATATCGGCGATAACCACCTCACACCATCACATTGTAAATACGCGTTTATCCACACAAAAAAATTACATAAGTCGATTTCTCGGTCATTTCTCAACTGATGTTGATGAAATTTTGCACACATCATTGTGAGAATTTAGAAGCTAAAGAGAATTTAGAAACGATGCACCAATCGACTTTGCGAATATTTCATTTTCGCCCCAGTTATCTTTCCCCAGAAAAAGAGCAAAAATTTCCCGTTCGAGTCACGTTTCTAATTATTATTCCATTTTGGAGCATCATATAATCCTAAAGTTATGGAAAAATGGATAACATTTCCTTTCGAACATTTTAAAACCAAGTTGGCCGAAATCACTTGAGAAATCACGAAAGTATTCAATTTGAAAACTAACAACTTAAAACTATGAAATTATTCTGGTTGCAAATACTTAATGAGAGTGTAATAATGCCATTGACAACTAATAGAGTAACAAATATTTGTAATAAATTTGCAATTTTAGCAGCAACATGTTGCGTGTTTATCATGCAAATAACTCAATTACAAGTATTAAATAAACCAGGTCCCAAAATGTCCCAAAAGTAGGAAACCTTACTGAGGCAGTGCACAACTATCAAATACCATTACATTGCAAAATTTTACATCACTGCTCTCGGTACTTCGATATTTCTTCTTCTTGATAGCGGTGACATAAAAATTTTGCAATCTAATATTATTTTTTAGTTGTGCACTGCCTCAGTGAAATTTCCACTTTTTTGGGAACTACTTTATCTTACTTAACTGTGTGGAACCGAGTAGAAGCAGAGTCGAACTGATGCTCGCGAGCGACAATCCCATGTACATATTTACATAAAGATACCTAATTAATATTCAAGCAGAGTACATGCGGCACGTGTGGCAATAAAATCAGTCAAGACTTACATAACCAAGGCTATCAGGTGAGGTTGGATTCATTTTCACTGCGCACCTGTTTGATGATGCTTGCAATTTGTGAATAGACACCTTTCTGGATTATGATCACCTTGTAAGAATCTTCGTCAATGTCAAACGCTTATGCGTGTAACTCATTTCTCTGCATGGTTTAATTAAACAACCGAACAGTTGAACGTTTGCAGCTTCTAAATATGTGTGCACCTACGGTAAAAGGAGATGGTTGAGTAAATCGTTATGCCCGATTTGTGTGAAGATTATTCGTCCATCATTCAGACAGAAGGTGTTAACTCGAGTTCACAGTTGGACCAGGACACAAGTTAGAACTTGTGTTAGAAGTTAGAACACAAGTTATTTTAAAATTCGGATTCGCCAATGCCAAGCTCAATTTAATCTATTATTCAATAAAATGCAGTTAAATGACCTTAACACATGGTAAAAAACAATTAAAATTGAGTTTTTTTCAAAATTTCTCAAATCTTGCAAATTTCGATGATTTTTAGCAAAAAGAACGTGACACACCCTACCCAATATTTTTAAATTATAATATTTAGAATAAATGGCGCAACATTCCTGGCATAGCTGGACATTAATTGGACAACGCCAAGGTTTCGAAAAAAAATTAAAACCCCATTTAAAATCACAAATTTATCATATCTTACAAGTTTCTGCTATTTTGTGCAAAATAACTATGACACACTTCACCAGCGGCTTTTTATATGTTATGCTCACATGTTACAAGTATCTAATCCGGTCAATAGTTGGACCGATATCGACGAGTAAGGTGCGATAAAAAATATTTAAAAAACTAGAAAAATCTTGACATTTTTCGGGAATATTTTGGCATCCGGGCTAAATTTTTCCTTCGGTTATATTTTCATGAGTTCATTTATTAATTTCTATTGCGTATCTATTTTATCTGCCAAGTCTGCACCATTGCGGATGGGTCTTAACGACTTCATTTCTCATGTCAGGAACCTCGCCGAATTTTAGAATGGGTTCAAATTAATTTTACAAAAAAATAATATTCTTCAAATATTCTTTATTCGACGAGTTAAAGGGTTAACCTTTTAACTCGTCGCTAAGACAATTGTCGTTTTATAAGAAATGGTTTAATTCGGGAGTAAGACAAAAGTCGTCCTGAAAAATCGTGGTCATGGTGCGGGAGTAAGGCAATTGTCGCTTCTGGAAGGTCATTGATTTTCACCATTTTCTCGCCTCGCAGTAAAATCTGTTGGAATTTATGGGATTTCTCCTATTCCAACAAAATGTTAAATTTGAACATTTTCTTACCGAAATTATGGATATTTCAAAATCTAACACAATGTTGAATTTTTCAGTGTTTTCGAGTTTTATTAAAACTCGTGAGTTCCTCGTCCCATACCATGGCCACAACATATTTATAACGTCCCCGAATTAATGCATTTTCTTGTAGTCAATGATACTCGTTAAAGGGTTAACTTATTTACCTACGAGTTAGTTTACTATTTTGTCCTAGTCATCTACAATTCCGATTTATTATTACCGGTTTTTTTACAATATGCTATTTTAAAATTAATTAGTTAACCCAAAAATCCACACGCATTCCATTACACTGATATGATACTTGTGGTATCGTTATATTTTGTCATTCGAGTAAAGAACAAATATTAATTCAGCATACTAATCATGAATGGCCTAAATATAGAGATATCCTCGTATCTGCCACGTGTCACCATTGTGTACAGGAATCAGTTGGTAACAGTAGTTTGCGTTATCTTCACCTCTTCATATTATCAGGGTTGGCCAAGATACTTTAACAAGATTCAGGATACCAGGTACAAGATACAAGATAGTATTTGTATCTTGTATCTTGTGTAATGTGAGTAGTATCTTATCTTGTATCTAGAATTTTCGGAAAATGTATCTTGTATTTTGTATCTTGTCAAATTACAATGTATTTAAAATACTAGACAAGACACAAGATACTTTTCTAGTGTAAACTAGCACAACCTGGTGAAATGTACAAATACTGAGCATGTAAAACTGGGATATTTTTTATATCTGATTTAAAACTAGGAATAATAGAAAAATTTAAAAAGTTGAAAGAAGTTGATAATATAAAAATTGCTGCACAATGTCATTATTACAGTTTTTCTAATCCCCGATTGCAAAGGTATCTTGTATCTTGAGAAAAGTATTTCAAATACATATCTTGTATCTTGTATTTGGAATCATCCATTTAGTAAAAAGTATTTTGTATCTTGTATCTTGTGTAATTCTCAGTATTTGCATTTAGTATCTTACGGATTTGTCCAAAATATTTTGTATCTTGTATCTTGTATCTTAAAATCAAAGTATCTTGGCCAACCCTGCATATTATGCATGTAGCATTGGCATTTCTCTGATAACTACTTTATTGGAATGTTTGCATATCTTGCGTTAATTTTGCACAATCTTTTCAGTCCAGTATTAGCTCCAGCCTCAAACAAGACGGCTTATGTTTCATTCTCAGGTTTAAGCTGTTTTGATATTGAAGTTTATCAATAACTTTATCTCTTGCTGAATTAGATAAATCCTTTACTAAATTCAATATAGTATATGAAGCAGCAACATAACATTTCCTCTTCAAGTTTTTAAAATTGTTGATACAGAGTTAGGTATTTTGAATTATATAAAATTCATAATGGACCCTACCCCAGGGGAACATGACTGCCTCATGCCTACCAATTTATCTAAAGGAAAAACAAGCGACATTGCTACACCTGTGGGTAAACCCAACTCTAATTTGGATGGAATTAAACAGCCTCAGCCTCCTCCATACGCAGGTGCACGTTCCGTACCATTTAATCAGACAGAGTCAAATGGCGAGATTCAATCCAGCATGATTCAAAAACACCGAAGGGTAATTTTAAATGTGGGTGGAGATCGACATGAAATTTTGTGGGACAATTTGGCCCGTTATCCATACACCCGTCTTGGACAATTGGGAGATAGGTACAGGTCACTTTGGGTAAATGAGTTATTTAAATAAATTGAGTTTAATGCGATCAATAAAATACAGTAAGGCTTGCCATTTATTATGCATGCATGAGCAATCGTACATAGTTTCTGAAATTGCAGGAGGTTGGTTATAGCTCACGTGATGAAATTTTAAATCTGTGTGACGACTATGACTTGAGTGCGAATGAGTATTTTTGGGACCGACAACCTCGCACATTTCCATTTATCCTAAACTTGTACAGACGGGGCAAGCTGCATCTTCCTGAGGATTGTAAGCAATGCAAAACAGTTGAAAATATAGGATTGAATATACTTTTCAATAAAATCATACAGTATGCGTGCTGGAATTTGACGAGGATTTGCAATATTGGGGAATTGATGAGCTTTACCTTGATTCTTGTTGCCAAATTAAATTTCAGCAGAAAAAAGAACAGCTTATTGCAGGTACTCTGATTTACTTGATTTTTAGCTATATTTTTACAAAAGAAGAAAAACATTTGGTTTAGAAATCAAGAAGGATGAAGAGTTTCTGTCTTCTCACAAAGGTATTTAGTAGCACTTCTTAATTACTGTTTAATTTCTGATATGAGAGAGGTACACGGTTATAAATTGTTACCGCTTAGTAAAGAGTTGCAACCACCTCGTAATGTTTTATTACCAAGCAGTAACAAAATTGTTACCATGCTGGTAAAGTCACATATTGTCACCAGATGTTTTTATTTTTTTAAGAGTGTACACACCATATTAAGTATTTTTCAATCAAGCAAAACAGCGAAAAAAGGTTGGATTTTGTTCAATAAAAACCCTGCTCTTTTACATTAAATTATTAAAAAATCAAACTGCTTTGCCGTTTTGCTAGGTAGTCACCTGAAATTAAATACTTTTCATATGTAATTCGGATCTGCTTTATTAACACAGAAGAAGACTTTGGCAAAGGAATGATTTCAGGAATGAGAAAATATTTATGGAATTTGTTTGAAAAGTATGGTCATCTTATAATTTATGTTGTTCCGTTTAATCTGGTTATCTATTCATTATTTATTATTTATGATAACTTTCAGGTCATCCACCCTACCACAAAAGGTGCGTTATTTAAGTATATCTAAACACCCTCACAAAGGCGGAAAGTTTGCTGTCCCAATTTGATAAGGTAAGGATTATGGGAAGCCGATCACTTTAAACTTTAGCTGCGATCTAGTCAAAAATCAGTTTTAGGAATCCAAATTTTTGGTATAATATTACAAATATATCGAACTACGAATCCTCAAAATTTCTTAAATTTTCATTGGCAAACAAATTTCTTACACGATTCCAAAGCGAAGAATTCGCGAAATGAGTTTTTTGTAAGTACCAGAATTCGTTTCTCGAGGGTGAAGAGAATGCTTGACTACATTTCAAGGAAGAGGGTTATATTTCGGCAAAAATTAAGACACACATAAAAAAGTATGTTGAATCCTAAAATGTCAACCTCAGAAAAGGAATATGAAAATAAAACACCATAACGACCCCACGAAAGTTAAAAACGATTAATTTGTTTTTTGGAAAGTACGCATCAAAGTCCGTGTCTGGTTTGGCGAAAATGTTAAAGACTAATTCAAACTGATTGTACCACATTAAACACCATAAATTGAGGGTCTAAGCGCATAAAGAAAAATGTTCAGAAAAATACACGGAAGCTCAAGAAAATATGATAAACGCAACATGTTCCAAGCTTTGCAGCAAAATTTCACCAGAAGATTTGATAATTCACGACGAGTCCCACGTCTTTAAAACACAGACAAAAAATCTTGGAAGGCCATTTTTCCACCCCAAATATCCCCCTAAAGTGAAAACTGACGAGAAAATAAAATTTTCTTCGAAATTTCCGAAAAAATCTATAATTTAGCAGGTGATGGTTCAATTTGGCCATATTTCGCACCCTTGCATATATGGTGGTCGTATGAATGCCAAAATAGATTTCAAGGAATTTGTGATAGGTCATCGTATTCCCCACATCATGAGGTATAAAAAATATGCCATCTAAATTTTTGACCCGACCGTGCTAAAATCTACAGTGCAACATCCATCCAGGAAGAAATCGAAAAAAATATCAGTTTGATGTTGAAAAATGAAATCCTCATCTGCATCCTTCATCTTTGTCAAAAAAATAAAATTTGGACTCTATGTAAGAAGAAATACTTCTAGGTTCGTGAAACAGTCGATACTTTAAGAAAATTTCGGTTCTGATTGGAGAAAATTAACAACGAATTTGCAAAGTCTTCCGAAAAACAACGAATGAAAGATGTGACGAAAAAGATTAAATATGAAGTGGATAATGGATTAAAGTATTCTATGTTTACGGATATCGTGAACAATAATATTTATAATATCCTCGCAAAATTTGTGATTTTTACAATCATTTTTTGACCCTCTAAAGGTCAAAAATCCAAGTGATCGGGTTCCCATAATCCTTACTATATTTATGTATATGAGCTTCCCGTCAATATATTTATTTATTAACAAATACGGAACATAAAACATAAAAATTCTTCAAAATTATCACCTTATTTGCTTATGTCACAGATTACCGGGATGCTCTCAATCACTATCATTGTCCTCTCCATTTTGACTTTGAGTCTTTCCACTGGTAAAAATTATATTTCCTTAATCTTTTCTTGATTATATTTTCTGTGAACGTATTTATATGAACAGATCCATTTTAGTAAATTACACGTTTTCTCCTTTAGTTCCAGAGTTACAAGTATTCAAATGCAAACATGACAATGAATCTTTATGTGAGGATTTATTATCGTCGGACGACAATCCCAGTCCAGAGCAACATTTTATCCTGACAGACAATGAGATTTTAGAAACCCTGGAAATCGTTTGTATTATTTGGTTTACTGCCGAATACCTCATCCGTCTTTTCGCGGCTCCAAGCAAGCGCAAATTTTTCTGCGGGGTTTTAAACAACATTGACCTTCTTGCCATTGCGCCATTTTATGTGTCACTTTTCCTCGTTCAACTCGATACACCGGGTCGTTTAGTTCAAGTGTTGCGAGTATTTCGGATTCTGCGAATATTTAAACTTGCCCGCCACTCAATAGGACTGCAAAGTTTGGGATTCACGCTTCGCCACAGTTATAAGGGTTTGGGTGTTCTCCTTTTGTTTTTGAGTACACGCTAAAAACTATACGCTTCAGCTGAAGTAAAAAACTACTTTTTTCAAAGCGAAAAGTGCTCCTATGTCAGATCAAGTAATGCAGGTCAAAATTCCAATAAGTAACCACTATTGCTTTAGTGCAAGCACTTGGTACCCTATATATGGGACATAAAGCTCCTGCGTTTGAAGTACCTTGATGCCATGTTGAAAGTAGCATACAGCTTCATATGGAGTACAATTTGAACTATGCATGAAGTACAATTTGAACTATGCGTGAAGTACAATTTTAACTATGCTTGAAGCATAGCATTACTCTCAACGGATCAGGCCCTATCCTTCTAATAGGGTAGTCCTATGCTTCATATGTAACAATATTTACTAAATATGAAGGGCTCATTTAATTCAGTCGCAGTATTTATTTGCTGTTGATCCATACATGCATGTAAATATTATCAAAAATTATAAATATTAGTTTCATGAAAGTAGTTAACAATTATGATTATTCACAACAAGTTCACAACAAAAATTGAGGTCATAGAAACTAAGCGTAACAAGATATAACAATTAATTATTATCAAGCAATTTCTCATATCGTGACATAATCTGACCAATAAGTCCTTGGACGACTGGCGGAAGTTGACTCTTCTCATATGGTCGGCCGGCGACTCCATGTTGAATAAACATCCAGTGATCAAATGACTCCAACGGAAGTGGGATGTATAAAACAGTAAATGTTTTGAAGCAGGTGTCCAACGCCTTCAAAAAGCTTGATCCGCATGGAATCGCAATCTTGCTGAGAATGACGAAGAAAGCTGTAAAATCCAGGTCACGCGGAGAACCCAACGCGAGGATGAATGGAGCACTTCTCTTGTTATCATTTAATACTTCGGCAACATGTGTGTTACGCTGTAGCAAAAATTATACAAAAATTATACCACACATAATTATTAAACATAAAATTCCAAAAACTGATTATGTAATTATGCGACATTTCGGTTCATCTTACCGGTCTAAATATAATCATGCTTTTAGAACAATCTATGTCCGATGCTTTAACGGTTGTCATACTCTTTCGGTTTCCCCTACGTGGCTTTTTTCGAGTTGGTGAAGAAGTCGCACTGGCGTCCGAATTAGATTCATCGTCTTTTTGCGGGGGCTTTCGTCCGCAACTTGGCAAAATGAATGGCAGGAGCGAAAATGCAACAACAGTAAAGTCATCTGGCAAAATTATCAAATTTTCAATTACATGAATTCCCAGCGCTATTATTTAACTTAACAGGAGAAAGGTTTTAATGCAATCTTTACCATTTGTAAATTCATATCTTGATTTTTCAACACCTAATTTCTTGCGAAAATCGACCCCGCTTTGCTCTGCATATTCGACGATTAATTTAGAAACTTTCGGCCACCGGTCATACATTACCAACTTCAAACTAGGATGGCGGATGTTAAAATCCTGACAAATCTATTTGCAAAGACGTTGTTAACCAGCGCATTTAATGAATAAAATTACGTTTAATTTCTAACCATGTCTTCCACATCGAACAAATGTCTCATCTTCAAACTAATTGCCTGAATTCCTGGAACGCTCATTTGTCGATTCGTTGACGTGTCGGATAGCAAGACCAAGTGACGACGAATAACAGTCCGGCGCCAGAAGACAGATTGTTTCATAAGATCCAATATTTCAGCTCCATTATTTTGCTTCATATATTCCAGTAGCCCCTCATCTGGCTCAGGATCTTCTAGATATGTAATTTTAAATATCAGTACTAGATTTACAAATACTTGGCGTCTTCACGATTTTCATCTAACCTTCTTCAAGATCTGAACCCCAATCTAGTCCAACAATTGAAATCACTGAGTCCTTAGATTTGTTCATCCTCCTCTCCTCCGCAGTGTTTCTTCGTTGACTTTTCAGTCGCTCCTCCAGAAATCCAGTCGCTGCAGGTGCATAAGTCGTATGAAACCACCACATTGTCCAACCATTTCCAGGAATTCTGGGGTCCCCAAAGCACGGGTACAGATTTACCAGATTTTTAGCTAATTGCTCCATAGCTTGTTTGCTGGGACTAAAATCAAAATTGTGTCACTTGAAAATTTGGGTAGTTGCATGTACTAAAATTAACAAAATTAGGTACATACCTTGTCCCCAAATTTTGTATAATAGCATCAATTAACACTGCTGCGATTGCCTGCCTATCCGCTCGGAGTATAAATAGGGAACTGTCGGGCCGTGTCTTCGTAGCGATAATATTCCTCACAAAGTCGTTTGTTCTCAACACGGCGTCAATATCCTATCAATAAAACAAAATTAAAATTTGCTGAAATAAAAGAATTTTAAATTCAACCCGCAATCATATTTATAGTTACAGTGTAACTTACAAATCCATAAATTGTTCCACTATGCAATTTTTGCGGTGGATCGGGTGGGGATCCCAAAAAATAACTGATTTGGAAAGGAGGATTTTCATTGCTTTGGAAGTTATCGTTTCCAACTGATTGATCTTGAGGGCACGAAACGATTTGATAATTTGGCTGAGATGTTAACTGTGACGTATCCGGTGTCACACTCGTGACTGTAGCACTTGGCAAGCTGGAGACTTGTTTAGCTGCTGACATGACCTGAGAAATAACCGCAAATTATTAATCCACATAATTTAGGAAACACATTTAAAATATAAGATAAAGTCTCTCACCACTTGACGATGAACCGTTTTTGATTTAGGAGTTGACTGTATTTTCTTTTTAAGCAAATCAAGTCCAATCAGACCTCGATCACGCGCTTCCCGGTCACTCATAATTGATGCGCTGAATCCGGATGCCGTGTCGTCATCTAAATTCTCGAGACTTTTGCTTGGTGAATTTTGATGAGGCTTGAGAGGCATTTATAATTATTATTAAAATTAATTATTATCGTAACAATTAAGAGTAGAATTTCTAATCTAAACAAATTTAATAGGTAAAACAATATACTCCGTTTTTCGGAGGAGTTCAAAAGACTCCAAAGCGTACAAAGGTAAATAGAACTGAATATTATTAATATCAATTATTCTAGCTGACCCCTCAATTCCTAAAGTGTAACTATTTAGTTTCTCATTAAAGTTACCTATCACCTCAACAACACACAAATTGCAATCTTCATTTTCGAGAATTATGCTAGAAACTTTCCCAAATTTCGGATACTTTGTACAGTATTCAAGCAAAACAAAACAACCAACCCTGTATTCGCACCCATCGTGAATTACAGATGAAGGCGAAAATTCTTGTATGCTCAAAAGGTTGAATGATCTCGCTAACTGATGTCTATAAGCTAAAGATTTCGATATATTTTTGAAATTGCAAATAGAATGAGCGGTAGTTTTAAAAAATTTGTGCTTAGACTCAAAAGTCATGCTCCAAAATGGCCGCAGTGGTCCAATTTTTTGCATAGCTTCCACATAATGTAACAAATGGTGATGTTTTGGTTTAAGCGTTCTACTAAAATTTTTTTGGTAGCGCATGCAAAACTCTGAAATTAAGCTATTTAAATATACGAGCCCACCATCAGTTAATTTTGTAGCCAACAAAATATTCAATATTTCTAGAAATAATAAGAACAAATTCCAGGTGTCATCATTACTAGGAATGCAGTCAATTACAAGCAATGGAAAACATATCAAAAGACATAACATTTGGGAGGCGCTTTGACCAATTTTGTTGTCGGTTTTTAAATATAACAACTTAATCTGAGAGGGCTTTGACGTTTTAAAATGATGCCCATAATTAAAAGATTCAATTCGATAATTCAATTTATCTAGACCGAAATACTTGAGGGAAATACAGTGATTAATTAAATGGACTAACAGATCTGGTCCCACCCCTTCTAAAATATCATGCATTATGTCGAAAACAAAATTGTCAGTCACATGAAAATATGGAAGCTGATTGGCAACCGATTCGAAATTAATCCCAGTTAATGATAACTTATTAACTTCACAGTCATGGTCATAGTTTTCTTGATTCCTAAGTTTCCTGATATCTGCATAAATAGAAATTTGACACTCAGTGCGATGCATTTTGCACCTACGACAGGGATAATTTGCTGTAAAGCCTTCAGAAAACCCAAGCAGTGCATGCAAACCCAAGTTGTCTCCGCATATTTGCGAAAGAGAAATTTTTACGTTATGTTGCTTTCCATCAACGGTAAAAGTGATTCCATTCTCCCAAAGTTCTTTGAGCTCATCGATAATAAATTTTAAGATATTATTTGCTGAGGAGCTTTTAAAATCCTCGCTTTTTAAACTAGCTAACAATGGAATATTAGAAATAGACGCTTGAAAATGGGCTGGGAGGTCAAGAAAAGAAGAATAGAAGTTCATTAACTTATGCTTTCCTGCCTTCGATCCGAGTGGGTTCGCCATTTCTGCTTCGTCGCAGTACAAGTTTATGAAAACTGTCTCTTTGGGATATACTTTCTCATTGAATAATGATCCTTCTCTAAACGATGAATAAATTTCACCGGTGAAAGACTTATTCCTTTCTAGAGCTGCAAAAAAACCTGGTTTCTCTAAGAGTTGAGCAATTGTTTTCTGAATTGGAATGTATTGCATTACCACTGGGCGATATTTTTGCTGATATCCCATATTTTTGCTATGATTAAAAGTCATGTCAGAATCTAAAACTACCTGGGAGTGGGAGGAATCATATAACGCTTCTCAATTAAAAATTTATCTAACTTATATTTCGATTCAAACGGCAAAAAGACTTTTAAAATTAAGCTTATTTCTGATTTTACCATCTCATCAAACTTGGTCACATTGGATTCAGATTTATGGAAAAATTTAACCGCATTTTGTTTAAAAATTGACAGCAGTTCCATCACAAAAGATTTTAACTGTTTAAAAACTGCGTCCTACGTACTCATTGGAACTTTTCCAGATTTTAGCAACACTGACACAATTCTCGACTAAAAAGTTTGCAAATTCGAAAGCTGGCTATCCTGATCTACCTCTTCACCAAATTCCTCAGATTCCACATTTTCTTCAAAAAATTCGGATAGGCTTTTGTGGTTGTTCGTATTTTCCTTACATAAAGTCTTGTGCAATGTAAACACATTTCTAAGATGTTTTAAAAAGGGTTTTCGCAAAAAATACCTATCACAATGTACACATTTATATTCGCTATTTCCTGATAACAAATGGAAAGATTTAAGGTGCTCTGACAAATCTTTTAGCGTATAAAAATTACAGTTACAAATAAAACAAATGTATACCGATCCCGTTTTTAATTTTTGAATTATCTCCCACAACCGAAGTTGATCACCAATGCCAGGGATGATTGATTTCAAATCTTCTCTTGAGAGTAATCTTAGGGCTCCGTCGTCGATCCGATTCTCTATAATTTCACAAGTGTTATTATTATTATTAGGAACCGACATTGGTAGCAGATATTACTATTAACAGAATTTAAATAATCAATTATGCTTACCTTTAAATACGTCGACAAGATTCTGAAGCTGAAGTTGGACTAAGACTCTTTCAACCTCCGAGAAATCCATACTGCCAGGTTTACAAACTTTTAGATTTACGAAATTAATTTCAAGTTGAAATAAATATAACTTGAAATAATTAACTTGAGAACAATGGTGGTGTTCAACTGGTGGATGAGAGAAGAGTGGGAATGGCAGCATGGAATTTGGCGTCAGATTTTGCTTTTAACCATATTTGAAGGAGGGGCAACTTGATCTGAAGTAAGCATGCTTCAGCTTAAGTAATCGGTGCCTAAACTGAAGTCGTTAATCCTTCATTGAGTGTATATTTTCTTTCTACCTATATCTGAAGCAAGGAATTATGCACAACTTTAACTAAAGCACACAGATTTGATTTATATGAATTAAAATTTACTTCGCGCCCAGCATCCAAGGATACTGCTTTTGGAAAAGCATCGTATATTTTTTAGCGTGTATTGGGGTCGTCATCTTTTCTACGTTGGCATATTTTGCGGAGAGGGAAGATAATAGTGAAGGATTTGGAAGTATACCACAGACCTTCTACTGGGCATTCATTACCATGTCGACAGGTTCATAATTTTGACAAAAAAAATATATAATTTGAAATATAATTTGACTTTTGTTCGTCTAGTCGGATATGGAGACGTCACTCCAAAAACGACTTTTGGAAAAGTTATTTCAGTTATCACCGGAGTTTGTGGCATTGTCGTCATCGCATTACCAATTCCCATTGTGGTCAACAATTTTGGTCTGTTTTATGAAGAGCAGAAGCGCAAAGAAAAATCGATCAAGAGACAAAAGGCTTTACAGGATTTGAAGGGTAGCGAGCATTACAATTTCAGACGGGGAAGTTATATGAAAACTGAAATAGTTGATCGATTGGGATTGGAGGAGAAGATGGGGAAAATTGAAGAGAAGTAAAGTTCGTAAACTGTACTACCAAAATTGTTGAGCCACGATGCGTTTCTTGTTCATGGGAATTAACAAACTCTATAAAATTAAATTTTATAGAGTTTTATAGAGTTTTATAGAGTTAGTGGAGGTGAACCAATACATATCATTCCAACAGAGTAGAAATTAAGTAAATAATAATATGAATTAATGTGTCTGTAAAAGATTAATTGGTTGAATAAAAATACGGCTCAGCATTAATTAATTAATAATGGTGTATTTTTATATGGTACAATTATCAAGTAGCGCAAGCTACTTTATGCGATCGGTTAGTTAGTCTGTCTGTCTGTCCGTCTGTCTGTCTGTCAAGATAATCGAAATCGGTTTGCGGCATCATACATATGACCCCAGGGGGAGGATCCCGTAAACTTTTGGACCACACCCCCTCGGCGCCAGGGGGTGTGGTCGCAGTGTGATCGGGGCAAAATGAGATTTATAGCGCAAATTAATCTATGGATGAAATCCAGTTGAATTATGTGTATCTGAGTTGTGCCACACCCCCTCGGCGTCAGGGGGTGCGGTCGCAGTGTGATCGGGGCAAAATGAGATTTATAGCGCAAATTAATCTATGGATAAAATCCAGTTAAATTAAGTGTATCTAACAATGCGATGCCACCAGCAGTCTCGCTCCGATTTTGATGAAACTACATAATTATGTAGATTTACATAAATAATTAGACACATGTTTCGGGTTTTTTCATAATGCTCAGTTTGAACGAAGTTAAAGTGGCATGATTGAGCGAAAATTGGCATTTTCCCCATTCAAATGCGTCGACCTTTGCGTTCATTTTTACTCTTTTTCCCTCACTTTCGCTTCTCGCAATTTTGCCTTTGAAAATATTTTTTTGAAATTTGAATTATAAATATAAGTATATACAATAAATGTATAACTGAAATAGGAAAAAAATAGAGTTATGTAGAATTAACGATAATTTTTTTAGATAAATTATTAACTTTGAGAATATTTTTGCCTTCTGCTATTTAAAAAAAATTATCGCAGGGTTTAAATTTAATAATTTATAGTAAGGATTATGGGAACCCGATCACTTGGACTTTTGACCTTTAAAGGGTCAAAAAATGATTCTGAAAATCTCAAATTTTGCTAGGATATTACAAATATTACTGTTCGCGATATCCGTAAACATAGAATACTTTAATCAATTATCCACTTCATATTTAATCTTTTTCTTCACATACTTCATTAGTTCTTTTTTGAAAGACTTTGCAAATTCGTTGTTAATTTTCTCCAATCAGAACCGAAATTTTATTAAAGTATCGACCGTTTCACGAACCTAGAAGTATTTCTTCTTATATAGAGTTCAAAATTTATTTTTTTTTGACTAAGACGAAGGATGTAGATGAGGTTTTCATTTTTCAACATCAAACTGATATTTTTTTCGATTTCTTCCTAGATGGATGCTGCATTGTAGATTTTAGCATTGGTCAGGTCAAAAACGTATATTGCATATTTTCTATACCTCATAATGTGTGGAATAAGATGACATATCACACATTCTTTGAAATCCATTTTGACATTCATACGACCATCATATACGCAAGGGTACTAAATATGGCCAAAATGAACCATCGCCTGCTAAACTACAGATTTTTTCGGAAATTCCAAAGAAAATTTTATTGTATCTTCGGTTCTCACTTGAGTGGGATATTAGGGGTGGAAAAATGGCCTTTCCGGATTTTTTGTGTGTGCTTTAAACATGTAGGACTCGTCGTGAATGATCAAACCTTCTGGTGAAATTTTGGTGCAAAACTTGGGACGTGTTGCGTTTGCCATTATTTCTTGAGCTTCCGTGTATTTTTCTGAACATTTTTCTTCATGCGCTCACACCCTCAATTTATTGGCTTTAATATGGTGCAATCAGTTTGTATTGGTCATTAATATCTTCGACACACCAGACACGGACTTTCATGGGTATTTTTCAAAAAACAAATTAAGCGTTTTTAACTTTCGTGGGGTTGTTATAGTGTTTTCTTTTCATAGTGCTTTTTGGAGGTTGACATTTTCGGATTCTACATACTTTTTTATGTATGTCTTAATTTTTGCCGAAATATACCCGTCTTCCTTGAAATGTAGTCAGGCATTCTCTTCATCTTCGAGAAACGAATTCTGGTACTTACACAAAACTCATTTCGCGAATTCTTCACTTTGAAATCGTGTAGGAAATTTGTTTGCCAATGAACATTTATGAAATTTTGAAGATTCGTAGTTACAGATATTTGTAACATTATACAAAAAATTTGGATTCCTAAAACGTTTTTTTGACTAGCCCGTAGCTAAAGTTTAAAGTGATCGGCTTCCCATAATCCTTACCTTATTAAATTAAATAACGATTATCGTTATTTTTACATGACCCTATTTTTCCCAATTCCAGTTATACATTTATTGTATAGTTTTATATTTTTAATTCTGACTTCGAAAATTATTCTCAAAGTCAAAGTTGCGACAAGCAAAAGTGAGTAAAAAAAGAGGAGAAATGGAAACAAAGGTCAACGCATTTGAATGGGGAAAAATGTCAATTTTTGCTCACTCATGCCACTATAACTTCGTTCAAACTGAGCATTATGAAAAACCCTAAACATGTGTCAAATTATTTATGTAAATCTACATAATTACGTAGTTTCGTCAAAATCGGAGCGAGACCGCTGGTGGCATCGCATTGTAAGTGGTGCCACACCCCCTCGGCGTCAGGGGCTGCGGTCGCGATGTGATCAATTAATTAATTCAAATGAATTAATGAATTAATTATTGATTAATTCTAATGAATTAATGAATTAATCATTAATTAATTCTAAGGAATTAATGAATTAATGATTAATTAATTCAAATGAATTAATGAATTAATCATTAACGAATTAATTAACTAATGGATCAATCAATTAATTCAATTAATTAATGGATCAATCAATTAATTCAATTAATTAATTGCGCAAATTAATTCTCAGCATTCTCAGCATTCTCAGCATTATTGCGCTACTTATGTGTCGTGCTTTGCCGCACTTTATTTAACAAAATATCCATAAAAATAGATTTCAGAATCTGCAACAACTTTTCGCGTGGCAAAAAAATGATAAAATGGGCCCGACGCGTGGGTGTGAATGACACGAAAAAACCGAGTTTGTACTCCTCCACACCTTCAGTTAAATCTATTTACTTAAAAAAATAATAATCTGGTAGAAATTTTGTTTGGTCTACAAACCCAACGTAAACATGACACATGCATAAATACATATGTGCATATTTATGCATACTGATATTTTCACGTAATTACAAAACGTGTTTCCAGATTATAGGAACAAGGGAAAAAATTGTGTAACTTGAGAACGGCTGGTCCAATCAGCGCCAAATTTGACAATCATAATTTTGTCATTATTGCGGTGCTATATTCTGAGTTTCAAATTTCTGTTTCAAATAATGGGGCCTAAAATTGACCCTAAAGTGGTGGCGTCAGTTTCCAAAGCCAAATTGGCCTATAGAGCTATCAAATCTGTTTTAAAAGATTCTGGAAACGACCTAGGTGTGACCACTATAAGTCGTATTATCAGTTTTGAAGGAATTAGGAGACATGCAGTTACATCCGGTCAACCTGTTCCAAGAAATCGATACCCTTCAAAAAAGAATTCGGCCACTTTGAAGAAAATTGATCCTCTCACTAATAAGGAAAATCCCCCAAGCAAGAGGCAGATTACAAAGCAATGCCAGATGTCCCCGGGGTATGTTAGTAAAATAATACATCAAGATTTGGTTAAAACGGTCCAGAAAAAAAAAGTCTAGTCCACGCCCTAAAACCGTCGCATATCGCAAACAGGGAAAAAAATTCCCGGAAGCTCTATGAGGGTCATCTCATAGAATGAGGTGGAAGGTCAGAATTTGCCGTTACACTGGACGAGGTACTATTCTTTACAGAAGACTGTAAAGGAACAATAAGAATTTACTATACAAAGGATCGAAAAAAATTATCAAATTATGTGTGCCAGAAGAAGGAAAAGTTTTCTGATCGGATGATGGTTGTTGGCGCAATGAACGGCCGTGGCGTGTTACCACTGATTCATGTCGGTTCAAATGCAAAAATAAATTCGAAGTATTATGTTGACAACGTGTTGCAAAAATTTTTGGAGGTGGAAATTCCAAAGTTTTACCCTGGCGAGCTGGACAAAGTTTACATTCACCATGATGCTGTAACATCCCGCAAAGTTCACGCAAGAATACGGCAAAGATTTGAAGCGAAATACAGGAATGACCTTGATAACTAACTCTGAGATCCCTATCAAGTCACCATGGACACTAGTCCCATGGATTTTTTTGGGTTTGGTTATCTCAAACAGAAGGTTTTTAAAAGGAGAGCATCAACTCTGGGTGGACTTTGGAAAGTTCTGAATCAGGAGTGGAATCTTGTAACACCTGAAACATGTCGAAAAGTGTTCGAAAACTGGAAATTTAGGCTCAGGCTTGTTCGGGCGATGTCCGGAGAACACATTGAGAATACTCAAGCAATTCATAATCGCCGTCGTCAGTAAATGTAAGATTTTTTCCCTTGTTCCTATAATCTGGAGACACGTTTTGTATATACAAATAAAGGGACATATGCAGGCTCAAAATATAACCCCTAAAAACGAATTAATTAAAAACAAACTAATTATCTTTAATTGATCACATGCTCTATACTGCGACATGTCGACAACACAGAAAAACATGTTTTGCCCAAATTTCATGCATATCGACCGCAAAATGCCGAAATTAGGGCGTGGCGACAAAATCTGTCGTCGAAACCTTACTGGCCATATTGCGACATGTCGACAACACCGAAAAACAAGGTTTCCCCAAATTTCATGCCAATCGCCCAAAAAATGCCGAAATTAGGGCATGGCGACGCTTTTCGACATGATTTCGACAAATTGGTCCCACCCCCTTAATAGGGTGTCACCCCATAGCCGTGAAGAGCATGTGTTGAAAATTTCAAGTCGCTGCGACGAACCGTTCTCGAGTTTTAGTGTTGACGGACAGACAGACGGTCGGACCGAAAGACTAACTAACCGATCGCGTTAAGTAGCTTGCGCTACTTAATAAGTGTAAAGAAATTCTGCATTCGTGGAATATGATTTGTAGTTATAAGAAAGTCAATACGCTTAATGATATTTGTAAGTAATATATGGACCAGTACTGTTCTCAAGTTATGTAAATGTTAGACGCTACGAATGATTTTAGCTTGACCACCACCACCACTATTATTACTCGTCCACACTTTAACATTATTTGAAAAATTGTATTTATTTATATATTTTGTTTCTCCAAATTTTAACCATACATTGTGAAACAGGTAATTTGTACTTAATAGTAGCTCGCATGTACACATGTATTCATTCATCTACTTATTTAATCTTTTTAGAAATAATGGCCAAGGATCATTCATGTACAATTCGAGTCTATGTATATTAATTTTACACCAGAGGTAGTAATTATAATGGTCACCATAATTTACCTAATTAATTATTATTATAAAGCATGTCAATTTTTCACCACATAGCCTGATGAAGAGATTCGAAACCGGTCGCAATGGTGAATAAATCTGATCCTCATTCAACAGTTTAAAGTGTTCCTTGTTCTTATTAGCAATGCAAACTGTGCAGCTTTTCTGGTATTTATGTACGAGCAAGTCTCCCCTGGATGTCATGGGAATTGATGTGCACGAGTTATATAAACAGTGTTTATTAAACACTATTTGTTGGAGATGGTTGGACTTGCGAAAAATACCAAAATATGTTGTTGTTCTTCAACTCTTACATACATATATACATGTGTATATACCAAGAATACATAGGATGACCTCATGTGTTGACTGGGTTTTCATGAGATTCCATGCCAACCCGTCATGTAAATCTTCCCTCAAGCAAAATAAATACATAAATATGTATGCAAAATCCAATCTTAAGTATTCAGACATACATGCATAAACATGTACATGCTTGTGTGCAAAACAACTTTTTTCCATAATTTACTCACATATGTATTTATGTATATCTGGATAGAAGAATTAAATAATAAATACTCTTGTAAATAAGCAAACATTTTTGAGCGAGTATAAAAAGAAGCTGTGACCCGTGTCGGAACATTCATTCTGCAAAAGGATTCATATTTCCATAGAAATTTATATCGCTGGATTTTCACCATGAAAAGAAGCCCTCTTCTTTTGTGTTTCTTTGTCTTGATCGCTGTGGCGTCCACGGTTGGTAAGTCAGTCGAGGGCCAGATTACGCATAAATAAGCAAATAAAAGTGTGTACCCTCGAAACAAAATTTTACCAAATTATCCCGGTCAGTAGCAATAAATATATTTATTGCTGCTCACTTACCTCCTTGTAACCACCGTGGTCACAATTTTCTCAGAGTGGTGACAACTTTCATACATACATCAATGCGTACAATGTTCAAACAAAAATTTACAAAAGATTACGGTAGATTCAAAATTATCATTACATTTCAATTAATTTCTTAACGTTAGGGCCACGTTTGAGTTTCGCAGAAATTATTGTTACTAAATATTCGGTGACGAATTCTTACTAGCTGAATACAGCCACTTGGTAGAGTGATTTTTCTAATATTACTCATTTACATATTTAACTATTGATTGATTTGTTTACCAGAATCGTGTCGATGTATCGGACTTGGTGAGTGTTGCGCGGGAAGAGAGTGTTCCCAATATCATGACGGGTCAATTTGTTCCGGAAAATGCTGTGTCCGAGGTCCTCGCACAACTGGACCCAATAATGCTTGTGGGGACAGATGCGCTTAATTAGTAATCACTTGCACACACGGAGGTGAACCAGTACATATCATTCTATCCAACACATGTAGAAAATAAATAACACTGAATAAATGTGTCTGTTAAAGTTTAATTGGTTGAATAAAAATACGGCTCAGCATCAATTAATTAATAATGGTGCATTTTTATTTGGTAGAATTATTTTAAAAAATATCCATAAAAATAGATTTCAGAATCTGCAACAACTTTTCGTGTGGCAAAAAAATGATAAAATGGGCCCGACGCGTGGGTGTGAATGGCACGAAAAAACCGAGTTTGTACTCCTCCACACCTTCAGTTAAATCTATTTACTTAAAAAAATAATAATCTGGTAGAAATTTTGTTTGGTCTACAAACCCAACGTAAACATGACACATGCATAAATACATATGTGCATATTTATGCATACTGATATTTTCACGTAATTACAAAACGTGTTTCCAGATTATAGGAACAAGGGAAAAAATTGTGTAACTTGAGAACGGCTGGTCCAATCAGCGCCAAATTTGACAATCATAATTTTGTCATTATTGCGGTGCTATATTCTGAGTTTCAAATTTCTGTTTCAAATAATGGGGCCTAAAATTGACCCTAAAGTGGTGGCGTCAGTTTCCAAAGCCAAATTGGCCTATAGAGCTATCAAATCTGTTTTAAAAGATTCTGGAAACGACCTAGGTGTGACCACTATAAGTCGTATTATCAGTTTTGAAGGAATTAGGAGACATGCAGTTACATCCGGTCAACCTGTTCCAAGAAATCGATACCCTTCAAAAAAGAATTCGGCCACTTTGAAGAAAATTGATCCTCTCACTAATAAGGAAAATCCCCCAAGCAAGAGGCAGATTACAAAGCAATGCCAGATGTCCCCGGGGTATGTTAGTAAAATAATACATCAAGATTTGGTTAAAACGGTCCAGAAAAAAAAAGTCTAGTCCACGCCCTAAAACCGTCGCATATCGCAAACAGGGAAAAAAATTCCCGGAAGCTCTATGAGGGTCATCTCATAGAATGAGGTGGAAGGTCAGAATTTGCCGTTACACTGGACGAGGTACTATTCTTTACAGAAGACTGTAAAGGAACAATAAGAATTTACTATACAAAGGATCGAAAAAAATTATCAAATTATGTGTGCCAGAAGAAGGAAAAGTTTTCTGATCGGATGATGGTTGTTGGCGCAATGAACGGCCGTGGCGTGTTACCACTGATTCATGTCGGTTCAAATGCAAAAATAAATTCGAAGTATTATGTTGACAACGTGTTGCAAAAATTTTTGGAGGTGGAAATTCCAAAGTTTTACCCTGGCGAGCTGGACAAAGTTTACATTCACCATGATGCTGTAACATCCCGCAAAGTTCACGCAAGAATACGGCAAAGATTTGAAGCGAAATACAGGAATGACCTTGATAACTAACTCTGAGATCCCTATCAAGTCACCATGGACACTAGTCCCATGGATTTTTTCGGGTTTGGTTATCTCAAACAGAAGGTTTTTAAAAGGAGAGCATCAACTCTGGGTGGACTTTGGAAAGTTCTGAATCAGGAGTGGAATCTTGTAACACCTGAAACATGTCGAAAAGTGTTCGAAAACTGGAAATTTAGGCTCAGGCTTGTTCGGGCGATGTCCGGAGAACACATTGAGAATACTCAAGCAATTCATAATCGCCGTCGTCAGTAAATGTAAGATTTTTTCCCTTGTTCCTATAATCTGGAGACACGTTTTGTATATACAAATAAAGGGACATATGCAGGCTCAAAATATAACCCCTAAAAACGAATTAATTAAAAACAAACTAATTATCTTTAATTGATCACATGCTCTATACTGCGACATGTCGACAACACAGAAAAACATGTTTTGCCCAAATTTCATGCATATCGACCGCAAAATGCCGAAATTAGGGCGTGGCGACAAAATCTGTCGTCGAAACCTTACTGGCCATATTGCGACATGTCGACAACACCGAAAAACAAGGTTTCCCCAAATTTCATGCCAATCGCCCAAAAAATGCCGAAATTAGGGCATGGCGACGCTTTTCGACATGATTTCGACAAATTGGTCCCACCCCCTTAATAGGGTGTCACCCCATAGCCGTGAAGAGCATGTGTTGAAAATTTCAAGTCGCTGCGACGAACCGTTCTCGAGTTTTAGTGTTGACGGACAGACAGACGGTCGGACCGAAAGACTAACTAACCGATCGCGTTAAGTAGCTTGCGCTACTTAATAAGTGTAAAGAAATTCTGCATTCGTGGAATATGATTTGTAGTTATAAGAAAGTCAATACGCTTAATGATATTTGTAAGTAATATATGGACCAGTACTGTTCTCAAGTTATGTAAATGTTAGACGCTACGAATGATTTTAGCTTGACCACCACCACCACTATTATTACTCGTCCACACTTTAACATTATTTGAAAAATTGTATTTATTTATATATTTTGTTTCTCCAAATTTTAACCATACATTGTGAAACAGGTAATTTGTACTTAATAGTAGCTCGCATGTACACATGTATTCATTCATCTACTTATTTAATCTTTTTAGAAATAATGGCCAAGGATCATTCATGTACAATTCGAGTCTATGTATATTAATTTTACACCAGAGGTAGTAATTATAATGGTCACCATAATTTATCTAATTAATTATTATTATAAAGCATGTCAATTTTTCACCACATAGCCTGATGAAGAGATTCGAAACCGGTCGCAATGGTGAATAAATCTGATCCTCATTCAACAGTTTAAAGTGTTCCTTGTTCTTATTAGCAATGCAAACTGTGCAGCTTTTCTGGTATTTATGTACGAACAAGTCTCCCCTGGATGTCATGGGAATTGATGTGCACGAGTTATATAAACAGTGTTTATTAAACACTATTTGTTGGAGATGGTTGGACTTGCGAAAAATACCAAAATATGTTGTTGTTCTTCAACTCTTACATACATATATACATGTGTATATACCAAGAATACATAGGATGACCTCATGTGTTGACTGGGTTTTCATGAGATTCCATGCCAACCCGTCATGTAAATCTTCCCTCAAGCAAAATAAATACATAAATATGTATGCAAAATCCAATCTTAAGTATTCAGACATACATGCATAAACATGTACATGCTTGTGTGCAAAACAACTTTTTTCCATAATTTACTCACATATGTATTTATGTATATCTGGATAGAAGAATTAAATAATAAATACTCTTGTAAATAAGCAAACATTTTTGAGCGAGTATAAAAAGAAGCTGTGACCCGTGTCGGAACATTCATTCTGCAAAAGGATTCATATTTCCATAGAAATTTATATCGCTGGATTTTCACCATGAAAAGAAGCCCTCTTCTTTTGTGTTTCTTTGTCTTGATCGCTGTGGCGTCCACGGTTGGTAAGTCAGTCGAGGGCCAGATTACGCATAAATAAGCAAATAAAAGTGTGTACCCTCGAAACAAAATTTTACCAAATTATCCCGGTCAGTAGCAATAAATATATTTATTGCTGCTCACTTACCTCCTTGTAACCACCGTGGTCACAATTTTCTCAGAGTGGTGACAACTTTCATACATACATCAATGCGTACAATGTTCAAACAAAAATTTACAAAAGATTACGGTAGATTCAAAATTATCATTACATTTCAATTAATTTCTTAACGTTAGGGCCACGTTTGAGTTTCGCAGAAATTATTGTTACTAAATATTCGGTGACGAATTCTTACTAGCTGAATACAGCCACTTGGTAGAGTGATTTTTCTAATATTACTCATTTACATATTTAACTATTGATTGATTTGTTTACCAGAATCGTGTCGATGTATCGGACTCGGTGAGTGTTGCGCGGGAAGAGAGTGTTCCCAATATCATGACGGGTCAATTTGTTCCGGAAAATGCTGTGTCCGAGGTCCTCGCACAACTGGACCCAATAATGCTTGTGGGGACAGATGCGCTTAATTAGTAATCACTTGCACACACGGAGGTGAACCAGTACATATCATTCTATCCAACACATGTAGAAAATAAATAACACTGAATAAATGTGTCTGTTAAAGTTTAATTGGTTGAATAAAAATACGGCTCAGCATCAATTAATTAATAATGGTGCATTTTTATTTGGTAGAATTATTTTAAAAAATATCCATAAAAATAGATTTCAGAATCTGCAACAACTTTTCGTGTGGCAAAAAAATGATAAAATGGGCCCGACGCGTGGGTGTGAATGGCACGAAAAAACCGAGTTTGTACTCCTCCACACCTTCAGTTAAATCTATTTACTTAAAAAAATAATAATCTGGTAGAAATTTTGTTTGGTCTACAAACCCAACGTAAACATGACACATGCATAAATACATATGTGCATATTTATGCATACTGATATTTTCACGTAATTACAAAACGTGTTTCCAGATTATAGGAACAAGGGAAAAAATTGTGTAACTTGAGAACGGCTGGTCCAATCAGCGCCAAATTTGACAATCATAATTTTGTCATTATTGCGGTGCTATATTCTGAGTTTCAAATTTCTGTTTCAAATAATGGGGCCTAAAATTGACCCTAAAGTGGTGGCGTCAGTTTCCAAAGCCAAATTGGCCTATAGAGCTATCAAATCTGTTTTAAAAGATTCTGGAAACGACCTTGGTGTGACCACTATAAGTCGTATTATCAGTTTTGAAGGAATTAGGAGACATGCAGTTACATCCGGTCAACCTGTTCCAAGAAATCGATACCCTTCAAAAAAGAATTCGGCCACTTTGAAGAAAATTGATCCTCTCACTAATAAGGAAAATCCCCCAAGCAAGAGGCAGATTACAAAGCAATGCCAGATGTCCCCGGGGTATGTTAGTAAAATAATACATCAAGATTTGGTTAAAACGGTCCAGAAAAAAAAAGTCTAGTCCACGCCCTAAAACCGTCGCATATCGCAAACAGGGAAAAAAATTCCCGGAAGCTCTATGAGGGTCATCTTGCAGGTGGAAGGTCAGAATTTGCCGTTACACTGGACGAGGTACTATTCTTTACAGAAGACTGTAAAGGAACAATAAGAATTTACTATACAAAGGATCGAAAAAAATTATCAAATTATGTGTGCCAGAAGAAGGAAAAGTTTTCTGATCGGATGATGGTTGTTGGCGCAATGAACGGCCGTGGCGTGTTACCACTGATTCATGTCGGTTCAAATGCAAAAATAAATTCGAAGTATTATGTTGACAACGTGTTGCAAAAATTTTTGGAGGTGGAAATTCCAAAGTTTTACCCTGGCGAGCTGGACAAAGTTTACATTCACCATGATGCTGTAACATCCCGCAAAGTTCACGCAAGAATACGGCAAAGATTTGAAGCGAAATACAGGAATGACCTTGATAACTAACTCTGAGATCCCTATCAAGTCACCATGGACACTAGTCCCATGGATTTTTTTGGGTTTGGTTATCTCAAACAGAAGGTTTTTAAAAGGAGAGCATCAACTCTGGGTGGACTTTGGAAAGTTCTGAATCAGGAGTGGAATCTTGTAACACCTGAAACATGTCGAAAAGTGTTCGAAAACTGGAAATTTAGGCTCAGGCTTGTTCGGGCGATGTCCGGAGAACACATTGAGAATACTCAAGCAATTCATAATCGCCGTCGTCAGTAAATGTAAGATTTTTTCCCTTGTTCCTATAATCTGGAGACACGTTTTGTATATACAAATAAAGGGACATATGCAGGCTCAAAATATAACCCCTAAAAACGAATTAATTAAAAACAAACTAATTATCTTTAATTGATCACATGCTCTATACTGCGACATGTCGACAACACAGAAAAACATGTTTTGCCCAAATTTCATGCATATCGACCGCAAAATGCCGAAATTAGGGCGTGGCGACAAAATCTGTCGTCGAAACCTTACTGGCCATATTGCGACATGTCGACAACACCGAAAAACAAGGTTTCCCCAAATTTCATGCCAATCGCCCAAAAAATGCCGAAATTAGGGCATGGCGACGCTTTTCGACATGATTTCGACAAATTGGTCCCACCCCCTTAATAGGGTGTCACCCCATAGCCGTGAAGAGCATGTGTTGAAAATTTCAAGTCGCTGCGACGAACCGTTCTCGAGTTTTAGTGTTGACGGACAGACAGACGGTCGGACCGAAAGACTAACTAACCGATCGCGTTAAGTAGCTTGCGCTACTTAATAAGTGTAAAGAAATTCTGCATTCGTGGAATATGATTTGTAGTTATAAGAAAGTCAATACGCTTAATGATATTTGTAAGTAATATATGGACCAGTACTGTTCTCAAGTTATGTAAATGTTAGACGCTACGAATGATTTTAGCTTGACCACCACCACCACTATTATTACTCGTCCACACTTTAACATTATTTGAAAAATTGTATTTATTTATATATTTTGTTTCTCCAAATTTTAACCATACATTGTGAAACAGGTAATTTGTACTTAATAGTAGCTCGCATGTACACATGTATTCATTCATCTACTTATTTAATCTTTTTAGAAATAATGGCCAAGGATCATTCATGTACAATTCGAGTCTATGTATATTAATTTTACACCAGAGGTAGTAATTATAATGGTCACCATAATTTACCTAATTAATTATTATTATAAAGCATGTCAATTTTTCACCACATAGCCTGATGAAGAGATTCGAAACCGGTCGCAATGGTGAATAAATCTGATCCTCATTCAACAGTTTAAAGTGTTCCTTGTTCTTATTAGCAATGCAAACTGTGCAGCTTTTCTGGTATTTATGTACGAGCAAGTCTCCCCTGGATGTCATGGGAATTGATGTGCACGAGTTATATAAACAGTGTTTATTAAACACTATTTGTTGGAGATGGTTGGACTTGCGAAAAATACCAAAATATGTTGTTGTTCTTCAACTCTTACATACATATATACATGTGTATATACCAAGAATACATAGGATGACCTCATGTGTTGACTGGGTTTTCATGAGATTCCATGCCAACCCGTCATGTAAATCTTCCCTCAAGCAAAATAAATACATAAATATGTATGCAAAATCCAATCTTAAGTATTCAGACATACATGCATAAACATGTACATGCTTGTGTGCAAAACAACTTTTTTCCATAATTTACTCACATATGTATTTATGTATATCTGGATAGAAGAATTAAATAATAAATACTCTTGTAAATAAGCAAACATTTTTGAGCGAGTATAAAAAGAAGCTGTGACCCGTGTCGGAACATTCATTCTGCAAAAGGATTCATATTTCCATAGAAATTTATATCGCTGGATTTTCACCATGAAAAGAAGCCCTCTTCTTTTGTGTTTCTTTGTCTTGATCGCTGTGGCGTCCACGGTTGGTAAGTCAGTCGAGGGCCAGATTACGCATAAATAAGCAAATAAAAGTGTGTACCCTCGAAACAAAATTTTACCAAATTATCCCGGTCAGTAGCAATAAATATATTTATTGCTGCTCACTTACCTCCTTGTAACCACCGTGGTCACAATTTTCTCAGAGTGGTGACAACTTTCATACATACATCAATGCGTACAATGTTCAAACAAAAATTTACAAAAGATTACGGTAGATTCAAAATTATCATTACATTTCAATTAATTTCTTAACGTTAGGGCCACGTTTGAGTTTCGCAGAAATTATTGTTACTAAATATTCGGTGACGAATTCTTACTAGCTGAATACAGCCACTTGGTAGAGTGATTTTTCTAATATTACTCATTTACATATTTAACTATTGATTGATTTGTTTACCAGAATCGTGTCGATGTATCGGACTTGGTGAGTGTTGCGCGGGAAGAGAGTGTTCCCAATATCATGACGGGTCAATTTGTTCCGGAAAATGCTGTGTCCGAGGTCCTCGCACAACTGGACCCAATAATGCTTGTGGGGACAGATGCGCTTAATTAGTAATCACTTGCACACACGGAGGTGAACCAGTACATATCATTCTATCCAACACATGTAGAAAATAAATAACACTGAATAAATGTGTCTGTTAAAGTTTAATTGGTTGAATAAAAATACGGCTCAGCATCAATTAATTAATAATGGTGCATTTTTATTTGGTAGAATTATTTTAAAAAATATCCATAAAAATAGATTTCAGAATCTGCAACAACTTTTCGTGTGGCAAAAAAATGATAAAATGGGCCCGACGCGTGGGTGTGAATGGCACGAAAAAACCGAGTTTGTACTCCTCCACACCTTCAGTTAAATCTATTTACTTAAAAAAATAATAATCTGGTAGAAATTTTGTTTGGTCTACAAACCCAACGTAAACATGACACATGCATAAATACATATGTGCATATTTATGCATACTGATATTTTCACGTAATTACAAAACGTGTTTCCAGATTATAGGAACAAGGGAAAAAATTGTGTAACTTGAGAACGGCTGGTCCAATCAGCGCCAAATTTGACAATCATAATTTTGTCATTATTGCGGTGCTATATTCTGAGTTTCAAATTTCTGTTTCAAATAATGGGGCCTAAAATTGACCCTAAAGTGGTGGCGTCAGTTTCCAAAGCCAAATTGGCCTATAGAGCTATCAAATCTGTTTTAAAAGATTCTGGAAACGACCTAGGTGTGACCACTATAAGTCGTATTATCAGTTTTGAAGGAATTAGGAGACATGCAGTTACATCCGGTCAACCTGTTCCAAGAAATCGATACCCTTCAAAAAAGAATTCGGCCACTTTGAAGAAAATTGATCCTCTCACTAATAAGGAAAATCCCCCAAGCAAGAGGCAGATTACAAAGCAATGCCAGATGTCCCCGGGGTATGTTAGTAAAATAATACATCAAGATTTGGTTAAAACGGTCCAGAAAAAAAAAGTCTAGTCCACGCCCTAAAACCGTCGCATATCGCAAACAGGGAAAAAAATTCCCGGAAGCTCTATGAGGGTCATCTTGCAGGTGGAAGGTCAGAATTTGCCGTTACACTGGACGAGGTACTATTCTTTACAGAAGACTGTAAAGGAACAATAAGAATTTACTATACAAAGGATCGAAAAAAATTATCAAATTATGTGTGCCAGAAGAAGGAAAAGTTTTCTGATCGGATGATGGTTGTTGGCGCAATGAACGGCCGTGGCGTGTTACCACTGATTCATGTCGGTTCAAATGCAAAAATAAATTCGAAGTATTATGTTGACAACGTGTTGCAAAAATTTTTGGAGGTGGAAATTCCAAAGTTTTACCCTGGCGAGCTGGACAAAGTTTACATTCACCATGATGCTGTAACATCCCGCAAAGTTCACGCAAGAATACGGCAAAGATTTGAAGCGAAGGACAGGAATGACCTTGATAACTAACTCTGAGATCCCTATCAAGTCACCATGGACACTAGTCCCATGGATTTTTTCGGGTTTGGTTATCTCAAACAGAAGGTTTTTAAAAGGAGAGCATCAACTCTGGGTGGACTTTGGAAAGTTCTGAATCAGGAGTGGAATCTTGTAACACCTGAAACATGTCGAAAAGTGTTCGAAAACTGGAAATTTAGGCTCAGGCTTGTTCGGGCGATGTCCGGAGAACACATTGAGAATACTCAAGCAATTCATAATCGCCGTCGTCAGTAAATGTAAGATTTTTTCCCTTGTTCCTATAATCTGGAGACACGTTTTGTATATACAAATAAAGGGACATATGCAGGCTCAAAATATAACCCCTAAAAACGAATTAATTAAAAACAAACTAATTATCTTTAATTGATCACATGCTCTATACTGCGACATGTCGACAACACAGAAAAACATGTTTTGCCCAAATTTCATGCATATCGACCGCAAAATGCCGAAATTAGGGCATGGCGACGCTTTTCGACATGATTTCGACAAATTGGTCCCACCCCCTTAATAGGGTGTCACCCCATAGCCGTGAAGAGCATGTGTTGAAAATTTCAAGTCGCTGCGACGAACCGTTCTCGAGTTTTAGTGTTGACGGACAGACAGACGGTCGGACCGAAAGACTAACTAACCGATCGCGTTAAGTAGCTTGCGCTACTTAATAAGTGTAAAGAAATTCTGCATTCGTGGAATATGATTTGTAGTTATAAGAAAGTCAATACGCTTAATGATATTTGTAAGTAATATATGGACCAGTACTGTTCTCAAGTTATGTAAATGTTAGACGCTACGAATGATTTTAGCTTGACCACCACCACCACTATTATTACTCGTCCACACTTTAACATTATTTGAAAAATTGTATTTATTTATATATTTTGTTTCTCCAAATTTTAACCATACATTGTGAAACAGGTAATTTGTACTTAATAGTAGCTCGCATGTACACATGTATTCATTCATCTACTTATTTAATCTTTTTAGAAATAATGGCCAAGGATCATTCATGTACAATTCGAGTCTATGTATATTAATTTTACACCAGAGGTAGTAATTATAATGGTCACCATAATTTACCTAATTAATTATTATTATAAAGCATGTCAATTTTTCACCACATAGCCTGATGAAGAGATTCGAAACCGGTCGCAATGGTGAATAAATCTGATCCTCATTCAACAGTTTAAAGTGTTCCTTGTTCTTATTAGCAATGCAAACTGTGCAGCTTTTCTGGTATTTATGTACGAGCAAGTCTCCCCTGGATGTCATGGGAATTGATGTGCACGAGTTATATAAACAGTGTTTATTAAACACTATTTGTTGGAGATGGTTGGACTTGCGAAAAATACCAAAATATGTTGTTGTTCTTCAACTCTTACATACATATATACATGTGTATATACCAAGAATACATAGGATGACCTCATGTGTTGACTGGGTTTTCATGAGATTCCATGCCAACCCGTCATGTAAATCTTCCCTCAAGCAAAATAAATACATAAATATGTATGCAAAATCCAATCTTAAGTATTCAGACATACATGCATAAACATGTACATGCTTGTGTGCAAAACAACTTTTTTCCATAATTTACTCACATATGTATTTATGTATATCTGGATAGAAGAATTAAATAATAAATACTCTTGTAAATAAGCAAACATTTTTGAGCGAGTATAAAAAGAAGCTGTGACCCGTGTCGGAACATTCATTCTGCAAAAGGATTCATATTTCCATAGAAATTTATATCGCTGGATTTTCACCATGAAAAGAAGCCCTCTTCTTTTGTGTTTCTTTGTCTTGATCGCTGTGGCGTCCACGGTTGGTAAGTCAGTCGAGGGCCAGATTACGCATAAATAAGCAAATAAAAGTGTGTACCCTCGAAACAAAATTTTACCAAATTATCCCGGTCAGTAGCAATAAATATATTTATTGCTGCTCACTTACCTCCTTGTAACCACCGTGGTCACAATTTTCTCAGAGTGGTGACAACTTTCATACATACATCAATGCGTACAATGTTCAAACAAAAATTTACAAAAGATTACGGTAGATTCAAAATTATCATTACATTTCAATTAATTTCTTAACGTTAGGGCCACGTTTGAGTTTCGCAGAAATTATTGTTACTAAATATTCGGTGACGAATTCTTACTAGCTGAATACAGCCACTTGGTAGAGTGATTTTTCTAATATTACTCATTTACATATTTAACTATTGATTGATTTGTTTACCAGAATCGTGTCGATGTATCGGACTCGGTGAGTGTTGCGCGGGAAGAGAGTGTTCCCAATATCATGACGGGTCAATTTGTTCCGGAAAATGCTGTGTCCGAGGTCCTCGCACAACTGGACCCAATAATGCTTGTGGGGACAGATGCGCTTAATTAGTAATCACTTGCACACACGGAGGTGAACCAGTACATATCATTCTATCCAACACATGTAGAAAATAAATAACACTGAATAAATGTGTCTGTTAAAGTTTAATTGGTTGAATAAAAATACGGCTCAGCATCAATTAATTAATAATGGTGCATTTTTATTTGGTAGAATTATTTTAAAAAATATCCATAAAAATAGATTTCAGAATCTGCAACAACTTTTCGTGTGGCAAAAAAATGATAAAATGGGCCCGACGCGTGGGTGTGAATGGCACGAAAAAACCGAGTTTGTACTCCTCCACACCTTCAGTTAAATCTATTTACTTAAAAAAATAATAATCTGGTAGAAATTTTGTTTGGTCTACAAACCCAACGTAAACATGACACATGCATAAATACATATGTGCATATTTATGCATACTGATATTTTCACGTAATTACAAAACGTGTTTCCAGATTATAGGAACAAGGGAAAAAATTGTGTAACTTGAGAACGGCTGGTCCAATCAGCGCCAAATTTGACAATCATAATTTTGTCATTATTGCGGTGCTATATTCTGAGTTTCAAATTTCTGTTTCAAATAATGGGGCCTAAAATTGACCCTAAAGTGGTGGCGTCAGTTTCCAAAGCCAAATTGGCCTATAGAGCTATCAAATCTGTTTTAAAAGATTCTGGAAACGACCTAGGTGTGACCACTATAAGTCGTATTATCAGTTTTGAAGGAATTAGGAGACATGCAGTTACATCCGGTCAACCTGTTCCAAGAAATCGATACCCTTCAAAAAAGAATTCGGCCACTTTGAAGAAAATTGATCCTCTCACTAATAAGGAAAATCCCCCAAGCAAGAGGCAGATTACAAAGCAATGCCAGATGTCCCCGGGGTATGTTAGTAAAATAATACATCAAGATTTGGTTAAAACGGTCCAGAAAAAAAAAGTCTAGTCCACGCCCTAAAACCGTCGCATATCGCAAACAGGGAAAAAAATTCCCGGAAGCTCTATGAGGGTCATCTTGCAGGTGGAAGGTCAGAATTTGCCGTTACACTGGACGAGGTACTATTCTTTACAGAAGACTGTAAAGGAACAATAAGAATTTACTATACAAAGGATCGAAAAAAATTATCAAATTATGTGTGCCAGAAGAAGGAAAAGTTTTCTGATCGGATGATGGTTGTTGGCGCAATGAACGGCCGTGGCGTGTTACCACTGATTCATGTCGGTTCAAATGCAAAAATAAATTCGAAGTATTATGTTGACAACGTGTTGCAAAAATTTTTGGAGGTGGAAATTCCAAAGTTTTACCCTGGCGAGCTGGACAAAGTTTACATTCACCATGATGCTGTAACATCCCGCAAAGTTCACGCAAGAATACGGCAAAGATTTGAAGCGAAATACAGGAATGACCTTGATAACTAACTCTGAGATCCCTATCAAGTCACCATGGACACTAGTCCCATGGATTTTTTCGGGTTTGGTTATCTCAAACAGAAGGTTTTTAAAAGGAGAGCATCAACTCTGGGTGGACTTTGGAAAGTTCTGAATCAGGAGTGGAATCTTGTAACACCTGAAACATGTCGAAAAGTGTTCGAAAACTGGAAATTTAGGCTCAGGCTTGTTCGGGCGATGTCCGGAGAACACATTGAGAATACTCAAGCAATTCATAATCGCCGTCGTCAGTAAATGTAAGATTTTTTCCCTTGTTCCTATAATCTGGAGACACGTTTTGTATATACAAATAAAGGGACATATGCAGGCTCAAAATATAACCCCTAAAAACGAATTAATTAAAAACAAACTAATTATCTTTAATTGATCACATGCTCTATACTGCGACATGTCGACAACACAGAAAAACATGTTTTGCCCAAATTTCATGCATATCGACCGCAAAATGCCGAAATTAGGGCGTGGCGACAAAATCTGTCGTCGAAACCTTACTGGCCATATTGCGACATGTCGACAACACCGAAAAACAAGGTTTCCCCAAATTTCATGCCAATCGCCCAAAAAATGCCGAAATTAGGGCATGGCGACGCTTTTCGACATGATTTCGACAAATTGGTCCCACCCCCTTAATAGGGTGTCACCCCATAGCCGTGAAGAGCATGTGTTGAAAATTTCAAGTCGCTGCGACGAACCGTTCTCGAGTTTTAGTGTTGACGGACAGACAGACGGTCGGACCGAAAGACTAACTAACCGATCGCGTTAAGTAGCTTGCGCTACTTAATAAGTGTAAAGAAATTCTGCATTCGTGGAATATGATTTGTAGTTATAAGAAAGTCAATACGCTTAATGATATTTGTAAGTAATATATGGACCAGTACTGTTCTCAAGTTATGTAAATGTTAGACGCTACGAATGATTTTAGCTTGACCACCACCACCACTATTATTACTCGTCCACACTTTAACATTATTTGAAAAATTGTATTTATTTATATATTTTGTTTCTCCAAATTTTAACCATACATTGTGAAACAGGTAATTTGTACTTAATAGTAGCTCGCATGTACACATGTATTCATTCATCTACTTATTTAATCTTTTTAGAAATAATGGCCAAGGATCATTCATGTACAATTCGAGTCTATGTATATTAATTTTACACCAGAGGTAGTAATTATAATGGTCACCATAATTTACCTAATTAATTATTATTATAAAGCATGTCAATTTTTCACCACATAGCCTGATGAAGAGATTCGAAACCGGTCGCAATGGTGAATAAATCTGATCCTCATTCAACAGTTTAAAGTGTTCCTTGTTCTTATTAGCAATGCAAACTGTGCAGCTTTTCTGGTATTTATGTACGAGCAAGTCTCCCCTGGATGTCATGGGAATTGATGTGCACGAGTTATATAAACAGTGTTTATTAAACACTATTTGTTGGAGATGGTTGGACTTGCGAAAAATACCAAAATATGTTGTTGTTCTTCAACTCTTACATACATATATACATGTGTATATACCAAGAATACATAGGATGACCTCATGTGTTGACTGGGTTTTCATGAGATTCCATGCCAACCCGTCATGTAAATCTTCCCTCAAGCAAAATAAATACATAAATATGTATGCAAAATCCAATCTTAAGTATTCAGACATACATGCATAAACATGTACATGCTTGTGTGCAAAACAACTTTTTTCCATAATTTACTCACATATGTATTTATGTATATCTGGATAGAAGAATTAAATAATAAATACTCTTGTAAATAAGCAAACATTTTTGAGCGAGTATAAAAAGAAGCTGTGACCCGTGTCGGAACATTCATTCTGCAAAAGGATTCATATTTCCATAGAAATTTATATCGCTGGATTTTCACCATGAAAAGAAGCCCTCTTCTTTTGTGTTTCTTTGTCTTGATCGCTGTGGCGTCCACGGTTGGTAAGTCAGTCGAGGGCCAGATTACGCATAAATAAGCAAATAAAAGTGTGTACCCTCGAAACAAAATTTTACCAAATTATCCCGGTCAGTAGCAATAAATATATTTATTGCTGCTCACTTACCTCCTTGTAACCACCGTGGTCACAATTTTCTCAGAGTGGTGACAACTTTCATACATACATCAATGCGTACAATGTTCAAACAAAAATTTACAAAAGATTACGGTAGATTCAAAATTATCATTACATTTCAATTAATTTCTTAACGTTAGGGCCACGTTTGAGTTTCGCAGAAATTATTGTTACTAAATATTCGGTGACGAATTCTTACTAGCTGAATACAGCCACTTGGTAGAGTGATTTTTCTAATATTACTCATTTACATATTTAACTATTGATTGATTTGTTTACCAGAATCGTGTCGATGTATCGGACTCGGTGAGTGTTGCGCGGGAAGAGAGTGTTCCCAATATCATGACGGGTCAATTTGTTCCGGAAAATGCTGTGTCCGAGGTCCTCGCACAACTGGACCCAATAATGCTTGTGGGGACAGATGCGCTTAATTAGTAATCACTTGCACACACGGAGGTGAACCAGTACATATCATTCTATCCAACACATGTAGAAAATAAATAACACTGAATAAATGTGTCTGTTAAAGTTTAATTGGTTGAATAAAAATACGGCTCAGCATCAATTAATTAATAATGGTGCATTTTTATTTGGTAGAATTATTTTAAAAAATATCCATAAAAATAGATTTCAGAATCTGCAACAACTTTTCGCGTGGCAAAAAAATGATAAAATGGGCCCGACGCGTGGGTGTGAATGACACGAAAAAACCGAGTTTGTACTCCTCCACACCTTCAGTTAAATCTATTTACTTAAAAAAATAATAATCTGGTAGAAATTTTGTTTGGTCTACAAACCCAACGTAAACATGACACATGCATAAATACATATGTGCATATTTATGCATACTGATATTTTCACGTAATTACAAAACGTGTTTCCAGATTATAGGAACAAGGGAAAAAATTGTGTAACTTGAGAACGGCTGGTCCAATCAGCGCCAAATTTGACAATCATAATTTTGTCATTATTGCGGTGCTATATTCTGAGTTTCAAATTTCTGTTTCAAATAATGGGGCCTAAAATTGACCCTAAAGTGGTGGCGTCAGTTTCCAAAGCCAAATTGGCCTATAGAGCTATCAAATCTGTTTTAAAAGATTCTGGAAACGACCTAGGTGTGACCACTATAAGTCGTATTATCAGTTTTGAAGGAATTAGGAGACATGCAGTTACATCCGGTCAACCTGTTCCAAGAAATCGATACCCTTCAAAAAAGAATTCGGCCACTTTGAAGAAAATTGATCCTCTCACTAATAAGGAAAATCCCCCAAGCAAGAGGCAGATTACAAAGCAATGCCAGATGTCCCCGGGGTATGTTAGTAAAATAATACATCAAGATTTGGTTAAAACGGTCCAGAAAAAAAAAGTCTAGTCCACGCCCTAAAACCGTCGCATATCGCAAACAGGGAAAAAAATTCCCGGAAGCTCTATGAGGGTCATCTTGCAGGTGGAAGGTCAGAATTTGCCGTTACACTGGACGAGGTACTATTCTTTACAGAAGACTGTAAAGGAACAATAAGAATTTACTATACAAAGGATCGAAAAAAATTATCAAATTATGTGTGCCAGAAGAAGGAAAAGTTTTCTGATCGGATGATGGTTGTTGGCGCAATGAACGGCCGTGGCGTGTTACCACTGATTCATGTCGGTTCAAATGCAAAAATAAATTCGAAGTATTATGTTGACAACGTGTTGCAAAAATTTTTGGAGGTGGAAATTCCAAAGTTTTACCCTGGCGAGCTGGACAAAGTTTACATTCACCATGATGCTGTAACATCCCGCAAAGTTCACGCAAGAATACGGCAAAGATTTGAAGCGAAATACAGGAATGACCTTGATAACTAACTCTGAGATCCCTATCAAGTCACCATGGACACTAGTCCCATGGATTTTTTCGGGTTTGGTTATCTCAAACAGAAGGTTTTTAAAAGGAGAGCATCAACTCTGGGTGGACTTTGGAAAGTTCTGAATCAGGAGTGGAATCTTGTAACACCTGAAACATGTCGAAAAGTGTTCGAAAACTGGAAATTTAGGCTCAGGCTTGTTCGGGCGATGTCCGGAGAACACATTGAGAATACTCAAGCAATTCATAATCGCCGTCGTCAGTAAATGTAAGATTTTTTCCCTTGTTCCTATAATCTGGAGACACGTTTTGTATATACAAATAAAGGGACATATGCAGGCTCAAAATATAACCCCTAAAAACGAATTAATTAAAAACAAACTAATTATCTTTAATTGATCACATGCTCTATACTGCGACATGTCGACAACACCGAAAAACAAGGTTTCCCCAAATTTCATGCCAATCGCCCAAAAAATGCCGAAATTAGGGCATGGCGACGCTTTTCGACATGATTTCGACAAATTGGTCCCACCCCCTTAATAGGGTGTCACCCCATAGCCGTGAAGAGCATGTGTTGAAAATTTCAAGTCGCTGCGACGAACCGTTCTCGAGTTTTAGTGTTGACGGACAGACAGACGGTCGGACCGAAAGACTAACTAACCGATCGCGTAAAGTAGCTTGCGCTACTTAATAAGTGTAAAGAAATTCTGCATTCGTGGAATATGATTTGTAGTTATAAGAAAGTCAATACGCTTAATGATATTTGTAAGTAATATATGGACCAGTACTGTTCTCAAGTTATGTAAATGTTAGACGCTACGAATGATTTTAGCTTGACCACCACCACCACTATTATTACTCGTCCACACTTTAACATTATTTGAAAAATTGTATTTATTTATATATTTTGTTTCTCCAAATTTTAACCATACATTGTGAAACAGGTAATTTGTACTTAATAGTAGCTCGCATGTACACATGTATTCATTCATCTACTTATTTAATCTTTTTAGAAATAATGGCCAAGGATCATTCATGTACAATTCGAGTCTATGTATATTAATTTTACACCAGAGGTAGTAATTATAATGGTCACCATAATTTATCTAATTAATTATTATTATAAAGCATGTCAATTTTTCACCACATAGCCTGATGAAGAGATTCGAAACCGGTCGCAATGGTGAATAAATCTGATCCTCATTCAACAGTTTAAAGTGTTCCTTGTTCTTATTAGCAATGCAAACTGTGCAGCTTTTCTGGTATTTATGTACGAACAAGTCTCCCCTGGATGTCATGGGAATTGATGTGCACGAGTTATATAAACAGTGTTTATTAAACACTATTTGTTGGAGATGGTTGGACTTGCGAAAAATACCAAAATATGTTGTTGTTCTTCAACTCTTACATACATATATACATGTGTATATACCAAGAATACATAGGATGACCTCATGTGTTGACTGGGTTTTCATGAGATTCCATGCCAACCCGTCATGTAAATCTTCCCTCAAGCAAAATAAATACATAAATATGTATGCAAAATCCAATCTTAAGTATTCAGACATACATGCATAAACATGTACATGCTTGTGTGCAAAACAACTTTTTTCCATAATTTACTCACATATGTATTTATGTATATCTGGATAGAAGAATTAAATAATAAATACTCTTGTAAATAAGCAAACATTTTTGAGCGAGTATAAAAAGAAGCTGTGACCCGTGTCGGAACATTCATTCTGCAAAAGGATTCATATTTCCATAGAAATTTATATCGCTGGATTTTCACCATGAAAAGAAGCCCTCTTCTTTTGTGTTTCTTTGTCTTGATCGCTGTGGCGTCCACGGTTGGTAAGTCAGTCGAGGGCCAGATTACGCATAAATAAGCAAATAAAAGTGTGTACCCTCGAAACAAAATTTTACCAAATTATCCCGGTCAGTAGCAATAAATATATTTATTGCTGCTCACTTACCTCCTTGTAACCACCGTGGTCACAATTTTCTCAGAGTGGTGACAACTTTCATACATACATCAATGCGTACAATGTTCAAACAAAAATTTACAAAAGATTACGGTAGATTCAAAATTATCATTACATTTCAATTAATTTCTTAACGTTAGGGCCACGTTTGAGTTTCGCAGAAATTATTGTTACTAAATATTCGGTGACGAATTCTTACTAGCTGAATACAGCCACTTGGTAGAGTGATTTTTCTAATATTACTCATTTACATATTTAACTATTGATTGATTTGTTTACCAGAATCGTGTCGATGTATCGGACTTGGTGAGTGTTGCGCGGGAAGAGAGTGTTCCCAATATCATGACGGGTCAATTTGTTCCGGAAAATGCTGTGTCCGAGGTCCTCGCACAACTGGACCCAATAATGCTTGTGGGGACAGATGCGCTTAATTAGTAATCACTTGCACACACGGAGGTGAACCAGTACATATCATTCTATCCAACACATGTAGAAAATAAATAACACTGAATAAATGTGTCTGTTAAAGTTTAATTGGTTGAATAAAAATACGGCTCAGCATCAATTAATTAATAATGGTGCATTTTTATTTGGTAGAATTATTTTAAAAAATATCCATAAAAATAGATTTCAGAATCTGCAACAACTTTTCGTGTGGCAAAAAAATGATAAAATGGGCCCGACGCGTGGGTGTGAATGGCACGAAAAAACCGAGTTTGTACTCCTCCACACCTTCAGTTAAATCTATTTACTTAAAAAAATAATAATCTGGTAGAAATTTTGTTTGGTCTACAAACCCAACGTAAACATGACACATGCATAAATACATATGTGCATATTTATGCATACTGATATTTTCACGTAATTACAAAACGTGTTTCCAGATTATAGGAACAAGGGAAAAAATTGTGTAACTTGAGAACGGCTGGTCCAATCAGCGCCAAATTTGACAATCATAATTTTGTCATTATTGCGGTGCTATATTCTGAGTTTCAAATTTCTGTTTCAAATAATGGGGCCTAAAATTGACCCTAAAGTGGTGGCGTCAGTTTCCAAAGCCAAATTGGCCTATAGAGCTATCAAATCTGTTTTAAAAGATTCTGGAAACGACCTTGGTGTGACCACTATAAGTCGTATTATCAGTTTTGAAGGAATTAGGAGACATGCAGTTACATCCGGTCAACCTGTTCCAAGAAATCGATACCCTTCAAAAAAGAATTCGGCCACTTTGAAGAAAATTGATCCTCTCACTAATAAGGAAAATCCCCCAAGCAAGAGGCAGATTACAAAGCAATGCCAGATGTCCCCGGGGTATGTTAGTAAAATAATACATCAAGATTTGGTTAAAACGGTCCAGAAAAAAAAAGTCTAGTCCACGCCCTAAAACCGTCGCATATCGCAAACAGGGAAAAAAATTCCCGGAAGCTCTATGAGGGTCATCTTGCAGGTGGAAGGTCAGAATTTGCCGTTACACTGGACGAGGTACTATTCTTTACAGAAGACTGTAAAGGAACAATAAGAATTTACTATACAAAGGATCGAAAAAAATTATCAAATTATGTGTGCCAGAAGAAGGAAAAGTTTTCTGATCGGATGATGGTTGTTGGCGCAATGAACGGCCGTGGCGTGTTACCACTGATTCATGTCAGTTCAAATGAGTTTCAAATTTCTGTTTCAAATAATGGGGCCTAAAATTGTGACGGCAGTTTTATTAATTTGCATATGGGTCTAATACTTGGTTTCACCCCTTGGTTAAATGCGTTTGTAACGGTTTATTCTAATTTCATAGTAATCACCCTTCTAGGGAATATTTTGTTAGCTAATTTATTTGAGTGTTACAATAATTATTTATAGTAATTAAACAAACAAGGATTTTTTATATTATTGCTTGTAACGTTCGTGACAAATTTTGAAATTTTTGCGGATACAAAAGTATTTTGCCTACTTCTCCATAACGTTTTTGGTCATATAGGAGAAAAATATTTTAACAACGTCCACGACTGACGTCACTGTCACTGATGTCAGCATCGTCCATTTCTGCATCCCAAATCAAGGTGCGTCCGTCGAATTTTACGCAGCCGCATTGGACCACATGGAAACAAATCTGGAGATGACTGGACTTTCGACCTAATCCTGGGGTAATCCGACTCAATGACGCGATTACGTTTCAGTCAGATACATCTCTGCAAGGTAAGCATTTAATGGTTGGTGGTGCGTTACGTCAAAATTACATTTCATGAAATATTTATTATTCAGGAAGAATAATCGGGAAATTCTTTCAGGATAGGGGCTTCCCTATAAATTATGAGTATCGAAACTGTTAATGATCATTAAAAACCTTGTTATGAATCGTAATTACCTCGCAAGTCGAATAATGAGAGTAAATTGATCAGAGACTGGCTCACTCTAAATAAAAGTTGTGGAAAATTTACCCAAGGTTGAGTAAAAGAGAGGATGACACAACAATTGTGGAAATTTTACTCAACCGATGGGTAAATTTTGTTCAACTTGTGCAAAATTTATCCAACGGTTAAGTAAAATTTACCCAATTGTTGTGTCATCCTCTTTTTTACCCAACCTTGTGCAAATTTTCCACAACTCTTATTTAGAGTGCTATAAAATCAAAATACACCTCATACTTATCCAGTTCATAAAAACCTAGCATATCAAACACTCATTTCCTGCAATTGCTTTTTGGCAATAAGAAAATTTCTAATTACTGCATCCGACTTTGAGAAAGATGGGAAATCTATGTATCGTGCTTTGCCGCACTTTATTTCAATTGGATCGAACAATGTGAATGTTATAAAACAATTCATTTAAGTTTATGTATATTAGTCAAGGATTACGATTCAATGAAAGAATGACGTTTGACGATGTCAAGCTATTCATAGTTATCAATAGTTTGGGTTTTGATACTTGTGAGTCATTAATAACGAAGTAAGCGAACATATTAGGGACTTCCAAGTTTGTTTTTAAAAAATCGTTTTTCTCGCTGTTTCTGACTTTTTATGTATGCACAATCTACGAAAAAAATCAGAAAAAGCGAAAAAGCTTGTTTTTGCTTGCGAAATTTTTTGACAAACTTGGAGGTCCCTGTTGTCACTTTTCCATGTGAATTACATATTTATGTATGCACATGAAAAGTAAAAGTGCAAATGTATGTCAGTTACGTTGACGGTTTGAATCACCTTTTCAATGCTAATGAAACATTGAAAACGCGTTCGATTTGGGCTTCCCAATGAATTATTACCAGAGTCCGGCTAAATATGTTCTTAAACACTCCGAAATATGCTGTAAAATGTTTAATCAAATCGCCGAAATATTTATAAAAACATTTCTTCAATTCCTTTTAAATTGCTTCAAACTTAATTTATTTAGCATCAAAAACGCCAACAAGAAAGCTTTTGCACTTTAAACTGACCAGCTGACAATATTTCTACATGCTATGATGCCATACATCTACGATAATCGGACAAATAATATGACCACACCCACCTCCCGGCTATTCTGCACTCTTGGTGCATTTTTCAATTTATCCCAATATATTGGCACCATTTTGCATAACCGATTGTTCAACCCCAAAGGTGCTAGTAATTCCAAAATTGTAGTCTTTTCTCAATCGATGTTCTGATTTGATGTGCACCAATTGCGTCACGGGTTGTTTTATACCAATGGTGCGACTAAGATATTCAATACTGGTCAAGGGGATTTTTTATTACCTGATGTAAAAAAAAGCTCGTGAACAGACAGACAGACAGACGGACAGCCGGACAAGAGAAATTCAATAGCTCCCATGCTACGCAGGGTGAGCTAATAATGACATCCATATAATTTAAAGAAAGTGATCTGCTCATATCCAATATAATCATCTGACTTTTACAATGCCATGTATTTATTTAATTTCAATAAAATTCCGTCAAAATATGCTTTTCAGTTCTCAGTACAAAGTTCATATGATTCTCTCCCAAAAAGTTACCATTGCAACAGATTCAAGAAAAGTTTAATAGAGTTATAATACCATTCAGTATTTGATTCATGATTTTATTGTTGCTAAAGTTGCATACAATTTATTTCACTAGAAAAAGGTCACGACCTTGATTAAATGTGATTATCAAGTGATAAAATATACTAGTCGATTGACCATTCCTTTATTTATCTCCCAACTTTTCCACCACCCCGATACTCCACTGTGGACCTTTTATTGCTGCAGCTCCCATAGTCACAGATTTTAGAGCAGCAATCGTAGCCAAATTTACAACCACTCCCATCCGATAGACAGCCCTGCACGCGTATTTATGGACACTTTAGATTGCACAAATCATAAATGCAAACTTTATTGGTTAAAACTCCTTACACATTTCTTGGTATCTGGGTTGCAATCATTTGTGCAACAGTCCTCAGGATCCACACAATCTTTCCCGACACGTGCGCATTTCTACTCAAAAAAATGTACATAACTCGATGCTGTCAAGTGTAACCCCCCGATTTGGTTCAAATTATGAAATTATGTGGTTCAAGTCAATACAACCAATTTTCCTAGAACGAGAGACATCCAAGAGTTAGATGCATTAATAAATATTGACCCACGTATCTTGTGCATACGACATCTCTTTGATGTCTGATTAGCTTCAAAAATTCCGACGTTTCCGATCCTGTGGCAGGGACGGTTACTTTTAGTAAAATCATGACTACCAATTTTATAGTGAACAGCTTCATAGTGCTGGTGTTATAATCTCGGAATAATTCGTCTGACTGATTCAAACCACAATATCAAAATGACATTTGAATGTTCAGATATTTTTTATTCAGATTTGTCATTGTTGTTTGAAAGGCCATAAACTTGAAATTGCATCCTGTCTTTCAATTTATGAATGAAATGTTTGCCCAACATTTCATTGATAATTATCGGAAGTAACGGAAATAATGTTGTTTATTCCCTAATGAATTTAATTTTAACACCGGATTTCGTTCGGGTCATAAATACATTCTTCTACGTTTATTTGATATTACACTATTCAAGGATGACACCAATTTATAATACTTTCCGTTATGGTTTATTTTTTTAGAATCTGAAATGTATACATTTTAAAGTACTTGCGAGAGTTTTTGAGAATCTGAGTTTTTTGGAAATCTCAGGCCGAGATCTACCCTTGCAACGGTGTTCGTCTAATAGAAGAGCTGACAAAGAAATTACGATATTCTTGGCTCATTAAAGGAAGTCGCATCATATCGATAAAAAATGTATGAATCACCAATACTATGGATAACCGGGTGTAGGATCCTGCGGAGAGTTTAAAAAATATTGTATAATATTTTTAAAAAAATATTACGCCGCGGGTAGCTATAATGCTACCTATTACCCGACCCGCTACCCGCAGCCCAACTACCCGTACCCGTGCTTTTTTTATTTCGGCGCGAATTAAAAAAATCAAAAATATGCACGCTTAGAATTACATTCTTTAGAATTTAAAAATTCAGGCTACACAAATTTTGAAAATTAGCCATTTCTAGCAATTTTTTAAATTTCTAACTATAAAAAGATCTCCAAAAAACGAATTTTCAAAATTTCTTGAAATGGGATTTGTATATAATGAAGGTACTAATTCTCAGCATACATGTTTGTATTTTTTAGAATTGTTAAAATTCAAAAATGTATACTTATTTGAATATTCGAGATTTTGCCGGAAAAAGGTTTGAAAATCCCGCCCTGTGCTTATATGCGAGCACTAAAAAAACAAAAATATGGGTCCGCTTATTTTTGATGGTAAAGTCCAAATTAATCCAATCAAGATGTGAATATTACATGTGAAAACCTTATCAGTCCACTGAAAATCAAATTAATACGCAAATACCTATAAAATTAATAACTATTAATTTGCTCAAAATTGTTTATTGAAATAACTAAATACTTTGATAAAGAACGTCCGGGAATGAATGGGAATGCGCGCTCTAGCGAGTATATTGACAAATCAATAAACCCGCGAACTATAATAATTTAAATTTCTGAAAGCCCACTTCATTAGGGTCAATTTGGTATATCACTCTTAAATTTCAAAAATGGATAAGGGTAGAAGAAGCTTGTTTGAAAGGGAGCTGTTAGCAAAACGAGTGATGGAGTTCTACAACACGACAGCCAACCGAGACTCCAAGGTGACCTAGAACTTTTTTAAGCAGGAAGGAATTCCAAGTTCAAATGTGTATTCCTACATAAAAAAGTTCAAGGATTCCGAAAATGTGCAATTCAAGAAGCCAGCTGGTCGTCCGGCGAAGCTAGCGACCACTCGAGTGAAAAATAGAATTGAAAAAATTTTCAAAACCAAGCCATCAACGTCAGTAGCTGTAGCTGCCAGGAAAGTCAAAATTTCCAAAAGCTACCTGGGGGAAATTAAGGTCCATAAATTAGGAATCAAAGCAAGGACCAAAAAACCTGCACCAAATTACAAGCCCGTACAAGAAAGTCGGATCAAGGATTGCTGTCAAAAATTGTTGAAGAAAATGCGTGGAAAAGTAGTGATCCTGGATGACGAAACGTATGTTCCGGTTGACCCTTCAAATCTTCCAGGGCGTCATTTTTTTCATAGCTCGGATCCCTCTGAAGTGGCTTATGAAGAAAAAGTACGAAAAAAAGACAAATTTCCAAAGAAATATTGCATTTGGCAATGCATCTCCAGTCACGGACATGTATCAGACCCGGTAGTTCTCGAAGGGAATATCAATCAAGATATTTATCTGAAAAATTGCGTCAAGGCTGGATTGGAAGCATTTATTAATAGGTTTCACAAAAATGATAAAGTTTTGTTTTGGCCTGACCTCGCCACTTGTCACTATGCAAAGAAAGTGACCGAGTACCTCAGAAAGAAAAATATTGATTTCGTACCAAAAGATATCAACCCACCTAATGTACCCCAACTGTGCCCAATCGAAAAATTCTGGGCACGTTCTAAGTCAGTATACTCCCGGCTTCAAGATGTGCCTGACACCTTTCGAAAATTCAAAGGACGATGGAAGAAAATCACCTCGGAAGTGGCAAAAACTTCGGGAAAAAATTTAATGAAAAATCTTCGCAAGAAAATCGAACTAGTCGCCAACGGGGGTGTGGCGGCCTTAGCTATTAATTAAATTATGTAGGTACGTATTTGGTATTATACATATGCAAAAAGTTTAAAATTCCGATAACTCATTGTGATTTTATGACCACATTTTCAGACCATTCCCATTCATTCCCGGACGTTCTTTACATGTAGATGTACAGTTGCGTTCCTTCATAATTCCCTTGCCTAGTTCACACCAATAATTTGATCATTTTCCACGTAAAAACTGCCATCCTCCATTGCAAAATTACCCCGACATGTTGAAGAAAAGGATGCGAGCCAGAACGCAGAGAGGAAGAGGTTTGAAGTAAAACCGTTCATTCTTCCCCTGTTTTGGTTTAAATTTTTTAGGATTGCTGCAATATTCTGTGGGCAGCTTGTTAAATTTTGATACAAATTCCATGAATAGCAGTTGCTTTTATATCCGGTTCCAGTAGCATTTATTTCGGTATCACTCAACATAGCCAAAATTTATGCACCTCTCATAAATAGTGGGCAAAACAACGAGATAGAAGAAAGCACACACACAAACCTTCCCATGCTAATAACCTTGGTTAACAAAATTTTGATAAGCTCTTATCAAGCTTTATTCTGATATACCCGTAATCCACCCGATAAATAAGCTTCCGTGTAGTCCAAGCACAAATAATTATTTCATAAACAAGTTCACTCAACTTTACTTTTCGTATAATATTTACGCTAGTAATCTAACTCGTGGAACATATACAAATGTTTTGTTTGTCTTTGTTATAGATTTTCTTGACTTTTCAAAATAATGAAAACAGATAATTGGCACTATTACGAGTTAGATTACTAGCGTAAATATGTATTATACTAAAAGTAAAGTTGAGTGAACTTGTTTATGAAATAATTATTTGTGCTTGAACTACACGGAAGCTTATTTATCGGGTGGATTACGGGTATATAAGAATAAAGCTTGATAAGAGCTTATCAAAATTTTGTTAACCAAGGTTATTAGCATGGGAAGGTTTGTGGGTGTGCTCTTTTCTAAGTCGTTGTTTTGCCCACTATTTATGAGAGGTGCATATATTTTCGCCATGTTGATAGATCCTGATATAAAAGCAACTGCAATTCATGGAATTTGTATCAAACTTTAACAAGCTGCCCACAGAATATTACACCAACCCTAACAAATTTCAAACCAAAACGGTGAAAGAATGAACGGTTTTACTATAAACCTCTTACTCTCTGCGTTCTGTCTCGCATCCTTGACTTCAACGTGTCGGGGAAATTTTGCGGTTAGAATTTCCCCCACGTCGTCTACCATCAGTGGGAGTCATCAATTGGTATGCTTTTTCACTCTTCATATCAAATTGGTATTATCAACTATGTTATGAACATGGTAATATTTTCAGATCATTACCCCTGATGACAATTTGAGTCAGAAGACAATTTGGTATCCCTAACGAGGCCGATTTGAAGAACGGTGTGCGAATCGATTTCGGTAAGACCCCGAATGACGCCTTCGTCAAAAGCCGCACCCCTTGGAATGACCTCTACAGCACCTATGGATGGCAACAAGTGACCTCTCGGATGACGGGGCAACTCGGCTCCTCGTTCATAGAGCGGGAAACCACGAGAGTCATAACCACAAACGACTACACGAACGAGAGCGAGCAAAACGTGACGATCCGGGAGACCTTGTCGCACGCCATTGTGGACTCGGTGGAAACCACTTGGAGTGGAGAAATTGCACTAGGAGCGAGTCATAATTTCAACATTGACGTCCTCTTCATAAAAGGGTCAGCCACTTTGACCCTCAACGCCAGGATTGGGTACTCCAACAAGAAAACTTAATCCTCAACTGTTGGATCCAGTACGGAAGTTGCACTAGTCTTAAAACCCAAGAGCTCCGTTACTATCGAGATTGTCTCCAAGATACAGTGTCGGACAGATGTCTACGTCCACATAGTCGCGTCAATTTCATTTTCAAATTGTCACTGAACTACTGAACCAATTTTCATCATTGATATATCAAATTCTCACAAATTTAACGTAATTTCATAAAACATATGAGTTATTTCTGAAAATTCTGGGAAAACTGAGAATCATAGTGCAGAGCGAGAGAGGATGAAATTTGAGCGGAAAGAAAGTCTACGTCCACTTCACTTTAATTGTCAACAACAAAAATCTCTCCAATTTATAAAATCAGGTAACTTAATAAATCTATCAATAACATATGCCGCATTAATTTTTAAATAATTTTCTTCCAGAAAAATATGATGGCGTCGACACGCAAGGAAATTCCTATCGCTATTCGAGATCTTGTCATTCAGGACTGGAAGGGTGGACAAAAAGGGGGCTGTCGCAGAGACAAATATGGACCAAGTATAAATTAGCAAGGACAACCATCCAGACAATCATTAAGAACTTTAAAGCTAATGGTTCAGTCCAAAACAAGGTCAGAAGTGGTCGAAAACCCATTTTGGCTCACCGAGAAGTACGCCACGTGCTCAACAAAGTCAACGTTACACCCTCACTTAGTGCTCCAAAGCTATCTACCGAGATCAAGGAGATGTTCGGCAAACAGGTTAGTCCTATGACCATCCAAAGAACACTGAATAAGGGAAATTTGAAATCCCACAGAGCAGTCCGGAAGCCTCTTATTGTACCGAGGAATGCAACCAAACGAGTGAAGTTTGCCAGAGACCACATTTCCAAGCCACAAACATTCTGGGACATATTTTATGGACTGACGAGTCAAAGTTCAATGTCTTTGGGTCAGATGGGCGTCGTAGAGTGTGGAGGTATCCAAAAGAAGCTTTGAATCCAAAAAATCTCAACCCCACAGTTAAGCACGGCGGCGGGTCGGTAATGGTGTGGGGATGCATGGCTTCAAGTGGGGCAGGAAAAATGGAATTTGTTGACGGAATTATGGACCAATACAGGTACCAGGGAATACTTGACCGTAATATCCAGGAATCTGTTCGAAAACTTGGACTTGGACGACGATTTGTCTTCCAACAAGACAACGATCCGAAACACTCTGCCACGTACACCATGGAATACTTCAAGAAAAAAAAATTTCGAAGCTAGAATGGCCTCCGCAATCTCCAGACTTGAATCCCATTGAGCATCTGTGGGACCACATTGAAAGAGAAATAAGAAAACAATCTTTTTCAGGAATTCCGGGCCTTAAATCCAGAATTCGTGAAGTTTGGGAAACCATTTCTGAAGATGTGACCAAGAATTTGGTAAACTCTATGACTCGACGCCTTGAAGCCGTCCTTAAAGCGAACGGAGGCCCAACCAAATATTAAAAATTAATTGTTATAACATTCCTTATAAATTACAGTTTTTTTTGTATGTTTTCTCTTACTGGACGTTGACTTTTGTCCATCCAATTGTTTTCATTTTGAATTAAAATACATCTCTGGCCTAAAATAAATTTTTTAGCGGAAAACTAATAATGTGCTATGAAATTACGTTAAATTTGTGAGAATTTGATATATCAATGATGAAAATTGGTTCAGTAGTTCAGTGACAATTTGAAAATGAAATTGACGCGACTATGTGGACGTAGACATCTGTCCGACACTGTAGGTGAAGGTGAGGCTAGGATGAGGTACAACGCCAGGTTGGAGGGTTACGTGGCAACAAATTACAATCCAAAGTACAAGAATCATCATTTCTGGGCAATTCCGGTAACCAGCGTGCTTCGCGCACTAGGAAAACCCAACCCAACCATTGTCACACAAACGATTAAGAGTTCGGTCTACTTTACTAAATCAATTGTCGTTCGGGATCGTAGATCCAGGGCAGTTTTACGTGAGTTTGACGTCAACAATCGGGACCAAGTCGTAATTTATGAAATGGAGGATGGCAGTTTTTACGTGGAAGATGATCAAGTTATTGGTGTGAACTAGGCAAGGGAATTATGAATGGGACGCAACTGTACATTGACCTGTATCAAAGTATTTAATTATTTCAATAAATATCTATGAACACAAAAATTGTAACCAATTTTATAGACATTTGCGTATTCCTTTAATTGTCGGTAGATTAATAATGGTAGTTTTTCTAATGTAATATTCAGATCTTGATTGGACTAATTTGAACTTGTTTACCATCAAAAATGTGCGAACACGTATTTTTTGCTCTCATTTAAGCGATAGGTGGGACCTTGAAAAAATTTTCCAGCGAATATCTCGAATACTCAAATAGATGCAAAATTTGTAGAAAGCATGTAAACATAACCAAGTAACATTTGTAGATATGTACTATGCCCACACATCCTTGTTCATTACATACTTTAGGAATTTGTCCAAAGTATCATCGTGTGGTTAATTATTTAATTAAGTTGATTCTGAATTTTAAATTCCCAATTGCTTGTTAGTTTATTAATTTTATATTTAATTTTAGCAAAGTATGTGGACAGTTGTTCTGGCGAACGTTGTAAAAATTATGAACGTAACATATGCAACTAAGCATTTCTGCATACATGACATCTAAAAAAAATTGCATGAAAAGGTTTTACCTAAAAAAACTTGCATTGCCAGCATTTAGACGAATTTTACTTCTCAGAGTTAGTTAAAGTGGTGCATCATACATAGGTTACCCGATTTGCGAAAAATAATCAGATTTTACTGAAATCTTGCAACCATTTTAAAATTGTGACGCACTTCCACCGAGTCAAAATAGGTTAATTTCATCAAGAAAATAAACAACGGTTCAAAGTTGATCTGCCCTCACGAACCTGATAAATAGATTTGGGGAAAATAATTTTTGGATCCCTATGGGGCAAAAATGTAAAGCTAATCGGCTGATACACATCGCATAAAAAATTATTAAATTTGAATGAGAAATACTTACAATGGAGGTCTCCCAACGTATGCTCACCTATTTTGACCAAACTGGCGTCGATCGACCACAAACATAGGTTAGGTTAAATAAATCCAGCAGAATATATTGATTATGCCTCGCACTACACATATTGTCCTATTCGTGGTTGCATGTTTCAGGTGGGGATTCAACACTGAAAGTGCGATAAATTGGGATGGCATATATTTTAATGCGGACATAACGATGTTGTGCACTTCTGAGTGTTACAGAGACCTTGAGGTAGAAAGTGATCAACATCGTTATTTCGACGAGGTACGATTCTTGAATCCCTACACACAGTTACGTCACTTTACAATGTGTCACACCACAAGAATTTTTCATCTTAGGAGAGGAATTAGCTTTGTTGGCACATTTAAATGTCCCGCCACCGAAAAATCAGTAAGACATAAGGCCATCTTCATAAGTCTGGCTGAAACCATGGGATACCATCAAGGTTATTAATTGAAATGCGCATACCTCCTTTCTGTTGCGGCTATTGAAATGCGACAAGATTTCGTTTTTTCGGATATGTCATTTGTTGACGGAGGAAATGGCCAATGCGTCCGACAAGCTGCTCGAACGATTGGAAGTGCGAAACTGATCGTTTTTGATGAGAGTGTAAAATCACCGATATATATTCCGTGCTTGACGTATGATCCGATCAAGTATGCAAATGTGGGGGGTATTAGCTTGTCAGGGATAAAAAAGGTTTGGGACGTGCAGAATATGAACATGAACAAATACCTGGCGTACGTGTTGGAGGTCGTACTGTGGATTTATTATAGCCGGTCACCTCATTTGCATATTTTGACACATTCGCGAGAGACATAGAGTTTATTCAACATGGAAAGCCCGCATCGCCGAAAATGGGCATAGTGAGATTTATGCAAATGAGGTGACACGCCTAAGTAAAAGGATAGTACGTTTAACTTGTGGCCATTCCTTGTGGATTTCCCAATGTAAGTGTTGAGGATATCTGTGTGGTGGGAAGAAGTGGGGGGTAGTATAATCTGGCTTTGGTTAAGTTTAAGGAAGATGAGTGGAATACAAAACTTTTCGGAGGGAAAAAGGGTTTCGGACCGATTTTGTATTTAGCGGACGAAGCTACGTACGACACGTCAATTTTGGAAGTTCGGCTTTTGTCTTTTAATTTTATAACTGTCACCGGGAAAGCAGCGCCATCTAGTGGGGTGGAGGCTTTCGGTTCCCCTTTCGACTCGGTTACATGGATTTGTACTTTACTTATGGTCGAGGCATTTAAATTAAAGACAATTTAGTCTATATCTTGCTGAGAGGCTTGTTGGCCGATCTTGTAATGCTTAACAACATTGGAAACTTGAAATTCGAATTACTTTTTCAATTGTTGACCGAATTTCAAAATTCCGCCTGTTTTGGGAACTTCAGGTCAAACGGCGAAACATACATTCCCAGATTTTTCAAATTCGACCACACCCCCTTACAATTAAGGTTACAAGTTCAAAAACCACGTAAAATAAAAATAATTCCTGTAGCGGAATTCCAAAGTATAAAATCGAATCACTTTTCGAAAACATGCCCTGAGGCACAGGTCACATTAAAAAAAATTCAAATGGTCACATGCCCACCCCCAGTGGGTGTGGTCATGGGCGTTTTTCGGGTTTAATCGAAATCCCGTCATGTGATATATCATTTTTCTCAGCCGGATGAGGGGATCTCAATGGAATTACAAAATTTCGAAACCACACCCTTAGTGGCTGTGGCTAAGGGCGTCTTTTATATTCAATTTGAACCATGTCATGTGATAAGGTATGATTCATAAATAGTTGGCCATTTTAAAAAGAAAGGTATTACAACACGAATAGTGGAAACTACAACAAGTTTGCCAATATTTGTCACAAATACGATTCTTCATATAAAACCAAATAGTTTGGCACCGTCGATACCTTTGTAATCAATTTCTGGTCGGTTTTTCCACGTATGGTTAATTATGGAATTTCCCGACTGTCTCCTCGCACTCGTCAGCTTTGACCCATGACAGGTCGAAAACATAACGGGTTTTTCCGTGTAGTCGGTCGTCTTAAGTAATATCTTTTCCAAAAGGTCCAAAATCTTTAAATACTTCTTGCTTGGGGGACATTGGACGCTTTTCCAATTTAGACAAAAAATCAATTGTTTTCTCCTTGAAGTAGCCAGAAACGTCTTGACGATATTGGCAAGTAACCTTGTGAGCACAAAATAAGACTTGGGTTTTTTGATGACCACTTATCAAAGTAATTAATCGGTAGTTTATACGGCTTGATCGGTAAAGAGATGCGGTCATGGTCTTATCCGTAATGCAGGGCTGCGAAATTGCTCCATTTTCGTTAACCAAACGGGTGGATTTTCGGAAATTTTGATTTAAGAATCATCTTGTCTACAAATTTTACATCCCCACTAGTGTGGGGATGAAAAAATTCCTGAGTGCAAACTTCTCGTGGGGTTATTTGGATGCACGCTTGGTCACAAGGGACAGGTATTTTGGACCACATTTTTTTCCAAGATTTGTTTCCAAGATGGTCTTATCTGGGAGTGGTTGTCTAACGGTGGTTATCAGGGAGTTGTCGTCCGATGGTCTTATCTGAGAGTGGTTGTCTGATGGAGTGGTCGTCCGATGGTCTTATCTGGGAGTGGTTGTCTGATGGAGTGGTCGTCCGATGGTCTTATCTGGGAGTGGTCGTCCGATGGTCTTATCTGGGAGTGGTTGTCTGATGGAGTGGTCGTCCGATGGTCTTATCTGGGAGTGGTCGTCCGATGGTCTTATCTGGGAGTGGTTGTCTGATGGAGTGGTCGTCTGATGGTCTTATCTGGGAGTGGTTGTCTGATGAAGTGGTCGTCCGATGGTCTTATCTGGTAGTGGTTATCTGATTGTGGTTATCTGGGGAGAAGTGAAAGTGGAGTTTCATCTCTGTCGCAGAACAAGCCACTTCTGTGGAAGTGAAGTCGAAGTGGAAGTAGAAGTGGAGTTTCATGACCATACTGCAATCAAGCTTGACTTCAGTGATGACATTTTTTGGATTGATCTCGACACATTGTGTACACTCTCAAATATAACCACCTCACTCCATTCCTTGGACTTGTTCACCTGTAGCAACAGATCAAATGGTAATTTTTATTTGTGAATATCATAATTTTGGTATATGTAGCTTGGTCCTTGCGCCAAAGATTGATGGTTAAATTGTACTGAATTATCTGTATTTGATGAAAACGGACATGTGATTTAATTTATCTCTAAGGCAACCATTCAAGCCTGGTTGTCTAGAAAAAATCAGGGTAAAAAAACGCCGCGAAATTCAAATTCCCCCATATGATCTGCTTGGTTTTGATTGTTTTTTTAAGTTTAAACAAGGTGGCGGCCTGCACTCATTACGAGTCATATTTTCATGTAGGAAAATAATTCATTTACATTTCGCGACCTTTGTTTCAACGAAGCCGGTAAAGTATACTACAATACCATAGTCAGTGGAAGGCCCTCACCTACTCATTTCAAAATATTCACTTTATTATTTTTTTTTCAAGTCGTTAAAATTTTAGAAATTACGGGGTTTCTTAAATTTTATCGGAATATAAATATGTAATTGGTTGATATAAAGTGCCGAGTCTTTTCAAATAAGATTCATTAGCCTATTATCTCCCATTTATCTTTAGTTCTCGTTTGTTTTAAATTTAAATTTGCAACTTGCTAATCTCTCTCCTTGGTAAAAGCGTACCTCAATCAGATTTCATTATTCTGCATTAGTTAGCCTCTGGAAGACACGGAGTGCCACCTCTATTATCCCTGCCAACCATAGCCCGCAAAATGTCTATGAACCGTCCTCGGTCCATCATGTTAACAAATGATGGACCAAGGACCGTTCATAGACATTTTGCGGGCTATGCTCCCAACTAACAACTGATTCTTGGTTCCTTTCAGGAAGGTATCCCCACCCAATGGACGATTCAATGTTTCTCGCCTGCAATGACGAGGAGATGGCAGAGTTCAGCTGTCCTTCCCCACTAAAATTTCAGCAAGAGATGAAATCATGTCAATACCAGAACCAGACGGAAGAGCCGCAACTCTCTTGTTCTGGCAAAGTTCTACCCGGTATCCCCTGCTCTCTTTACTACGTTTGCGACTCGGATGGGACTCCCAACATCTTTAAATTTTGCATCAGCCCTCGTGTTTGACCCCACTAAATCCGACTGTTGGGTTCCTGAAGAGGTTTCATGTGCCACTGAACCTAAACACCCTTTACTGATTTAACCAGATGGATAAATCCGAACCAAGTGCCCCAATAATGACGAATTTTCCGTGCACCTCCCAGAGAGTGTGAAGTTTACAAAATAAATTAAATCCAGATTTTGCTTAGTACACATAATAAAATTTATATTTGTAAAAGATATACATAAATTATAAAGATAATTTTAATAAAGCAGTAACACAATTTGATTGGAGGCTAAATTTCTACGTACGCCAACGTGCAGGTCGACTTTTTAGGTAATATTTACTTCCAAAAGTTAGTAAGCCCAAATTTCTTCCCCTGGCCTTCTCTGAAAATTTTGCTGCCATAATTCTTCATGTTTTATAACCAATTAATAATGAATCATTTTTGGTTCAAGTTCCAGAATTTTTACGTTGGCAAATGCTGAGCAATTTAAGACGAAACATCGATTCCATTACATTTTTTCTAAATATATTCGTATTTATTTCATGTCATTTATGTATAAAAATGTGGTCATGTAAATCTTAATGTTTTAACCCAACACTCAAAAGCCCATGGCTGTATCAAATGACTACGGAAAGATATTTTAATGATTATGTAAAAAAGATCTTCACCCACTTTATCAATAATCGTCGTGTACTTTTCTGGGCACGGGAATATACAATTATGCAATACTTCTTCTGGATTACCTGCGGTTAAAAAAATCGAATTGCATGAAAAAAAGGATAATGCACCCAACGTCCCTCAGACCATAGGTGCGCAGCTTCCGACTTCCGGAAGTCGGAAGCGGCGATTTTTGCTCGGAAGCTGAAGCGCTGGAAGTTGGAAATTTTGGTCGGAAGCGGAAGCACTGGAAGCTGAAGCGAAAATTTTGGTCGGAAACGGACGCCGGAGGTCCTCGGAAGCAATGCTGTAGATGCTGTCGGAAGCAACATCCGGACGTCTGAAGCTCGATTTTTGGTCGGAAGCACTGGAAGTTGCAAGCGAAAATTTTGGTCTGAAGCAGAAGCACTGAAAGCTGGAAGCGAGAATTTTGGTCGGAAGCGGACGCCGGAGGCGAAACCTGTTGGAAGCTGCGCACCTATGCCTCAGACAAGATAGGAATGATAGGGGTCTATGGACCGTATCAAGCAAAAAAAGTAAATGGTAGAGACCTTGTTTATAACTCCTGAAAATGTCTTTGGAATTCGGAGAGTTAGTACAATTGATTAAGGAATTAATTGTTTCAGATTTTACAAGCATTTTTTCAATAGTTTCTTTCTTTTGTACTCACACCCCATTTGTGAATGCATATTTATCACTATTAGCGAGACGACCAGGATTGCGTGCTTATGCACTAGATGCGTGGCTCACATCGTGGGATTAAGTCCGAAATCTCAACGTTTTTGATAGTGTCTTTATTTAAAATATGTATATAGGTGTATGAAGCTAAATATCGTTCCCTTGGTGGGTATTCATTAAATTTTTAAGATTTATCACGAAAATAAACATCGCAAATATTTTTTTTGCTAGCTTTCAATTTGTAATAGCTTTTGGGTTCACATTAATTAACTTACACGGTAACAACATCTCATATGTTCATCTGATGTGCAACCCTGCCATATTATTTTTTTGCGATGAGATCCATACTGATAAGTGAATCTCATGACGTCAAGAACAGATAAGTGGAATCTGTATACAACCTACTTCAAATATTTTCCCCACAACCAACTCATTCGCACAAGTCTGCTTCGCACGTCATTACTAACACATTAAACAGCAAAATATAAACTATTCGGTGCGATGAAGTTCTACATACTTTACTGGATCTTTGCCATCCTGCAGTGCGCCACCCTTCAGGACGCTTTGACATCCACAACTGAACCCTCGGAATTCAAATGTCCGTCGCATTGTGATTACTGTTCTCACCAAATCTGCCACCAATACTTTACAGAATGGCACTATAGAGACAGCCTTCCGGGATGGTATGTAAATTTTAAATAAATAACTTTGACTATTAACATGAATTGCTTGTGGCGGTGAACTTTATCAACGTTTAGTTTCCCTCGCTAAACCGAATGCTCTAGTTTCCTAAGGAGGACAACCCCTCACCGACAGAATCAGGGATTTCGATGCCCTTTGGATATGTTGTAGTACTAGGTGAGTGTCTAGCAAAAGTGAAGAAGGATTTCATTCCATGGCCCCATTTGCACCAGCCACGCCCACTTAGAGGTGCGAAAAACACGAAAAATGCCTTGTTTTGGTTCATTACAAAAATCACCAAAAATCAAATTTTGATCGGATTTTCATAATTTAAGCGTTTTTGTGATCTTAGATAGTTGCTTTATCATATCCAATAGCAAACTCACCTTTTTTAATTTTTTGAGTATTTTCGAAAATTTCCTGACCAAGGGTATGCCTTCGAAAAAATCAAAATTTCAAAAAAGATGAGTTTGCTATTGGATATGATGAAGCAACTATCAAAGATCACAAAAACGCTTAAATTATAAAAATCCGATCAAAATTGGATTTTTGGTGATTTTTTAAATGAACCAAAACAGGGTATGTTTGCACCTTTGAGTGGGTGTGGCGGGCGCAAATAGGGCCATGGAATCAAATCCTTCCACACTTTTGCTAGACTCACCTAGGACTGCAACATATCCAAAGGGCATCAAAATAGGTGATTCTGTCGGTGAGGGGTTGTCCTCCTAAGATCATCCGCCTTTATTTTGTATCGTTTTAACTGAACTAATTGATTTAATTAGTACTGTTGTTATTGCAAGTTGTCACCAAAACTTGGTAACAAAAGTTTTCCTCACTAACTATCGTTATTATTTGTCGCTGGTTTCAGGGTGGGTTTGATAATGGGGACTTCAGTCGCAGTCGGAATTGCGATTATCGTCGGTATCATACTTTGCTCGTGTTTCTGCTGCCGCTGTTTCTGTTTTGCATCGTACCCGAGACAGAACGATCCCAAGATGCACGTTGTTTGTAAGTCCTTTCTAACGAAGCGATAAAGACCATTTTCTATAACTTGTTTTCAATTATGATCGTATTTAATTAGATCATACTGACGAATTACTTCCGCCAGACTTTGAGCACATCAATTGTCACCAAGTAAACCAGTTGCCAGAGAAGTCTTGACCACTTATTTTCAATCTTGCGCCCTCACACAAATACTAATATTAAGACACATGCACTATAAAAAATTATTTGGTTCGAATAAATCGGAAAATGTACGCGTTAACCAATTTTTATTTGCGCAGCATATCCAAAATGAGAATAAAATTATGTATACCCGAAATACTCGAAATTTCAAAAATTTCAATTAAAATTATGTATTTATTTTTAAATGCCAATTTCAAAACTAATTTTCAATTCTGCCCCTGGTATTTTTGAGAATATGTTGAACAGTTAAAACATGTATGTATAGTTCGCAAGAAGAAATATGTTACGAAATGAAGGCGATTAAACGTCCACACATACATATGCTTACAAAAGGCTAAAGATTGCTATGTGATCACGTTTTGATGAGCTATAGCTTGGGAATGAGTACCAACAGACAGCCTAAATTATGTACATATCTAACAAGGGAAGGTCCCCGACTGCTTATCGTGTCCAGGGTACCCACTATGTTTTTTAGAATCTACTAGGACCCTAGACGAAGGATCCATTCATGTTTCCGTGTTAATCGCATATTTGGCGCCATGGCGTGGCGATAAAGACACAACCACAAAGGTACAAGTTACATACCCAACCCCTGACTTGATCACCTTGCCCAATCCATCATCTACATAGCTAAAGTAGAAAATGTATGATTGAATTGATTACGATAAGCGAGGTTGATGATGTCTGAAAATTAACCATGTACTTTGTAATCTAATTTACCGTACCTTCACTTATAGCCAAATAATTTTATTCATTATATGTTCAACTGCTGATCATACAAAATTATACAAAAATGTTCTGTGGGGTACACTTTCTCATATTTTTCTCTGTCTTCTCCCACATTAATTGTGCAACACTCGAGAGTTCATTTCCATCCACCACCGAACCCTCGGAATTCCAGTGTCCGTCCCATTGTAGTTTTTGCACCGTGGATGAAATCTGCCGCGTATACAATGGCACCTTCTACTATGACGATGAAGTCCCTGGTTGGTAAGCAGATTTACAGTAAATGAGGTTATTCCAAGATATTTATAAATTATCTGTATTCATACATGTTCAAAAAATATTCATTCATTCAAAGTTCATACATTAAAGCCTTGAAAACAAATATTCATTTCTTATTCACTTATTCATAATTTGTAAAAAAATATTCACTAATTATTAAACACTTGTTTATTATTCACAGTATTAACTGAATTTCTCAACTGTCCCTATGCATGAAGCATTGGGTAAAAAATTAATGATGAAAAAAATATTCATTCATTATTCATTCATACCAATTGAATAGATATTCATTCAATATTCATTTATTCAAAAACCAGAATAAAACATGTATTAATTCAATTATTTAATATTGAATGAATAATTCATTCATACATCATTACATGAATGAATGTGAACATGTATGCTTGTATTACAGAAATGTTTAAATGGTTTGCCATCAAAGGGATGCTTATTTATTTCCTAATCTATTTCTCCTGGTTTCAGGGTGGGCTGGGTAATTGGTCTGGAAATCGCAATCGTACTCATTGTTCTTATCGGGCTGATCCTTACCTGTTGTTTCTGTGGCCGCTGTTTTTGTTTTTCATCCTATCCGAAGCAGAAAGAACCCAGAAAGAACGGTGTTCTGTTCCACTTTCAGAGTAAATAATTAATGTATTAATGCTAAACATTACTCGTTTTTAATTAAGAATTAATGTAATCAGATTTCGTCCACGAATTACCTCTAGGTGAGATAACTAAGGGCCGTTAGCCTGTAAGGTGCTGACAATCCTGCTCTCTTATTTTCAACCCTATCCACACCTCCAACAGCTGAATGGATACGATAAAGGAAAATCTACTCAAATCGCCTGTACATATTATAGTGAATAGAATATGTATAGAATATATTTAGAGAAAATAATACATTCTCCATCCTTCCAACTTTAATTAAAGCTTGAATGGTGTAAGGTATATTTTATTTTTCTTGTACATATGTAATCGGCTACCCCGGTCTCAATTTCTTAAAACGACAGCAATGTAATTTTATTCAACCCAAATAAAGCATTCTTTCCTTTACATATTTATCCATGCTCGAGGTAGACATCGCACGCAGTAATTTTTCATCATTTACGATTAATTGAGTGCTTGGTTAACATTGTTTGGCGTTCGTCCATTTGGTAGGATTCCTAACTGAGATACTTATTACATTTGACCGTGCAAAATTTTTTTATAACATTTTTGAAATTATTATTATATGTTTCACTCGTATTTTTATGGAAAACGGTAAACAATTTCGAAATTTGACATCATATCTCGTATCGATATTGTTTAGAATGTACACTTATTGCTAGATTTATACATCTAGCACAAAAAACTAAACTAAAAACGTTTTTCCATATTGATACCATTGCACACCTATACAATACATGATATAATTAGATGAATTCAGACAATTCTGCTTAATATCGGACCATACAATTTTTACTTTACAGGAAGCCCCAAATATTTCATTTAGAAAATTCTGATGACATGAATTCTTATTGCATCATCATATTTAATTCGTACATGATAAATTTGTCCTCCATTCTAAAGGATTAAGTGATATAAATTGTGACATAATTTGTTGACACGGTACAACTTTTTGCACGCAACACTACCTCGACAGGTCCTACTCATACCTCGATATCTTATCATTGATTAGATAATTCCAACTTCAAAATGATATCGATTCATCACTATCCCATGACTCTGATAGTAAAAATCTGACTAAATAATATATCTTAGTCGTCACCCAATTAAATTAATCAGTCCGCTAAATTGTGTCCTAAACACAGGTTTAACATTTCCCAAAATGTATCTACTCCCACTAATCCTTTCTGTAATATTCATCCCGACAGTATCCAGCCAGTTGACCGCTGTCCGATGCAACTCCACCCTTTGGACAAGACTCTCAAGCAGTACGTCCATCTACAACGGGGACGACTCCATCTACATAATTGGAGGAGTGGAAAACGTCATGAAACAGAACGTAATATGGAAATATTCCATATCTGCCCATCAAGGGGAACTCTCCGCCCAGCTGCCACTGCGCATGTCGCACGGAACATCTTCTATCGATCCCGCGGGGAACATTTACTACCACGGAGGCTATTCGCTCAGTCAGTGGGAAAGAACCATTTACAAATATTCCCCCACCAACGGAACTGTCCATAATGTAGGACAACTTCCCATGGCGTTTAACCGCGTCGCTGTCGCGCCGCAAGGATCCGATACCAGAGCTCCACGCCGCCGATTTAACGCCGGCGCGCCGCCGACACCGACTCAATTTTTGACGCCGCCGCCGCCGATGAAAACGGCCGGCGCGCCGCGGCGCGCCGCCGGGCATAAAATTTAAAATAATGTAAATATGGTTCGGACGCCGATAATTTACATGATACACGTGCTGCGTATATATACCCCTTACACTACACTCCAAAAACAATTGATGATGTTAATAATGCACGACTCAACCTTGGATATTCTTACACGCATTCGAAAAGTACTCCGCGTACTTTTAGAGCATATTTTCAAATTGTATGCTATATAAATTTAAGGGTATTTAAGGTGAATTTTTGCGCAGTAAATATGATAGTACATACATATGTATTTGATATTTATTTTCTGATTTTTTGAGGAGGAAATCCTTGAGAAAGTATGTGGGAGAAATTCTGTCGGAATTTTGTTAAGAAATTCCTTGCATAATTAAGAAAAAATTCCTGGGAGAATTTAATCGAAGAAATTCTTGAAAAGGATTACAATAAAATACAATTTCTTACAATAAAATCTCAAAATTTTCATGGAAGGCAAACTGGGCAAATTCTCAGGTAAGCTTTGTAGCAAAATTTCTGCGAATTTGGTTGAATAATTTTTTGATAAATATCGTACAAAAAAAGTTATTTGCTAGAACAAATCAATAATTTTTGACAAACAAGTTTTTGAGACAATTTTCAGGTACGCAGAGTGAAATTAGGTGGAGGACATTTTGCAGGGGGACCAAATTTTTGGGAAATTTCTGAAGAGAGATTTGAGGAAAAAACTTATGAAATTCTTGCGCAATGATTCATATAATTCTGAGGGGCAAATTTTTATGTGATTCTTAGACATGAAATTTGTACGGAAATTTTCTAGGGTTGAGTTGCAACAATTTTCTGGGATATTTTTGGGATGGAAATTTAATGAAAATTGTGGTGTACAAATTCATCATAAATCTAGAATCTTTTCTTCCGAAGAAAATTCTGGATGGAATTTTGCGGAAGAAATTCCAGAGAAATTGAAATATTTTTGGGTGCTGGTCAAATTATAACAAAAACAGGTTTATCGACTTAAATAACGAAAACAAATTTAACTCGAGCCCAATCGGAAGAAATATGTGCAAGTTAAAATATGATATCCATCCATGACAAATATTTTTTCGAATTTAAATTTTGTATTTTTAAACAAAATACTGCATTCATCAACGGATTTTACGAATTAAATTGTAATTATGGAATAAATGCAAATTTTGTTCGCTTTGGTTGAGTCATTAAAAAGTGACAAAGGGACGAGTCTCAAGTTGCTCTCATCATTGTGGGAAAATTCCTCCACATGGTCCAGTACGTCTAATGTCGAAGTGCACAGTGGAATATTTACATTGAACTAATCGAATATCTAGCATAATGGCCGCCCCCACTTTGGATTTGCCAAATCTGCTAATATCAGGGACATTATCAGTGCTACTCTCATCCAATCCAAATAGTGAGGTATGGCGATATTTTGGCAAACTTGCCAATTTTGGTGAAGTTATTCTACAGAAACAATCTAAAGTGTTTTGCAAATTATGCCTGGACTCTGGAAATTTTAAGGAGTAAGCCAAAATTAAATCAATTACCTTTATTAAAAAAAATTTAAATCTTAAATTTGGATAGGTACAAATCAAGATTGTAATATAATTTAGGTATTCTTGCCACGTAAGCACTGGAAATCTGCACACGCACCTGCAACAAAACCACCAAATTGACACGAAAACTAAAAGCCATGCGAAGCAAATGCAAAAATTGACAGCGTATTTTGAAGGGACGTCCAGGCCAACTCAACCTTCGGACGAGAAGTGGAAACTGGGGCGTGAAATTTGTCTTTGGTTCTGTAGGGACCTTCTTCCGTTTCACACCGTCGCAAAAAATGGATTCCAGAATTTTTGTTGTCAATATGGAATCACTAATTCATCGCGGTCGTTACCAGACGAGCAAACAATAGGAAGTGCGGCTTTGAACGACGTGTACAATCTGACGTTAGGAAAAGTTAAAGCTGCCCCATCCTCAGCCGGAGATGGCGTGTCCATAACTCTTGATTGTTGACAGACAATTACAGAAGAATATCTTACATCACCTACACATGTCACTGGATAGATGATCTTTGGAAATTGCAAAATATTTCACTTGGAACTTCACCGTTTCCCCATCCTCATACTGGCGAGGCGATTGCAGCTGATATTCAACAAACTCTGAAAAATTTCAGCTTGGACGGGCGAATATTCCGAGTTACCACGGATGGTGGTGCCAACATAATAAAAGCACTAAAATTATGTGGACTCCAACGCCATCCTTGCTTGGCGCACGGAATGCATAATTTGATAAAAAAGGATTTTTTGGACAACGGAACTGAAGATTTAAAAACCTGCAGTGAAATCTTGAAAAAAATTAGAGCAGTTCACAGGAGTCTACTTTATAAATACGATGAACTATCCAGTTCCGCAACGGAAATTAAGGCTAGAGAAGAAACCTCCGAAACTGGTACTATTTTATTCTTGCATTGAATTAATTTATCTCCCTGAAATGAACAAATAAAAATGAGATATTTTTTAGAGGAAATTCTTGCACTTGACGATCAATATGACACGATGCTTTTGGATGAAAATTGCACGGGAACATTCACTACTCTCAAGCGCGACGTCCCCACGCGATGGAATAGCATCCAAACGATGTTGACGAGCTTTTTGGAAAACAGGTAATTTAGATAGTTTATTGAGCACTTAACCAATTTACAAATCTCAAGATTTGTTATTTCAGCGATTATTAAAGACGTTCTGGAGAGACACCAACTGTACGAGAAGATTTCATTGCCCTATGAAATTAAAGCAGCGATAGAAATTAAAAAAGTTCTCGAGTTCTTCGAAATTGCTACTGATGTTTTGCAAGGTTCCAGTTATCCTTCTATACATTTGTCACTTCTGATAAGATCTGAGATCGTCGACAGGTACATTTAATAAATTATTGGGCGATGGGAAATTTAATCTGTTATATATGCATACATACATATACAAATGTATTTATTAGAATTTCCATGCAAGATGCGGATTCCGATTTGACTAAATCAATAAAGAAAACTTTGTTGGGTCATTTGGAGCACCGGTTTCCTGTTACCGAAGATATCGTATGTGCATGCTTACTTGATCCAGGCATGAAGCGATTAACAATTATTGAGACCTACCTTGCTGAAAAGAATCAATCGAAGTTAAAATTCTTAATGCAAATGTGCAAGTCATATGGCACCCCGGTTCGTGGCGCTATTGTTCATAAAGAGGTAAATTTAATTTTTTCTGTATTCACTTCACACCCATTTTTACAAAATCAGAAAAACATCAAAACTAATTTTAAATTAATTAATTAAATTTGTATCCGCTCCAATAGGGCGCAGAGAATGACGTCAAGGATGAGCCAAAAACCAAAAAGAAGAAAAACTTTGTGGACATCAAAAATGAGTTGCTGAAGAAACATTCTCTGGTAATCCCTGATGAATCCTTGGACGCTGAAGTAAAGAAGTACCTTCTTGTCGCCATCAGCTCGGAAGATGTGTTGGATTGGTGGAGGAAAAACGAATATGGATTTCCAAATCTAGCAAATTTGGCCAAGAGGTTTTTAAGCATACAAGTAACTAGTGCGCCATCGGAACGGGCATTTTCGACGGCTGGGTTAGTCGTCACATCTCGCCGATCGTCGCTGCATCCGTTAAAAGTCAAGAAGATTTTGTTCGTGCATGACAACTATGATGCCATGCTCGATATTTAGTTAACAGACTGGTAATTATCATATAGTCAATCTAAATAAATTCTGACAAATGTATACTAAATGGATGAAGACAACGTTTGTTTTATTCAACCATAATCAACTCTCAATCTTATGTGATCCTGAGTTGTCTTGCATGTACCCATGCAATTTCAATGCATTACTTTTGGACGTTCCGCAGTGGTATGTCTACTTGATCACATTCTTACATATGCTCATGTCCCTTGATCGCGGCCTATTTTCGCCTCTAACTAATCAATTTACCATATTTAATTTTCAGAATTAAAATATTTTGCATGAAACTCATTAGACAGAATTCAATTCCCATGAAAATATATTCCACATAACTCAATTTCTACGAAAATATTTTGCACCCAATGAAGATTCTCTATGAAGATTCTCAACTCAATGAAGATTAAAATATTTTGCAAATTACTCAATTTGCATGAAAATATTTTCCACAAAGTTAAAAGTTAATACTACCGTTAAGTTAAGACGTAAAGTTAATAATTTTATATTATATTAAGTTCAGTGTTCCTGCTGTTTAAAAACACCTGCACAAAATTAGTGCATAAAAATGTTTTCATGCGTTTAATAACATCCACCAAAAATCTGGAAAAGTGCACAAAAACAATTTAGCTGATTACCATGCAGCAACGCTGAATATTTACGATATTGGACGAATCCTAAGTTATGTTACGATGTTTTTCATTCAACAATATTAGCAATGTCAACCCATTTTTTAATATTTGGAATTTAGAAATATTTTTCGTAATTTCCGCCTTGATAAAATTTTAATTGTTAGAAAATGGAAATGCTTGATTCTTGTTGAGCGTATATAAAAGTGAAATATGAAATTAATGGCATTCTGACTCGATGTTCATTATTATGCATTTTTGTGCATTTTATGCACTATGCATGCACAAAAAGAAACACTGATTACGTTATAATGGAGCGAGACACAACTATTACTATAGAATAAAGGAACTTGTAAAGTTAATAAACTGACCCGCTTTACTGAACTGAAGAGTAAAAAACATCGGCGCGCCGGTGACAGAAGATTCGGCGCCGCGGCGCGCCGCCGCCGACCTAAGATCCGGCGCGCCTCGGCGCGCCGCCGCCGCCGAAGGTTTCCCTCGTTCACGCCGCCGCCGCCGACTTTTACATCGGCGTGGAGCTCTGTCCGATACGACGTACCTCATCTTCGGCGAGTCAGCACCCCTGGTCGTTGTGGCGCTCAACATGGAAACAATGACGTCATCGAATCTCTCCTCGTTAGGAAGAGACAATTACGGCTATTTCACCGCTACCCATCACGACGGCGAAATTATCATCTTTGGAAATAACTTTGTCTGGGGCGATCCTCTCCCGCTTCAATCCGTGGCCAGATTTCATCTCACCTCGCCCTACGAGTATAGTCATGGCGGAAAACATGCCCGGAATAATGCGTCAATTGTCATCCGTATCGGACGGAGAGTACTCTTACGTCGTTGGGTATAAGAACAATTCCTTAATTCAATATGATCCAGTAACTGGGGACAATGTCGTTCTTTACGTGGAGAATTTTCTGGCGGACCAGACATCATATTTATCCGACGCTAGTACCGTCTACGTTGAAAAGTTGGATAGGATTTATATCTTTGGTGGGATATCGTACGAAAACGGGACAGAGAAGCGGCACCGCGATATTTGGTATATTGATTTATCCCATAGAACCACACCCGAGCCGGATCTCCTCATTTGCACTAATAGGACAGATGGGATGTATGCTCATCACGAATTTTGCGGTAGGCTGGTAAAGGAGTTTTATTATTCCCGAGTAGCCAAGTCCTGCAAGTTTTGTACAGAATCTTTCAATAAAATCTGTACCGATTTTCTGCCAGTTTGGCCAATTTTTGTTACAGAACCGGTACAAATTTACTGGCAGTACAGATAATCTGTACAAAACCTGTACAAAATCTGTACAAAACTATCTGTACTAACCACCTGTACAAAACTTGTACAAATTTACGTGCACAAAATCTGTACAGATCGTTGTGTACAGATTTTGTACAGGTTTTGTACAGATTATTTGTACTGCCAGTAAATTTGTACTGGCTCTGTAAAAAAAATTTGGCCAGACCGGCAGAAAATCTGTACAGATTTTATCTGTATTGAGGCTGCTACTTGGGGTATTTTGAAAATTTTGGTTACAACATTTAACAACTTTTATTGCAAAACTTATAGGTTTATCAACTGTTATGGAGGCATAGCTACAGGGTATGAGTGCCCACTTCCACTCCTTTTCGACCCAGTTATGAGAACCTGCAATCATCCAGCTATGGTCAGATGTGACTTGGAATGTACGACTCGTCCAGATGGAATTTACCCTCATCCGATTTCCTGTAAAAAATTTGTTATCTGCTATGGCGCCGTAACGAACGTGTATGACTGCCCGGAACCCCTCATATTCGATCCCATCCTCTTGAGATGTGAACATCCAAATATTGCCGAGTGTCAAGTATAGATGTTGGGGAGGCGTAATAATACGTACATATTATCTTTCCATGCAAAATTCTGCACACTTTTATGATATAGTTAAATCTGGACTTTCTCTAAAAATAAATCACATGAAGTATTAAACTGTCACAGATTGGACGAATCAGTTTTGTTTTTCACTTTAAATTTTGTGTCAGTGGATCAAATTATTAAACAAATAAGTGATCGTTGAGGAGGGTTGCAATTATTTGCAATGTGGATTAGGTAACGCATATGAATCTTTTATAAATTTCACCCTTCCAATCACTTTCGATTTATATAAACGTAACCCAAAATATTTACAATGTAGTGGGTTGCAATTTCTATTAAGTTGGGCAATCTTTTGTTATATTGTGATCAATAGATTTTGACTCTTTGGGAATTTTTTTCATCAAGTAAAAATAAAAATTTCTACAAATTAAAACAAATTATAAAACTTTGTTATGCATAGTTTACGGGTCGACCAACGTCGCCTATGACTTTCTGAAAACGTTCCCGATAAATATTGCCACGAGGTTGGTTGGCCCAACGACATTCGCCTTACACTCTGCAGTGGGAAAACGTGGTAACCTTGCAACGGTCAAGCAATGTCAAGCCGGGCAAAATAATTGTTTCCCCCAACTAACAATAAGTTTATGGCAGTGGTAGGTTTGGCATATACTCGTAGTTCATGTAAGAACTTTTGAGTAGTTTGTATTTTCTAATTCATTTAATGTAAAATTTACTCTGTTTAAGTGATTGATATCGTGCCAAGAACTGACAGCAGTCTTATATATTTTATAATATACCCAAACTGCGCAATCACGAGAAAAACACGGGTTTGGAACGAACTGAGGACACCGGTTTTCGTATTAGACATGTATACAACGAGTAGAGAATACGTGTAAAACATGGGGTAAGTGTCTCCAATATTAACGTGTTAAACTCGATCCTGGAGTTAATTTTTATATAGGTTAAATATGCATTTAAATCCTATTAGTTAAGGAAATATTGGTCAGTAGTTTCAATATTTGATTTAAAAAACTTTTAATTCGCCCATCTTTAATATGTGGTAGACACATACTTATACAATAATTGACGACCAACGAATCTTACTGCAGGGTTTATTTAATTTTTCACGGGCTTATAGTTTTATTTAATTGTGACCTTTTTTATTTACTACGACAAGCCGGCAATTAGCCTATAATATGCTACCACCGGTTGTTTGCTATACTTATTAATGACAAGTCAGGCCACCCCACAAAGTAAATACATCCTACAACAATGTTTACACCAGGGTTTCTGTTTTTTGCACTTTTACTGTTTTTTAGTGCAAAAAATGCAAAAAACTGCAAAAAATGCAAAAAAATGCTAAAAATGCAAAAAATGCAAAAAAAACCTACATTACACCAACCGCGAAACTGATTTTTTGACTGCGTGAGCATGACTTACGTCATACTATTTTTACAGAGTTATTTTAGTGAACTTTTTAAAGAACATAACGGATTTTGATATTTCAATCTTTGAGTCACTATGTATGTATTTCGTGGGGGCGATTGCCACTATTATAAATAAATAGGGCCCTCACGCTGCGGTAGCTCAGATGGCTAATTGCAGACTCCCCAGTACATTCGCTTGCGCTGTTACTGTCCAAAACCCCTTTCCCCCTAAGCTAGAAACCCTGTTTTGGGTCACGAACCGCCCAGATTTAACTATGAATTTAGTTAGATTGGGCAAGGACATGGTGATAATTGACTCTGGTGGCAGTGAGTGCCTCCCAGAGATACTAAATCTCAGGGCACAGTACCTATCACAGTCTCCCAAGAAGTGGAAAACAGTCTCAGGGCCATTTCCGCATTCGCAGGCGGCCTCATCAACTATCCCCATACTTCTTAGGTGACTGTTCAGGGTACAGTGCCCAGATAAGATTGATATTACTGACCGGAGATTACTCCGTCTCAGTTGAAGTAATTGTTTAGCGGGGCCGAAACAAACCTCTCCGTTAAACTTGCGATGAACCATTTATTTCACCCCTTCGTTACGCCCGTTTAACACGGTTTATTTGTAATATGACTACATCAAATAATAATATTATTACTAAATAGTTACTACATATAACTAACCAAGTATCATTCATCTTAAGATTAGCCAACTTCACACAAATACAATAAATGGCAAACCTTCTCATGGAATCATCACTACTTGGAAAAGTCTCTATCTTTCATTTAAGAGAACATTGGCTAGTAAAACCAACACTGGCCATTGTGCAGACGAAAGTTCCACCAAATGTTATCAAATGCTTGCATGATGATGTATTTTGGAAGAAAAACAACAAATCTCTACCAAAAGTAAAATACAACAAAGAAACAACTACGATCACCTGGTTTGAAAAGGAGTTCAATGTTTCCTTCTTAAACTGGAGGAATTTGGATAATAAGTGTTCTAAGCTTGTTCTGGACACGAGTCAGGTCCCAAGTTTGGGCCTATGAATTTCAAATGTATTAATACAATTTGATACAACAGCTTTTACAAGATGCAGGCTCATTCCACCTCAAACCCTCCGATGCTCGGCGCATCGATATTTTATATCGCATTAATTTTTATATTATAGGTGCACCATACACAATTAAACATATGACAAAAATTAAAATTTCGAAATTAAAATATTTTGAAAACTTACAAATAATTCAAGAAAAACTTAAGACCGCTAGAAAATGTTATAATTCGCCAACTATGGGTCATATAGGATAGGTTGCATTTATGGATTGTATTCATTAATCAATCATTCATATGTAAAATTTAAAAAATTAAAAAATTTCGACAATTCAGAAATTAGTAATGCATTTTCAAACTCAATTATCTCCTAGTCGCAAAAAATTCGGAAATACAGATATATGCGAAACGACGCCTTTTGACATATTAAAACGGTTAACTCTCAATTTCCGATTTTTTGCGACTAGGAGATAAATGAGCTTGAAAATGCATTACTAATTTCTGAATTGTCGAAATTTTTAAATTTTTTAAATTTTACATATGAATGATTGGTAAATGAATACAATCCATAAATGCAACCTATCCTACATGACCCATAGTTGGCGAATTATACCATTTTCTAGCGGTTTTAAATTTTTCTTGAATTATTTATAACTTTTCGAAATATTTTAATTTCGAAATTCTAATTTTGGTAATATGTTTAATTGTGTATGGTGCACCTATAATAAAAAAATTAATGCGATATAAAATATCGATGCGCTGAGCATCGGAGGGTTTGAGGTGGAATGAGCCTGCAGTTTTTCTACTGTCGTTCTAAACTTGGCACCAACAGCCATGCGAAATTCATTGCGTGGATAAAACCATTCAAGTCATGGATCTGGGGCAACCTGATATCTACCATAGTAATCTCGGCACTGTTATTCGGAGTTACCTCAAGGACTAGTTTTGAGCACACCTTTTTCTCCGTGTTGAGAATATCTTATAGACAAACGACTAGAACCAAAAAGATACTTCATACTCCACATTCTGCTCGGCCTACCAAACATTTGTTTACGCATTTACTAAACTCCCAAATATTTCGTGGAAACATGCGGGTTTTGAAGTCAACTTTTTAGCATGGTTGATATAGGCAAAGTTCCAACATTTGCCAAGCAAAACTACCAAAAAATCCACTTTTCACCATTTTTTGATAAAAAAACAAAGAAAAACTCGAACATTGAAGTTTTGAGTATCCTTGGTGTCAAGGGAATTTATGCAGTGCACACATGTGTGTAAATGGTAAGCAACGGAATTAATTTCGCTACGCATATATGTATGTGTAATTGGTAGGCAACAGAGTAAAAAATATTACACAAATGTGTGTAATTGGTAGCTTTAAAGTTTTAAATCCGCTTAAAGGCAATGATTGACTTAACCCGTTGTCATGGCTACTTCGAAGAATTATGCATTCTTAAAATTTCAAGTTATTTACCAAAGTTAGTAATTCATCACGTTCTAAAAATTCTTTATCGTTTCTAATTTATTATTTAGTTGGCAAAGTGCATAATACTAAATATTAATATTTAACGAATATGATAATTTTGTGTTAAATTCCTCCCACGCAACATTTCACTAAGCATGAACATAAGTTATTGCAATCCATTGAATTTTGGGAAAGGTGCATGATTTATTATTAACCACATATGAAAAATAAAATAATGAAATCTATTTTTCATATAGAAATATATTTAATATATTCTAAACATGGACAAATTAAATAGAGGAACTAGTACATTTAGTAGGTACGCAAGTCTGATCGGACAATAGATTTAAACATAATGTGATGCTAATCTTGGAAATCTCTGAATTTTCCAATTCAGCTTATAACGCATCCATTAATCACGCTACATGATTTATCACGCTACAAAATGACTTCTTTGGTTTAACTAAATTCGTCAGTCTACAAATGGTAACGAATTGAAGAGGAGCAGAATATGGAACATTTTATCACCTTTTCGACAGTATTCCTCCTTATCTTCGGACTACAATATGAAGCAGGTTTGTGAAAACAAATTTTATACGAGTAAACGCAATTTTTTAGATTCTGGGGTTACTCCGCAAATTTAATTAGCGCCAATCCATACATTAAATGTATTGATTAACCAGTGTTTCAAATATAGCTTCTGCCCTTTTTCTTTAATAAATAGACTTTTTGGGTGATTTTTCGAAACACAAAAATGAGCGAAAAGAATGGAATTATCAATACAAAATAAGCAACTTTTTCTGCTCAATTTATCAAGTTGTAATTCCCTATGTATGTAATCAGTCTGTTATGTTGTAAGATAAGCATATATAATTAGATTCGTTCTAATAAATTTTTAGCATTTTAAAACTAATTTTTAATTGACTATAAACTTTTTCAGCAGGAAGTCCAAACAAAGCTACGGTCACGAATGGGGGCATTGATTACAATGAACGTTGTACTTTGAAGGACAAATGCAAATATACCAACACATCCTGCATTGATGGCATCTGTCAATGCCAACCCGGCCACGCGATCCGTCTACGTGGCAAGCAATTCTTATGCGCAGGTTCGTTCATGGACTATGTGATAAATATTTGAAATATTTTTAAATGTTGTATAATTCCAGAAATTATTCAAATCCACAACATTGTCACAATCGAGGTAATTGAGTAAATTTCGTTATACAATTATTAATACATAAATTACTTCAGGATCATCCCTGGGTTATTAAGAACGAGACCTGCTTAAAATCATCCAGTGTGGATAAATCGTGTCGAAATAGTTCTTGCAACTCTGGATTCCTAGTCGACCTAATTCGCAAAATTGACCAAGACATGAGAAATATGAATAATTGCACAATTACGGAAGTGTCTTCGATAGGGTCACTGGACTCGAGTACTAATCCTCCCACGTGGAAGACTGGGATTATGGCAATAGTTGCGAATAATGTATTAAATTGAACACCACAAAAGTATATTTAAAATAAAAACTCTTACAATTTTTTATTCTTGCTAGCAAACTGACCTTGCAATGGCACCATTTGGAGTGAAGCATTTGAGGGTCCCAGAACTCGGAAAGATTATGAGATTTTCGGCCATATTTGTACATAACACTATCAGTGCTACCAACTTCATGTTCGGGTTTCCTCTTGCGTCCGAAATTATTTGGCAGTTTGACCTTATGTAAATTGAAATAGCGTTAATTTATAAGACCGCTCATTTCAAACCGTCAAGTACAAGTTGAATTTGCAAAACTTTAACTGACTTTATACTTTCAGGACCTACAAACTAGCTAAGCAGCGATATTTAGAACAACTCCTAGAGAAATGGTTCGTCAATGGAACGTCATCTTGGTCAAAGAAAAAACAGCTCACGCCTTACGAGCCAAACCGGGTTTGCAGAACCATGTAATGTGGAACTAAATGGACTAATAATAATCATGCAAATTACTATGACGCCGCACATTTAAATAAACATTTTATTAATCATGCAAATATTTCTCCAATCCATACTGATAATTATTGTAACAAAAAAAACCTTTGCAAAATTGAAGTCAATTTTTCTGTTTTCAACATTCACTCCCCAAAGTGTGAAACTGTTGAAAGCTTGAAGACAACAAACGTGTTATATTTTTTAAACCACCTCCTCACACGGTGTAAGTCACACAGAGACAGTATACTAATCACTGATACATTTTGATACATTTTCTACCAAACCATAAGTTTCACATGCACCAAACCTACAACTAGTTGTAGTTTGTTAACTAACGGTAAATTGGTGTAGTAGTTTAAGGTAGTAATGCGAGCGTTAAGGAAGACGATTTTAATTCTTTCAAATATATCGATGTGTTACCAGGATTGTTTTAATGGAGGTATGCAAAATAGAAACTCCAATTTATTATTATTGTGAAATTATTTCGACTGCGGCAAGTGAGATGATTGAAAATAAATACTTCGTATTATTTATTGGGTTACCACATACCAGATTTTCTGAAACTTTGCTAAAATTCTTAAATATTTCTTATAAAACAATCCGTAATTCTTTACAAAAGCAAACTAGCGGATCTTGTCGATACCAAAATTTAAAGTAGAAATAAGTATTTAGTATACTCGGCTAAACATTTTGTATAATTTTTGTGAATACCATTAATTTTTTGGAAACACTATTTCTACTTACTGAAATTACTGCAAAGGAACTTTAAAATTATAATTTGTAAATGAATAAATAAATATGCTTCAATGTTGCGTAACCCTGGTTAGTCCATGAAGTTTCCTGGGGAGGAATTGTCGCTCATCCATCCAAAAATATTAACCAGCCAAGCCAGGTTGTCCATTTGGGGCTCCACATGCGCCGGCAGCTCCACCTGGATGACCCGCACCACCATTTCCTCCTGTCCTTAAAATCTACAGTGTAGACTTCATATAGATGGATTATAATACTGTCCTATTGTGAAATATATAATTTTTTTACCATATTTAAAAATCTGAAAATGCCTTGGTTCTAATTCTCATACGCTGAAATCAGCTGATAGTTACTCATACGGCGGAGCCGTAGCATTTTTAGGGTGATATTTACTTGAGTCACCATCACCATCACCTGGTTCCCCAGTCAGTGCTTGATTGAAATGAATATAGATATTAATATTACTGATGAAATGACGCAAATAAAAGATTACAATGGGTACATTATAAATTTAAAAGAATACAGAACCATGCTATCAGTGATTGACCGATTAGACAATAGGTAAGGCGTGATAAGCCAAATTAAATTCCAATTAATAGTTCATCGCTAAACTTGGGTGGCCAGCTCTGAGTTATGTTTCTTAATTCAGTTGAACTTTTGGAATGAATTATTAATTTTAATGAGGTAAGAAAAGTGCTGAATAACAAAGTAATCAATCCTACCACAAAAATAAAGTGCGGCAAAGCACGATACATAAGTAGCGCAATAATGCTGAGAATGCTGAGAATTAATTTGCGCTATAAAGCTCAAATTAATTAAATTAATTAATTAAAGTAATTAATTAATTAATTGACTGATTGATTAATTAATTGATTAATGATTGATTAATTAATTAATTGACCACATGCTCTATACTGCGACATGTCGACAACACAGAAAAACATGTTTTGCCTAAATTTCATGCATATTGACCGCAAAATGCCTAAATTAGGGCATGGCGACAAAATTTGTCGAAAAAAGTTTCGAAACCTTAATCGCCATATTGCGACATGTCGACAACACCAAAAAACATGTTTTGCCCAAATTTCATGCAAATCGACCGATAAATGCCTAAATTAGGCTATGGCGACAGAATTTGGCGAAAAAAGTTTCGAAACCTTAATCGCCATATTGCGACATGTCGACAACACCAAAAAACATGTTTTGCACAAATTTCATGCAAATCGACCGATAAATGCCTAAATTAGGCCATGGCGACAGAATTTGGCGAAAAAAGTTTCGAAACCTTAATCGCCATATTGCGACATGTCGACAACACCAAAAAACATGTTTTGCACAAATTTCATGCAAATCGACCGATAAATGCCTAAATTAGGCCATGGCGACAGAATTTGGCGAAAAAAGTTTCGAAACCTTAATCGCCATATTGCGACATGTCGACAACACCAAAAAACATGTTTTGCACAAATTTCATGCAAATCGACCGATAAATGCCTAAATTAGGCCATGGCGACAGAATTTGGCGAAAAAAGTTTCGAAACCTTAATCGCCATATTGCGACATGTCGACAACACCAAAAAACATATTTTGCACAAATTTCATGCAAATCGCCCAAAAAATGCAGAAATTAGGTTATGGCGACGCTTTTCGACATGATGTCGACAAAGTGGCCACACCCCCTTAATAGGGTATCACCCCCTACCCGTGAAGAACATGTGTTCAAAATTTCAGGTCGCTGCAACAAACCGTTCTCGAGTTTTAGTGTTGACAGACGGACAGACAGACGGACGGACAGACTAACTAACCGATCGCATAAAGTAGCTTGCGCTACTTAATAATCACAATTTATATTTTACGAACATGATCAATTATACATTTTTGTAATATAGTTATGAAGCATGGAGAATAATTTATGAATTGACAATTGTGTAACTCCATGATGATGGCTGATCCATGAAATATTAATGAAGCTGTCTTAAAACGATCGAATGGGTGGTATTGTTTGATACCCAATGAATTTTTCAGAATATTAATTTTAAAAGTGTGGGCTAAGTTGGTATGCATTTTTGCCCATGAACCTGAACGAATAATGATTGCCGGATTATACAATTTCTTTATTATGGATCACATGCCAGTATTCATTCTTGGGTGGCGTTCGCACTTCAGATAAAATTCTCCACTGCTATTCTATATGGATCAGAATTTTTAATTGGATATCTGATCTGTCATATTCTCATATTTAAGAGCCTCGTATCCCACGGAAAAAATCAAAGTCGTTTCATTTAGCTCAGTTGAGGTTTAGAAGAAATAATTTCGTAGCTTCGTTCAGTTGCCATTAAAATATTGGATCTTGGGGAAACGGGACAATTGAATCGTTTAAATGACTTATTCCTCGGTTAACATTCTGCTCCTTGTGGCGAGTTTGGCATCATTCCTGCTCCACGGTAAGTGTACTTAATTTGAAGAGTAACCAACACTGCGATGCACCACGCGAGAATTTCGATCTATACATGGCAAGTATATTCTGGTTACATTTATGCAGATTCCCATGCCTGCTCAAGAACAATTCTTGATGTACGAGGCTGTTCATCTGCCGGCGCAATAAGTTTCTGTCCGGCTGGATATACAATGGTGGTTGACCACAACAGGATATGCTCCTGCAATAAGTACAAAGACCCGGATGTGGAATATGACAATTGCGCATGTGAGAATTACGTTCATACTTGCTTATACGTTGCAACACTGACTCCCACTGGCGCATGTGGGCGTGCCCTCCGTTATTGCAATGATACCCGAAAAGCGCAACTTTGTAGCGATGATCCTCAGTATGCAAAATTTAAGGCGGCTTGCGCATTTGACAAAATACCGCTGACGAACCTACTGTCTCCTGTTCTTTATCAACCTGCATTCCCCCTGCCCCTCGAGCACCAATAGCCCGTTCCTGAACCCGACTATTTTCGACATATTATGTAACTAATGGGTATTATGGGAAGGATATGTTAGAAATAAAATTTAGAGTAGTCCTAGCAATGTATTAACGCTTTTTAATTGGGAATAAAAACTTCCGTAATAAGCATCAAAGAACAAATGTATTTGTTAATACACTATTAGTCTTATTAAACCGGACACTTTTCCAACGGCTGTACCTCGGCGATATATAAAGATAACAATCTTATATTTTGCACAAAAATACCCAAAGATTTGTGGGTGGATCACATTTCGATTTTGAAGAAATATCGCCCAGATCAAAGGTGTTGATTGTCTTACATTGCCTGCACCATAAGGGATTTTTTTCCGTGGGGATTTTATTTTTTAAAGATTTTCAGGAATTTTCTAATAGTGCAGTTTGAAAAAGTTGAGAAATTGACCAAAATGCCATATTAGTTGATCTATCAAATAAAGCAGGTTTAATTTAATTCGGACCCCGCATTGTGAGCAAAATTACTCATAAACTTTCCATTGATTAGACACTTTATTATTTTTATGAATATGTGAGGAAATAAATATTACGTATTTAAACAAAGTTTGGAGGGTCGCGACTCATCATGCATTACTCCACAGGAAGACGCGCATTAAAAAAACTTAATCTTAGACATAATTGCATAGTTTGTCACAAGACGGACTCAGATTATGGAAAACTATCCTGAAGCATTAAGGGACGCGCGTCACCCCCATAAATTTGCCCCTTATGTGTAGACAGTACATTATGTTTGCACCCCCTGGCGTCACATTTAAGTAATAGTTGACTATGGCACAGGTTTCCCATCCCGTTAAAAATATCATATCCATCGTGCATGCCACTTCTAAGTTGGTTAAGAAATTCCAGTTCAATCCTGTTCGATTCACACCTGGACGACTTGACAGAACAACATCTATTGTTTCGGCTCCACCTGCAGGCCAAGATTTTCAGTCTGGAAGTATTCACCTCAACAAAATCTCTTTCTCCAGATACAAATCACACCTTCAATGATGGATGAGAATTCAGATTGAGTAATCATAACTAGAATAGAATTTGTCATAGTAAATGAATTTTGAAAAATGAATATGGGAAAAATTTGCATTCTGAAAGATACAAATTTGTTTAATGCATAATTAAGTGTATTGCCTGGTCAGTAGTTAGCCTGCACTCTAAATAAATTTGATTAAAATTTGCTCAACTTTGAGTGAAAATCGCAATAACACAACCATTGGTGCAAAATTTAGTCAAGGCTGAGTAAATTTTAGTCAACGTAGTAGGAACTTCGCTCAACGTTGGCTAAAATTTACACCACTGGTTGTGTTAGTGCGATTTTCACTCAACTTTATTGAGAGTGTGCCAAAAAATTTTAACGAATACGTCATCTGGCCGATATCAAGATTATGGTGATGATGCATTGTCTTTTTTTTACAGAGACGAGCCTGAGTAAGTAGGGGTCTGTATAAAGTGAATGTTATGTTTCATGGAATATGAATTAATTTGTTCCTGTAACAAGTTTATTTATACGAAGGTGTGTCTTACGTGAGTAACAAATGTTTTGAGAATTAATGAAATAAACTAAAATAGTCGGATCGAGTCATGGATTTCTGCATGACAACAACTATTATAAGAACTAGATGAGATCAAGTTCACATCTATATCATAATTTCGAAAAGTCCGTCCCGTGAAATTTTCCGTGACATTCCTGCATTTTGATTGGCTGTTGGCTTTCTAGCTCAACCAATCAGAGAACGGATTCGATCTTTGATTACGCTTCTGGTTCTCATTCTGATTATTATGCGGATGAAGAATAGACGGTGCCATAGCCACCGCACAAAATTTATTCAGCAACCTTAAAAAAATTCCCTAGCAACGTAAAAAAAAATTCCTTAGCAACGTCAAAAAAATTCCCTACCAACGTTAAAAAATTCCTTAGCAACGTCAAAAAAATTCCCTAGCAACCTTAAAAAAATTCCTTAGCAACGTCAAAAAATTCCCTAGCAAAGTCAAGAAAATTCCCTAGCAACCTTAAAAAAATTCCTTAGCAACGTCAAAAAACAATCCTAGAAACGTTAGAAAAATCCCTAGCAACCTTAAAAAAATTCCCTAGCAACGTTAAAAAAATTCCCTAGCAAGGTCAAAAAAATTCCCTACCAACGTTAAAAAATTCCTTAGCAACGTCAAAAAAATTCCCTAACAACCTTAAAAAAATTCCTTAGCAACGTCAAAAACATCCCTAGCCACCTTAAAAAAATTCCTTAACAACGTAAAAAAAATTCCTTAGCAACGTCAAAAAAATTCCCTAGCAACCTTAAAATATTCCTTAGCAACGTCAAAAAAATTCCCTAGAAACGTCCAAAAAATCCCTAGCAACCTTAAAAAAATTCCTTAGCAACGTCAAAAAATTCCCTAGCAAAGTCAAGAAAATTCCCTAGCAACTTTAAAAAAATTCCTTAGCAACGTCAAAAAAATTCCCTAGCAACGTTAAAAAAATTCTTTAGCAACGTCAAAAAAATTCCTTACCCACGTTAAAAAAATTCCTTAGCAACGTCAAAAAAATTCCCTACCAAAAAATTCCCTAGCAACGTTAAAAAAATTTAATATTGTTGTGACCACATTATTCAATTATTTGTGCTCTTATTTAATGCCGTAATCATAATTTTCGTTGAGTCCAGTCAACTGGATAATGCTCTAATTTGATTTTGTTACATTACTGTTAAACAAAATGTGGCCCGTCTTTAAGACGGGCTTATAGGCTAGTCTATATTATAATTTCGAAAAGTCCGTCCCGTGAAAATTTTCCGTGACATTCCTGCATTCCGATTGGCTGTTGGCATTCTAGCTCAACCAATCAGGGGACTGATTCGATTTTTCATTATGGTTTTGGTTATAGTTATGGTTATGGTTATGGTTATAGCTATGGTTATGGTTATGATTATGATTCTGGCTATGGTTATGGTTATGGTTATGGTTATGGTTATGATTATGGTTATGGTTATGGTTATGGTTATAGATATGGCTATGGTAAAGGTTATGGTTACGTGAAAAAAATCCTTAGCAGCATTCAAAAAGTTCCTTGGCAACGTTAAAAAATTCCTTAGCAACTTTAAAAATAGTCCTTAGCAACTTTAAAAACATTCCTTAGCAACGTTAAAAAAATTCCTTAGCAACGTTAAAAAAATTCCTTAGCAACGTTAAAAACATTCCTTAGCAACGTTAAAAAAATTCCGTAGCAACGTTAAAAAATTCCTTAGCAACGTTAAAAAAATTCCTTAGCAACGTTAAAAATATTCATTGTCAAAACTAAAAAAATATTAAGTTAATTAGATTTACAATATACAGTTCGAGTCGTATTGTCGGTCTTGATTCATGATTTTTACATAAGGATAAGGATTAACTGGCGGAATTAACCCACGTGAATTTTGTCCGCCAAGTAGTCAGAAGCTGAAAGGTTTTTAGATGACTAAATGCATTTCTGCAAGGTAGTAAGGTCAAAATATTTCTACTCAAGTTGAAAAACAAATTCTTTGAACTACATGATTTCCCTGGAGACCATCAAGCAACTATAATATAATAAATATGATTGTAGAGGAATTTATTCTCAAAAGAGATATTTTTGGGAGTTTTAGCTGCATTGTGTACTTGAGTATTTTATAAAGCATTTCTTAAGCAAAACTGCTTTGAACCGCTATGATTTAATAATTTTCATAGTTTAGTGTCCAATTTTAAATGGGGCCGTCTTTAAGACGGGCTTATAGGCTAGTATTTTATAATTTGAATCTAAAGTATATCGTCGCACTAATTCTAAAATGACGTAAGCGCACTCGACGCTTAATTCTAAAATGACGTAAGTGCACAAAAAAAATTCTAAAATGACGTAAGTGCAATTTCAAAATTATAAATAGGAATTACCTACTAAAAATTGTCCTGTCAAGGGAAATTTTAATTTCTTGGCCCCCCTAGGGAGTAATGAAAGAAGTCTCAAAATTAACAAACCACACCCTCAGGGGGTGTGGTTCTAGGCGCCTAACGTAAGGTGAATAAAATTCTGACGTATTTATTTCATTTCTCACCCTGATGACACAGTCCTAAACGATTATTTAAAATTTAAATACCACACCCTTAGTGGGTGTGGTTCTCGGCACCTATTTTGCACTAAATAAAACATGGCATGCAATATGTCCTTTTTCTCAACCCGATGGTCCAATTTCCACAGTACACTAAAAATTGGCAAACCAAAACATTTAGGGGGTGTGGTTCTTAAATTCAAAACTGAATTTTGACTTGGTTACACCCCCATAATTTCCAAAATTGTATTTTGGAAATCGTAACTTTACTACGATCTTAACTTGCAATGCGCAGGTGGATTTCTTTGCCCCGTACACTCCATTAGCATGAGTCACCAAAATAAAATAAGTGCGCATAAACTCGTTCCCGGCTATCTGGTTGCTTTTAATGTGGGCGAGTTAAATTTGTAATTTACTAAAGGGACAACTTCAGAGTAATCTGGGAGTTTATAATGAATTCGCCAAGCCGACAAAGTCCCAGTATTGTTGCAAGCGTTGAAGATGAAGAGGAAGACACGTCGTCATCTACGACAGGTCGTGAACCTGACTTGATTACATCAGATTCGACAAGTTCTTCTGATTCAGGTTGGTCCTTCATAGTTTAATAGGGTTTAGTTTAGTATTCGATGTTCGAAGTAAAACCTGAGCAAATATCCTTGACCAACTTATTATTATTATTATTTCAGTTGTTCAGCAGCGAAGTGAGGTGTGGAAATATTTTAAGCTTGATCCACAAAGCTCAGCACATTCAATTTGCAACATTTGTAGCACACGGGTACACAGAGGTGTTGGTAAAAAAGCAACAACTTCCACCATGATCAAGCATCTGAAAGGGAAGCATACATCCGAATATAACGGCTTTCAAAAATCTCGTTCATCTATTGAACCTGGGAACAATGGAGAAGTTGAAGAGGAGGCCACATTTCTTCAGCCAAAGAAGCCAAGGTTGGCACAGGTGGGAATTAAAGAAACATTTCAAATGTCGAAGCCGTGGGACATAAACGACAATCGCTCCATTGAAACTCACCGAAAAATAGGCGAAATGATTGCAATCGATTGTCAGCC